AAGTGCCTAGCTTACCTCTATTATACGAGAAACCGCTATATCTACTTTACGGCGATAAACCTAATAAGGCGGCTAATATATATATCTAACTCCTTATACGCCGATAACCTAGAAACTAGGAAGTCCTTATAAGGATACGTATTCCTACTCCTTAGTAAGCTAATTAACTAAAAAGCTACTAAGTAAGCTACTATAATAATATCCTCTATAAAAGCTAAATTATTAGCACTCTTATAGATAGCTAAGGAATAGGTAGTATTTAGCCGACTAATTAAGGAGCTTAGCATTAGTATTAAAGGGACTATAAAGCTTTAGTATAATAACCTTTAGACTATTAAGCTTCTAACTAAATTAAGCGTAAAGCTTAAGATAAACCTTAAGTACGTTAATATTTATAGATACTAGCTTCGTTAGGAGGTATAGTAAGATCGGATATAAGTTAGCTAGATTATATTAGTAGATAACCTAGCTAATAGTATAACGAAGGCGCTTATATACTAGAAGTATTAAAGCTTTATTAAGTAACTAGGACTAGTAATATAGCTAGAAGATATATTAAAAGATAATATACCTAACTACTATATTAAGGCGTAATATCTCCTTATTATAGCGAACTTAATAATCGCCGGATCCCGATAATAAGAGCACTACTATATATACTAAGATTAAGGGATTCTAATAGCGTAGTTAGATCTTAATTTAGTTAAGAAACTATAAAGATCTAAGGGGTAGAAGTTAGCCCTATTTACTACTAAGAAGTAAAGCTATTACTAGACTACCCTTTAATTAGTATAATACTATAGCGCTTAAACTTATAATAATCGCGATAGCTTTACTAAATTAAGATTAATTAATATAAGGAATATATTATTAGAAAGCCTACTATTAGGATTACTTTTATCCTAAATAATAACGTCGCCGGCAAAGGTACTACGGTACCTAGGCTACCTAAAGGGATACCCCGCTATACCCCTCCTTATAAGGAAGGTTATAAATATAACTTATAACTACTAGTTAAACGGTAAGAGTAGGTTATATAACCCTATTAATCGTAAGTTCGACTCCCCTTAAGGCGGAAGAGCAGGTTATATAACCACGCCCTAAGGGGGGCGCGGTTAACGAACTTAGGGGCCCGAGGAGATAGGATATATAGAGGAGGGTTCTCCTTATATCCTATCCTCTTAGGTCCTAGCTTTTGCCTTTTACTATATTTACCTTCCCTTTTTATAGAATATAATTAGGAGCCTCCCTTATTTTTAGATAACCTCCTTAAATAGATAGTAAAGTAGCCGAATTTAATATCGGAATAGCCTTATATTAATTAGACCGAACCCTCCTCTACCTATTGCCCTACTATCTAGAAGCTAGGGTAGCAAGGGGGTATGTTAAGGAGAGTAGGCATAAGATGCTATAGTTATGCCTAGTAGACCTAATAGTCATGCATAAGGAAGCCTGCCTAACTAATATGACTCCCCTAGCCTAAGGACATTATATAGGCCTAACTTAGGTATAGGAACATCCTAATGCCCTCTTTTGGCTAGCTATATGTGGTCACTGTACCTATATAAGCCCCTCCCTTATCCCAATAGATAGACCAAGACATGCATGTTACGGGGTCAGCACTGTTGGCACAGGTGCTGGGCGTAATTGATGTAAATTGAGCTACAAAGAGTGTAAAGGGGAGACGTGTCTACATCGCTCCCTTTAGGAGTCGTGTCCGTGGCGCTCGCACGTGACTAGTCTGGCCATGCCAGATCTACACATCGGGGCGTAGCCCCACATTAGCCCCCTACTCCTCTCTGGCGCTGGTGCCCTTTTTCCTGTTCCTGGTCCCCTCTACAACGATCGTAGGGCCGTCGTCTATAGGGTCTGGTGCCGTTACTATCGACGGGGCGTCGCCATTAGTCCTAGCCCGTAGTGGTCCGCGTATTCTCTTGCCCTGTATCTGCAGCTGTGGTTGTATTCCTTCGACTTGCCCCTGGATTTGGGCCGGCTGTGCTTCCGTTGCCACTCGTCGGTGCTGGTATGGTCCATCGTTTTCGAGAGCCGGGCCGTATCTCTGTTCGTACTTATCCAAGGCCGCTGTCTGTTGCATATTGTCTAAAGAGGTCCAGGTCGGGTCTTGCCAACCTTGCCAGCGTACAAGGACTTCCCGCCTACGGCCGCGGCCGGTTCTCTTCCACCTAGCGCATAGTATTTCCTCTACTACTTGGTGAGCCTCCCCGTCTACTTGGATAGATGGGGTTGAGCGTCTGTGCGTTGCTGACCAGGCATTGGGTCCGTCCCCGCTCTCCGGAGTTGGTCGACGTGGAACCTATTATAGCAGCCCCTCGGGAGGTCTGCTAGTTCAACCGTGTACGGGTCGAGTACCTTGCTTATCGTATACTTAGCGTGCAGCCAGTCGAACTTCTTCTTAGGTCGCTCTGACGCGTAGTTCCGTAAGTCAAGCCAAACCTTATCGCCTACTTCGAAGCGTTCTGCCGCGTTCCGTCGTCTGTTAGCGAAGCGTTCTTGTTGCTGCGTAGCTGTCGCCATTGATGCTTGGCAGAGGTCCGTAATCTGTTGTAGTTTGGTAACAAATTTCTTTGCCCTGGTTTCTGGCGAATGCTGAGGATACTCTTCCGCATATGCTTCCGTAACGAGGGGAACTGGTGACTTCGGCTCATAGCCGTGTATAGCGAAGAATGGGGACATCCCTATAGAGGTATTGACCCGACCGTTTAACGCCATCTGAGCCGCGGGAACCCACTTATCCCAGTCGTTCTGGTTCTGGTTAATCACGGCGCGGAGGTATGCCTGTACTTCTTGGTTCATCCTCTCAGGGCCTCCGTCGGTTTGGGGGTGGTACGCCGTGCTTAGCTGCTGGTCGATCCCCAGTAACTTGCACATGTGCCTCCAAAAGCGGCCTACCCAATTCGAGCCCCTATCGCTCGTTATAGCGTCGGGCCACCAGTGGTAGCGGGCGAAGCACCATAGAAAACGCTCTGCACATGCTTCCGCTTCCATCGTTGGCATCGGTTCGAGTATAACTTCCTTACTTAGCCGGTCCTTGATAACCCAGAGGCAGCGGTTACCGTTCGCAAGGGGAGGTCCGTAATAAAGTCCATCTGTATCTGGCGGAAGAAGCGGTCCGGTACGGGTAGCGGTCTAAGTAGACCCTTTATGCTCGCGCCATATCTTCGTACGGCCGCAGACATCGCAGTTACGCAAGAAACGTCGGATATGCTGTTGCATTAGCGGCCAGTAGAAGTCCCTGGATACGGCTTCTATCGTCCCTTCCGTCCCGGGTGGCCTACTACATGGGAGTCATGAACCTTCTGGATTAAGGAGCCCCGTAATTCGTTTAGCGACTCCTGCTCTAGCGGTGCTGCCTTGGCTGCTGCTTCTGTCGTGATCGGTGCGCCTGGCACCCATAAGCGGCCACGTAGTCGTAGGTGCCCCCGAGGATCAATAAAGCACTCGGCGACTTGTACCTTCAGCTTAAGCTTGGGGTCGAGGGACCGAGATCCGTTTCGTACCGCGTTATAAACGCTTGTAAAGACTGGATCCTGGTTTGCCGTTTGCTGCCATAATTGTTGTAGCTCTGGGTCGTGGAAAACCGTGTGTTCTTCTTCGCCTTCTCCCGCTTGAGTCGACGTTACCCGACGTAGGTACGTAGGGCTGCTTCTGGAATAAGCTTCATATCTCGTGCTTCGTGATCCGCTTCGTTTGGTCGGTCCTGTTCGCGGCGAGAGCGCGTCTGGCACCACTGCTTCCGTCCCGGACGGTACTGGAGCTGGAAGTTAAAACGCGAGAGATATTCAGCCCAACGTGCCTGCTTTCCGAGAGCTGTTGGCGCGTCATGAAATACTCGAGGTTCTTATGGTCGGTAAGGATAACGAAGTTATCACAGCTTCGTAGCTCGGCTGACCATTGTTCGAGACAACGAATAATAGCGCGCATTTCCTTATCATGGATTGGGTAGTTGCGCTCAGCCGGTGATAGCTTCTGCGAGTGGAACGCTACTGGCTCAGAGTTGGAAATCGATCTTATAGATCGATTTTCGAGCCTGATCGATCGAATTTTATCGATCGTCACCTTCAATCGATCGATATCGATCGATCGCTGTTTGATTCGAATCGATCGACGATCGAATCGATCAATACTAAAAATCATCCCTATCTAGGGTGATCTTGCCCATCAGTTGAAGAACTTGCCTCCAATTGTCCCCTTCAAGCAGACCAAGAGGAAGTGTCGGCTGATAGATGCCAGCTTTACTCCAGGAACGAAGACACTGCGCCATCGCCACAATATGGCGTCGTAGGCGAGATCTCAGTGGTGTTATCATCCTCCCACAGCTGCTAAAATCTCTTTCCGTTCCTGCTGAAGACGACGCGATGGTAAGGTAGTCAACAGCCATATAAGACAGCCGAGGAAACCGCGCAACACCAACGTCCTTCCACCAAGCGATTGGGTCCGTTTTGTATGCGATATTTTCCACCGGCGGCTCTGATAGGTACTGATCAAGCTCGTCCTGTTCTTGCAAGGCGGTTGACTGCTTTGGTCCTTTAATTTGCCGCCCTCGAGGCTCAGGGCAAGCCAATGATCGACTAAACGCCAATCGACGCTCAATATAGTCCAAGCCACTATTAGTCGTATCCGCTGAAACACCATCGCAGGATTGCCGATGAGCCATGTTCCTCTCTTTCCAGACTGTCGCTAAGCTTCGCATATGTTCTTTCCCACCCGACGTCTGACGAGACGGGAGTTGGCTCCAAAGCCGTTCCAGAGCGCGCCACTTCTTGCAGGGTGGAACACCACTGCCGCTACATATGCGGTTGAGGTCAGCTTGCTATAGTAGTCGTTCAGCTTCTTCCATCCGAGCTTGATGTAAATCTTCAAAACCCTGCGAGTTCTTGCGTCCATGTCATTGAACAGGTGAACCTCTTTCATGGTCTGATCTTCGTTCTCTTCGATTATAACTCCCTGAACTGCTAGTTCGAGGTGGTCAAGGAGCATCTCTACCACCGGAAGTACTCATCGAACCCTCCTGACGTGGAGCGTTTACCAGCAATACCCTCGCCCTGGAGTTGCTTCGAGGCGATCTTGAATGGCTGAAGGATCTTCTGAACCGCAACAACGACCTTCCATTCTTCAAGGGAAAGTTGTTCTTTCAGTATCGCTGGTTTGTCCTGTTCTTTGCCGCCTTTGCCAAGCCATCGTTCCTCGATGATGGAAAACATCCTGTTCAAAGCCGTACGCTTCAGCAGAGCGCGTGAGGCCATCGCCTCATCGGATTGCCAGCGAGTGCAGACGTTTTGAACCCACGTAAGAATAGGTTCAGTAGGAGCGGTTTGCCGTTGAGCTTCGTAAAAGACCTCGAGAAGTTGACTGCTCGTTCGAAGAGCAATGCCAATATTGTGAAGTTTGCCAAATGGCCCAAACTTGCGGTACTTGTCCACTTCTTCGCCATTGATGATGTCGGGCAGTACGTCCTGATCCTGACTGCCTTCTGGGACTGTTTCAACCTCGAATCCTTCTTCCATGCTCGGCACACAGAAGTCGTCGTCGGTCGCCAGCTCATTGATAGCGTCGGACAACTGGCGCTGCTCTTCCTCTTCAGCCACAAAGTCCTTATCGCCCCAATGAGCAAGCAACTCGTTGAAATTATCCCTTTTGCTGCCGTACATCATAGCCCTGACGGCCAGGTTCAGAAAATGAGGGGCGCAGCGGATGCGACGCTCTTCCCTGTCGAAATCGAACTCAGCGGCAAGCGCTTCCACAGCCGTATCATTATTCGTAGCGTTGTCAAGCGTGTAGTACCCGATTCTGACGCCGGATAACAGTCAAGATTGTCAGCTAACGGACCCAAGAAGTGTTGACTGTGGTTCTATACCTGTCTTCAAGACCAAACGCGCATATTGTATCTGCAACTTCATCTGCAAGCGCTGCTCCAGTATGGCGTTTCGCGAGAGCCGGCAAAGCCAAGAGGATTCCCATTGGTTCCAATCTTGGTCGATAAAGTGGGCGTTGATACCGAGGAATGATGTGTTTTGTCGGGAAGTCCAGCCATCAAAGGTAAATGAATCATACTTCTCGCTCTTTGAAGCAGCTCGCAAAGCGGACCAAGAGCGCGATTATACTCATCTAGTAGCAGATTCACAAGCGTTTTGCCAGTTGGTATCTGGCCTTCCTGGAGAGCCGGGTTGTTGTAGAGAAGGAGTCGTCTGAAGCGCTCAGAGTTTACGACATTAAAGGGGAGGTTATGATATGTAAGCCAGTCGAGCAGGAGCAGTTGATTCATCTTCGGATCGAATAACGTATGCAGATTGCTGAGAAGAGTCTGATCTCGAGGGTTCGTCGGATCGGCGCGAAGCATATCAAGCAGGTTCCGTTCTGCACCTCCACTCCCGGTAACTGAGCCTGCACGTTGTCTAGAAGGTGGCTGACAAGTTAGCGGGCATGATCGAACGACGTGGAGATGGGGTACGGAGAGGTGGCACAAACCACGACTTTGTGCTCCTTCCTCAGATGTCGGACGACGCTTCCCAGTCGAAGCGATGAAGACGTAATGTGCTGTCTTCGGCCTGTCCCGGAGGAAGCATCTCTCGCAGATCCATACGATCTTGTGGGGCCGTGACCTGTTGTCCTTCATTCTGAATCCGAATTGCCACCACCACGTCCGTTCTCGAGAAGGGTCGTGGCAAATCGTAGCCGGGGAACCGCCCAAATTTATCAGTCGTCCAAGCTTCATAATCTGGAAACCCCATGGGTGCATATTTAGTTGATGCTGAACTGGTTGTCGGCTCGGAAGGCGGCGGCGTGGAGGAGGCGATCTCTATGTCCTCATCAAGCGCGTCCATGGTGGGAAACGTCCGTAAACAATGTGGGCGAGGTCAAATCGAAGGGTGCGAGGCTGATAAGGTCGAATCTGTATGAAGTCTACTCGGACAGGCTGAGGCCCGAAATAATTCCTGGTTGCGACGCGTACTGATTCCGTTGAACGGGGAGGACTTGCAAACGCAAGAGACGGAGAGATCAATTTACTTTTGTCGACACGCGACGCGCGGCAACAAGATAGATATGACTGGCTGCCTGGGACCCCCGGTCGTTTGCCAGGGTGTTTGGCAGACGCGTCGGGCGGCAGCATCGTCACGCACCCAACCTACGCAGCCTACCCTGGACACCTTGTATGGACATGGCGAACGACGATCAAATCGATCGATTGGAGGTTGGATCGATACGATATCGATCGAGCAGGACTTCTAATCGATCGATCGAAATCGAAATCGATTCGATTAATCGATTCGATCAAATCGATTGTACGATCGATTTCCAAGCCTGTACTGGCTTGCGTTGTCCGTCGACTTCCTGCGTAAGTGTGCCCCCAAGCGCCCAGCCGCTACAGTCTGCTTCTACGAAGGTTGGCCTCTCGAAATCCCATTGAGTAAGAATAGGGGCGTTCGTAAATAGCGTCTTTAGTGTCTGGAACGCCATATCGTGCTCGTCCGTCCACTTGAACTTAGTCCCCTTCCTGTTAGTGCTGTTAGGTGCAGTTATTTCCGAGGCTTGCGGTATAAATATCCGGTAGTAGTTAACGAATCCTAGAAAACTGCGCACCCCTTCTGGGTAACGGGGACTGCCCACTGACTATTGCTCGTATCTTGTCGGGATCTGCCTGAATGCCAATTCCTGCGTGAATAATGAATCCTAGGTACTTAATCCGCTTGACTCCAAATTCGCATTTCTCCGGTCTAGGTGTAGTCCATGCTCGGCGAGGCGTTCTAAAACTAACCGTACCTTCCGGAAATGGTCTCTCTGCTCCCGCTCGAATAGATAAGTATATCGTCCATATAAGCAGAGGCGAACTCGTCGAGGTAGTCTCGTAGGATACCGTTAATATACCGCTGGAAGGTTGCTGGCGCGCCACTTAGCCCGAACGGGGTAACCATCCATTCGAAGAGACCGTACCGGGTGCGGAACGCTGTCTTCCACTCGTCTCCTTCTGCAACCCGTACTTTATGGAACGCTTGTACCACGTCGACCTTAGTGAACCACTTCGCATCTTTTAGGTTGCGAAGTGTGTCCCTATTAGAGGAAGGGGTAACGGTCCGACTTAGTGATTGCGTTCAACGCTCTGTAGTCACAACAGAATCGCAGCCCGCCACCTGGTTTCCTCACAAACAGGACTGGAGCTGCTGCTTCTGAACTGCTTGCACGGATAAATCCTTTATCCACTAGGTCTCGTAGAGTCTTCTTAAGAACCAGGAGTTCCTCGTGACATACCGTATAGTGCTCCATACGGTAGTGGTAACTGCTGGCCATTCGGGTCCTCCTTGATTCTGATTTCGTGGTCTATGCCTGGCTTATGAGGATTCAGCTTATCAGCTTCCTTCTTCATAAATAGAGGCAGTAAATCGTGGAACCGCTGGGGTATCGTTCGGCGTAGCTCTGCTTCTGACATGGGTTTCTTTGGTGATAACGCCCTTTCGATATCCTTCATGCTGATAGCGAAAATCGCCGTGGCAGCTGCTCTCTTCCTTCCTGCTTGCGGATCCTTTCAAAGTAACCCACAAAGGTACTGGCTAGTACGTGCTTTGCTTCTTCGAACTCCTTGGCTTTCGCAGAATATTCTCCTTCCCCGAGGTGATCTACCCAGTCTTGTGTAGGTTCATGCCATAGTCGTTTCTCGTGGGGCACTGAGTACGACTTTGTGTGGCATAACCAGGGTTTTCCTAGGATTAGGGGGAATTCCAATCGGGGCACCACGTAGGCACAGATCGTCTGTATGTGGCCGTTGACCTCCATTGATAGCCATACGAGGCCCCTAATCGTTGCTCCTTCCATTGCCCCTGATGCTCCTGTAATAGCTCGCGGTGCTATTTCCACTATAGGAACTTCCAACTTTTCGACGACTTCTTCGTCAACCGCGGCGTAGCACTGGCATCCTCGTCTACGAGTGAGGAGAAGAGATTGGTCCTATTGATAATGCTTCGAATTATTGTAGGACCAACTTCCATTTTTCCTGAGAACTCTCTTCTTTGCCACTGCTCCGTTCTTTGGCCTCGAGACCCGTCTTTGTTTCGAGGCTACGCATTTCCCGAGAGGGATGGGGTCTCGCTAAGTCCTGACTCTTCCTCACTAGAGTCGTTACCATCATCTTCCAGCAAGGGCATGATCCTAGCGGTGCGGACTTTACATCCCTCGACCGGCTAGGGTCCTGTCCTGGCGAGTAGCAAGCGGCAATGAAATGGGTGTTGTCGCCGCAGCGGAGACAACGACCCTCGTCACGGCGTTTATTCCGTTCGTCCTCGGATACCCACCTCGCCCGTTGCTTCCGTCCTGACCTAGGCTGGAAGCGAACCGTCTTGCTCGTTCCACTTGACCCCTGCCGTTCGCCCGTCCTCTCTGACCCTGCCCCTGAGTGCGTGTAACCGTCATTATTACGTCGCCGTCATGGTCGCGTGCGTCACGTGCGTTCTGCTCGGCGGGTAACGTTGCTGACGGTGCCGGGGTGTTGTCGTTACCGGCGACCTGGATGTTGCCGATGCCTGATGCCTGCCCTTGGTCACGTTGCCCGCGGAGCCCTGCTTCCTCTGCAACGCCTTAAACTTCGCGGTGTGCTCGAACGCCCAAGCAATCGGGTGTAGACGTTGATGTACTCGTTGTAGTCCTTCGGCATGATAACCGGGACTAGTTGCTCACGGAGAGCAGGAGAGATCGAGTTCCGTAGCCATGCGAGCTTGGAAGCATTATCCCAGCTCGCGCCGCCCGCTTTGGTCAATGTTTCCTCGAATTCAGGGAGGAACTTCCCAAACTCTTGGCTGTCTCGTTGAATGAGGGTGCGCAGCCTGTCCTGCGCCCTCTCTGTCTGCTGCACGCTGCCGAACGTCTGGGCTAGGTGCGAGAAGAATTTCCGGGGGTCTGGGTTGCCCTTCGCGCTCTCTTGCCTCCAAAAACCCTCGACTCTCCTCATCATCTGATCCGGCAAGGTCTGCAGGATCTCGTACCACACGACGTTGTTATTGCCGTTTAGGCCCTCCTCTTCGTCGGTATTGTACTTAAATACCAGACGGTCGAGGTAGAAGTGGAAGGACTCGGGCTGACCGTTCCACTTCGGCCAAGTCATCGGCTTGCGCTTCTTGCCACGGTCCATTTCCTGGGCTGCTTCCGGCCTCGGTTCGACGGGTAAGATCGCCGGGGTACTGAGCACCCCCGGGCTGGGTGTCAACGGTGGCGCTGCTAGGCCTAGCCCGGTGAACATCTTCCGCAGTTCTTCGTCTCCCGCGATCCCAGATAAGATCTGCAAGAGCTCTTGCTCCTTCCTCCATCGGCTCGTTGCGCCGCCGGTCGCGGTGCCCTGCATAACTACTATTGTCCTCCATCTTGTTCGTCCGTCTCGTCGTCCGATCGATCGTCCGTCTCGTCGTTTAGCCTATCGCCTGTCTTGCTGTCTGTCCTGCTGACTGTCCTGCTGTCTGTCCTGCTGTCTGTCCTGCTGTCTGTCCTGCTGTCTGTCCTGCTGTCTGTCCTTCTGTCTGTCCTGTCTTTTGTTAACTGGTAGCTCAATATGTTACGGGTCAGCACTGTTGGCACAGGTGCTGGGCGTAATTGATGTAAATTGAGCTACAAAGAGTGTAAAGGGGAGACGTGTCTACATCGCTCCCTTTAGGAGTCGTGTCCGTGGCGCTCGCACGTGACTAGTCTGGCCATGCCAGATCTACACATCGGGGCGTAGCCCCTTACAATGCATCACTAAATTCACCTTTCTATGCCCCTATTTCTTCCACTGTGCTCTCAAGCCACTGCTTGAGAAATACTTTAAGCCTTATTTACTTTTCTAACTGCTCACTGCGCAGTCGAGCTGCTTGCGCGTTTGATTTGTGAACCCACTGGAAGCCCTATGTTATGTCTCCGGTTCACACAGATGCTTCGTGCCTGGGGGCAAATTTACCTGGAAGTGCTTTTTTCTGAAATTCTGACACAAAAAGGCAGGGCCATGGGCCCAAGGAGAAATCAGCTGTATTCTCTCGTTTCTCCAGCTCGTGGGGCGGCTTTCAAGTACAAGATCGAGCAAGGGGCTTGGCCTGCCGACGCGACGGGATTTGGACCGGAGGCTGTCAGCTTTTGAGGCCAATTGTCCCGAAACTCCTAGACGTACCCATTGTGCGAGTTCCGGACACATGGCCCGAACCGCCTGGCCGGCTCTCACTCAGCAGAGTCAGCACGTGTCTTACCAGCAGTTGCCAAGCCCAGGAAATTGATGCTGTTCAGTCTAGTGCCTGGCTGACAATGATACGAATACTCCTGGACAGAGACAAGGGAAGGTATCGCCGGACCCTTTACCGATAAAGGTCGGGTGGTGGAAACTCGCCTGATTTGTTTTCTTTTCCCGACACGCGGGACTGGATGATACCGGCCCCTATGAACCCGCGTGGCCAATCAAACCCCCGAGACGTGGAAAATTTTCCGCGTCTTAGACACCTTGGTTTATCAAGCTGTAAGCGGAGTCGACGCCCTAGCTCAGCACAGTGGCGCTCATTCCTAATCAGCTCGTGAAAAGCCGAACGTGCCTGCTTGATACGACTTCATACACTCATGCTGGATCGGGTCCTATAGAGCATAGGATTATTGATAGGGTATTGGGAGGACTGCATACCGGGTATGCACAGATGGTTGAAGATAAATCAATCATAGGCCGATTGGTGATCCACCTGACCCCTTTCCCTCCGCCCTCTGGCTGTGTTTTTCTTTCTTCTTTGGCGCTCCCTGAAGCGGACGGCATCACAAGTTAGGCACTTTCCGGGAGACGAATTCAACCCTCACCGGACATGTGTAAATTACATACAGAAGAAATATCAACTGCGGAGCAAGTGCCCATCCTAAGCATGTGCCCACTCGCGGTAACCGGACTGAGGACTGGTTGTTATTAGAGATTAGTTTGGTTCTAGCCACCTCTCAGATCCGTCGCCGGTCCAGGCCATGTCTGGTCCTTTCACCAATGCCTTTCCAAGCCAAGTGCCGCTTAGCCGCTCGGTTTGAGTGCCACCCTCCCCTTGCTTCGCAATTCTGCCAGAAATGATAGCCGATGCCCATTCTCGGTACCAAGCTGCCGTGGTCTCAACTGTGTAGAATCGTAGTGCGGAAGCAGACCTGCGAGCCGCTAGTATTTTGGCATGCCTGCTTCTACCTTGACTGTGATGGACTTAGATGAAACAAAGTGTTCGGTATGAATCAGAAGAAACAGTATAATAAGAAATCCCCTGGGAGCCTCTCCTGTTTTGCGTCGTCTGGGTTCCGCCAGGAAGCATCTCTATGTCCAGCCTCCAGTCCTTACCATCATTGAAAATCACCGGCACAAGCCGCAGTGAGCCAAGTGAGCTCCAAGTTCAAGCAAACAGCATGAACGAGCCCATTGCCATCATAGGAACGGCGTGCCGATTTCCAGGCTCTGCCAGTTCCCCCTCCAAGCTCTGGGAGCTTCTAAAGTCACCAAGGGATGTCGTCCGCCCCTTTACAGCGAAAAGACTCAACTTGTCCAACTTTTACAGCCAAAATGGCGAAGCACATGGCCGGACAGATGTACAGCAGCAGTCATACCTGCTTGAGGAGGACGTCCGTCTTTTTGACGCGGCCTTCTTTCGTATCAACCCCAAGGAGGCGGCCGGCCTGGACCCCCAGCACCGGATTCTGCTGGAAACAGTCTACGAGGCGTTCGAGGCGGCAGGACTACCTCTCAGCGCCGTAGAGGGATCACAGACATCCGTCCACGTTGGCGTGATGACCGACGACTACTACACCATTCAAGCTCGAGACCCGGACACCATGGGTAGCCATGCAGCCACTGGCTTGTCCCGCTGCATCCTGTCAAACCGCGTCTCGTATGCTTTCGACCTACGGGGCCCGTCGATGACGGTTGACACGGCGTGCTCCAGCTCCTTGGTTGCCCTGCATCTCGCCGTCCAGAGCCTCCGCAAAGGAGAGGCCTCCCAAGCAGTGGTGGGAGGCACCAGCCTCCTCCTCGACCCGCACTGGTTCGTGACGGAATCCTCATTGCACATGCTGTCTCCCGACTCGCGCTCTCGCATGTGGGATATAGAAGCCAACGGATATGCCCGCGGGGAGGGCTGCGCGGCAGTGATTCTGAAACCTCTCAGCAAGGCAATTCAGCATGGCGATCACATCGAGTGCATCATTCGCGAAACGAGCGTCAACTCGGACGGCCGAACAAATGGCCTGACCATGCCGTGCCCCAAGGCTCAGGCCGCCCTGATTCGGCAGACGTACCAGAACGCAGGACTGGACCCTGTTGCGGATCGATGTCAATACTTTGAGTGTCATGGCACCGGCACTCAGGCTGGCGATCCGGTTGAAGCTCGCGCCATCAACGATGCCTTCTTCCCACCAGGCACACTCGACCAGGCTGATCAAGTCGGTCGGCTGTACTGTGGCTCCATCAAGACCATTGTCGGCCACCTGGAGGGCTGTGCTGGGTTAGCTGGCCTTCTCAGGGCGTCATTGGCAATTCAGCACCAGGCCATTCCACCCAACATGTACTTCAACGAGCTCAATCCATCGATCAAGCCATTCTACGCCAACCTCTGCGTGCCCACGTCCCTTCTGCCATGGCCAGAGACGCACTGCAAACCTCGTCGTGCAAGCGTCAACAGCTTTGGATTTGGCGGTACAAATGCCCACGCCATCATCGAGAGCTACGATCCACCCCCAGCCGCTCTGACATTCCATGGCCAACCGAATGCTCTCACGGGCGCAAAGAGTCCAGACGAATCGAAAGCAAATTTTGGGCTTATCGGACCCTTTGTATTCTCAGCCAGAAGCCGCACGTCCTTGGCCCGCTCGCTGGGGCGAATATTGGACCATTTGCGTTTGAATCAGGCACTCGATCTGGATGCCTTGGGAGGGGTGTTGCATTCGAATCGAACCGCTTTCTCATACAGGGTCGCAATTCCTGCCGTGAGGAACTGCCAGCAACTCATCGAGAGCTTGGAGGAGCAGGTCGAACTCGCCTCTGGCCCATCAACTAGCGGAACGTTCGGTGTCCGGGCGTTGAACGAATCCGGATCAAAGCAGCGGCCAAGGATCTTGGGAATATTCACAGGACAGGTAGTAATTTGTGTCGTTTCCAGGCGGAGAGATATATGGACCAAAGAGCTAATTCATTATGGTGACCATAGGGGGCTCAGGCGGCTCAAATGGGTCGACAACTTTTGGCGCACTGCACGCTCTTCCGACAGTCCATCGACAACTGTGAGGCCGCGTTGGCATCTCTGCCCGAAGCTCCCACTTGGTCGCTTCGACAGGAGCTGGCCGCCGAAGAAGCGGTATCGCGTCTCTCGGAAGCCAGCATCTCTCAGCCACTATGCACTGCTGTTCAGATCGCCCTGGTCGACCTCCTGCAAGCCGCCGGCATCCAGTTTGCCACAGTCGTCGGCCACTCGTCAGGCGAGATTGGCGCAGCCTACGCAGCCGGCCTCTTGGACCGACGAGACGCAATGGCCATCGCGTATTACAGAGGCCACGTCGCTCACCTGGCTCAAGGACCCGGCGGCAAGCCTGGAGGCATGATGGCGGCGGCGCTGACGTTTCGCGAGGCGAAATCTCTCTGCTCGGGACCTCGCTTCGGTGGCCGACTCAGTGTAGCGGCTGGCAACGCTCCGTCCAGCGTTACTTTGTCTGGTGACCTAGATGCCATCGAGGAGATCAAGGGGCTCTTGGATGCGAGGAAGGTCCAGGCACGGCAGCTGCGGGTCGACACGGCCTATCACTCCCACCACATGTTTAGCTGTGCTGAGGCCTACTTGGAACATCTCAAGCGGCTGAACGTGGCAGTCCAGACGCCTCCGAAAGATGGTGCTTGCGTGTGGTTCTCGAGCGTGCGGAGAAATACCAATATGACGGCTCAGCCAATTCATCAGCAGGGTCTCGAGGGCCAGTATTGGGTCGACAACATGGTACAGCCGGTGCTCTTTTCTGAAGCTGTACAATTCGCAGTGCAGACGAATCCAGCCCCCTTTGCCGTTGCTCTCGAGGTCGGGCCGCACCCGGCTCTTAGGGGCCCAGTGAGCCAAACGCTCAAGCCCTTAAGTGCCTCTCCGTTACCCTATGCCGGGTGCTTGGAGCGTGACCAGGGAGGCGTTGAGAGCATGTCGGCAGCAATCGGAATGATTTGGAGCTACCTGGGCCCCTCTGCCGTCGACTTTGGTGGCTGGCGAGAGGCCTTTGGCTTGCCAGGTCGACAGGCCCCTCTCAAAGATCTTCCCTCGTACGCGTGGGATCACGACCAGATATATTGGCGGGAGTCCCGTCTCTCGCATAACTTTCGGGTTGGCGGGCAGCCGCCGCACAATCTGCTCGGTCGTCAGCGCGAGGATTCCCAATACGAGAAGACATGGCGCAACTTCTTCCATCTGCACGAGATGCCCTGGGTAAAGGGGCATGTGTTCCAGGGCCAGGTGCTATTCCCTGGAGCCGGCTATGTCAGTCTAGCGGTGGAGGCGTCCAAAGCCTTTGTCCAGGATCGCCCCGTCAAGTTGCTTGAGGTTCGAGATATGAACATCCCCAAGGCGCTGGTAATAGGCGAGGACAACGGGATTGAAATTCTGTTTACGATTCGGAGCAAGACGCTTCCCTCGGCTGTACCAGACGGCTCCATCTTGGAAGCCGATTTTGTCTCCTACAGTTGTTCAGATGAGCGTGTACTGGACAGGACTTGCAACGGACACCTGCTTATCCATCTTGGTCGTGCAGAGCCGGGGGACCTCCCGCCTAACTCACTGTCTCAGGTCGAACTCACGCCCCTCAGCACAGACAGGTTCTACCGTGCCGTTTCAGAGATAGAGCTCGACTACGGTGGAGTATTCCGCACATTGCACTCCATCGGCAGGTCCTGGGGCCACGCCAAGGCATCCGCTTCATGGCCCAAGGGCGATCTTGACATTGGCTGCTCGCTGCATCCCGCTCTGCTCGACGTCGCCTTCCAGACGGGACTGGGGACTTTCGTGTCCACAGCCGAAAAGTCAATGGGTAGCCCATACCTTCCGATTGGGATCAAGCGGGCCATCATCGATCCCAACCAGGATTACCGGGATGAGTCGGGTTCGACTAGCATCGATATCGAGGCTTTGATGGCGAGTGCAAATGCCAGTGTTGTAGAGGTTGACATCAGCATATGCGCCAAATCAAGAAGCAGCGATGAGAGCTGCGGCATCCAAATCGATGGATTGATACTCAAAGCGATTGCAGAACCACAGCCCTCCGAAGACCGGAATCTCTTTGTCAAGACAATCTGGGATGTCGACAGTGCCTATGGCCTGACTGCCCCGTCGCCGGCTCGAGTTGACATTAACGAGTCGGCAAAGATGATTGACGCATGTGAGCGTGTTACGCTGTTTTATATGCAAAACCTCGTTCGCGAGATATCGTCGAAGGAACTGGAATCAGCGCAATGGTACCATCAGGAGTTGTCTCGCTACATCCATACCACATTGGCCACGGTCCGTGAGGGGAAGCACGCGATACTGCGCAAGGAGTGGTTAGATGATGACCGCGAAACCATCACGAGGCTCGCCGAGCGCTATTCCAACAACGTTGATATTGAGATGCTGGTCGCCGTGGGCGAGAACCTGCCATCCGTTGTGCGAAAAGAGTCTGGGATGATGGAGCACATGTTGAACAACGACCTGCTTGGCCGACTGTACAAAGAAAGCAACGGGTTGGCAACTTGCAACCGCCATGTCGCCGATCTCATGCGTCGAATCAGCCACAAGCACCCGCGGACCAAGATACTCGAGATTGGTGCTGGCACTGGCGGGACGACAGTCAGTGCCTTGAACGCCGTGGGCGATGCGTATTCGTCATATACGTGCACCGACATCTCGGCGAGCTTCTTCAACGGGCTTTCGAAGAAGCTGCCTGAAGAGCACACGCCAAAGGTTGACTTTGAGGTGTTCAATGCCGAGAAGGCACCTGCTGCACAAGGCTTCACTGAAGGGAGCTATGATGTTGTCATTGCAGCCAACGTGCTTCACGCAACACGAAGGCTGTCGGAGACTGTTCAGAACGCCAGAGCTCTCTTGCGTCCTGGAGGATATCTGATCGCGATTGAAGTCACAGGCACCATGATCCGCGAGACCGGCCTCATGGGGGGGTTGGAGGGCTGGTGGCTTGGCGCGGAGGAAGGAAGGAGAATGGGCCCAGGCATCGGCCCCAGAGAATGGGACAGAATACTCGAGAAGAACGGGTTCTCGGGCGTCGACTGCATTGTCCACGACCACCCTGATGTCGCCAGGCACAGCTGTTCTGTGTTTGCCACTCAGGCAATTGACGACCGACTCAACGTGTTACGGGATCCTCTTTTCTCCATGGACCTGATTCCCAAGAGCCCCGTGCTGATTCTGGGAGGCAGGACGCTGGCCGTTTCCAAGCTGGCTCGTCGCGTAGCCAAGATGTTGCGTCTCTGGTCATCGGAAATCAGGGCTTGCGACAATATCGACGACCTGGATTCCGCTGATATGCTCCCCGGAACCTTTGTCTTGTGTCTCTCGGACCTGGACAAGCCATTCTTCTCTGAGTCCCCGACACCGGAAAGGCTGGACAGGCTGCAGGGGATGCTGGGTGCTGCTCGCAACATATTGTGGGTTACGTGCGGGCGCATGCTTGACGACCCCTATTCCAATATGATGGTGGGTATCGGCCGTGCTCTTGCGGTGGAACTGCCCCATGTGAATATGCACTACCTCGACTTTGAACGTCCTGAGGCTTGGAGTGCCGACGTTGTTGTTCGCCACGTTCTGCGAATGGCCGTCACATTGGCTTCCTCGACTGACACTCGAGACATGCTGTGGGCTCAAGAACCGGAGACGCTTGTCAAGGGGAATGAGTTGCTGGTGCCTCGCATTGTGCCTGATCACGCGGCGAACGAGACACTCAACGCCAAACGTCGGAGAATCAGCAAGCTCGTCGACTCGACGGAGAGGATCACCATCGCCTCTCAGAGCATCAACTCATCTGAGCCACTGCTTGTCATTGGAAGCCCCCTTGATGTCCCAGAGCGTCATCTGGCAGTTGATGTCAAGCTGTCGGTAGCACTACATGCCGGCCACGAGAAGCCATGCTTCTTGTGTTTCGGCCATGTACAAAACCCCGGTCATCCGGCATGTACAGAAGCGGTATTTGCCTTGTCCGCGACCAACTCTTCGGCCATCGTTGCGCACGCGGAGAGCCTTTTCACCTGCCCCGATTCGCAAGCTGGCGGTGCCGACGCACTTGTGGCCATGGCATCCGCCCTGATTGCTTCGCAAGTGCTTCCCAGCTTCCCGAAGCACGGGACAACCCTTGTTTGCGGAGCTACCGGCATCATGGCCGAGTCCCTCGCCACAGCGGCAGCGCAGGCTGAGCGCAAGGTGCTATTCGTGGCCGTCGACTCAGCCGGGGAAAGGGGTCGAGACGGCTGGATCGTGGTGCACCCTCGTGCCCCGGCCCGGGTCGTTCAAAAGCTGATCCCCCGTGATACGTTATTACTCTTGAATTTCTCCGAAGATGCTTTGCATAGCGTACTGCCCTGCCTGCCCAAATTCTGTGCGGTTCAGGCTTTTGACCCTGGTTTCATCCCTCACCAGCCAGCCGCGGTGGCTGCCGCCGCTCTGGCCGTGGCCTATGAGGCGCACAAGGCAATGAATGCCGGGGGGACGAGCACAGCGCCAGTCGTCACTGTCGTCAACATCGCCGAGGCGTCTCAGGAGCTTCTCACAGGAAAAGAGCGCCTCTCTCTCGTATTGGACTGGGAGCGTCAAGAGCCGGTGAGCGCGGTCATCCAGCCCCTCGAGGCCAACAGCATATTCTCCGTCGACAAGACATATTTCCTCGTCGGGATGGCTGGAGAATTGGGCCAGTCACTTTGTCGCTTCATGATCCGCGGCGGCGCTCGCTACATCGTCCTGGCCAGCCGCAATCCCGCCAAGGATCCGCATTGGCTCACGGATCTCCGGTCGACCGGGGCTGATGTCCGCATTGTCAAGATGGACGTGACGGACCAGACGCAGGTGCGCGAGACGGTTGCCATGCTCCGGCAAATCATGCCCGAGATAGGAGGCGTTGCCAACGCTGCCCTGGTCTTTGAAGCGGGCATATTTGTCAATTTCTCAGCCGACAACGTCGCCAGACAGCTCAAGCCCAAAGTCGACGGCACGCTTCACCTCGACCACGAGTTTGCCTCGGACAATCTCGAGTTCTTCCTGACGTTTGGTTCTCTGGCAACTGTGTGTGGTAATCCAGGCCAGGCCATGTATCACGCCGGCAACATGTTCATGTCAAGCCTGGTGGAGAAGCGCCGGCAACGCGGCCAGGCGGCTTCCATTCTCAACTTTGGACTGCTGGTCGATGTCGGATACGTTGCCCGAATGGATCGTGCCGACGGGACGAATATCGAAGGAACCCTTCGTTCCTTGCTCCTGACACCTCTCTCGGAAGCAGAGCTCCATCATCTTGTGCTTCAAGGCATCATCTCCGGCCGCCCAGGCTCGGCTTCTGGGGAAGTCATCATGGGGATGGCGCCCTACATCGACGATGGAAAAGCAGCGGCTCGACCTCCATGGGTTGACAAGACATTCTTCTCCCACATGATCCATGCGCCCATGGTCGCCGCCAAGGGTCAAACATTTGCCCAAACGTCGCCATCACTCACATTGCAGCACTTGCGCGAGAACTTGGACCGCTCCAGCACCATTGAAGAAGCGACCGAAGGCGTGAAGGAGTTGTTTTACAAAAAGATTGAGTCGATGATCAAGGTTCCAAGAACATCCATTGACGCGAACGCACCCCTGGCAGACCTGGGACTCGACTCGCTCCACGGCATCGATATACGAAAGTGGTTGCTCGAGGACCTCAAGGTCAACATTCCTCTACTGAGGATTCTCGGTCGTGAACCCCTGTCCGCCCTTTGCGGCAGTATTGCTCAGAGCTTCATGGAAAGTCGAGTGGGGTCGAGTGATCAAGTGAAGGCGCCTGTACCGGCAGCAAAGCCGACTTTAATGGAGAGCCCACGGGTTCCTGAGATACGAGCGGCCAGCGACTCCACCCCCGGCGAGCTCAAGTTGTCCAACCTGACGATACCTGTGAAGAAAGCCCGAGGAACCGACGCAGAATCCCCTCTGGCATCCCCAGGCACTCCGACGTCCTCGACAGACGACGCCCCTTGGACCGACTCCAGCAGCGACGACGGACACCGCGAGACCAACGTCACCGCTGCGTCCGTTTCACCGTCGCTGTCCCTGTCATCACTCGAGATAGAGACCATAGACCTGCAAGGCTCAGGGGACGCCAGGTATAAGCGCAGCGAGCGCCTGTCATTTGCGCAGGCAGGCATTCACTTTTTGCATACGTTCCTGGATGACCCCACGTCGTTCAACGTTACGACGCGGTATGCTGTCAGAGGGCGATTGAACGTCAGCAGACTAGCACAGGCCATCGAGAAAACATTGAGTCATCACGAGGCCTACCAGACGTGCTTCTTCGCCGACTCAGGCAGTTCTCAGGTGAAGCAGCATGTTGCGAGCAACATCAACTTACACCGGTTCAGGCATGTTTCCTCTACGAGAAGAGAGGCGGAGGAGCACGCACGAAATGCCTTTGACTCAGTGGCGAATGCCGAGTACCTGCTCGCTTCTGGGGAGGCATTCCGGGCCGTCCTCGTGACTCACGAGCCCGAAAGACACACTCTTGTCTTTGGCTTCCACCTCATGGCGAGTGATGCGCTCAGCTTCAGCATCTTCCTTCGGGACCTCGATCGGGCATACCAGATGCTGCCCCTGTCGTCGAATACGAGCTCGTATCTCGACTATACCCGACGACAACACGACGACGTCAACGCCCATCGCTTTGATGAATTCATAGCTTACTGGAAACGGCACCTCAATCCAGTTCCGACCCCCCTCCCTTTACTGCCGATAGCTCAAGTGAGTTCTCGACATGCACGCCGCGTGTACCGGAACCACATCGTTGAACGGGAGCTGGGCGTCGACATGGCCCGCAGGGTCAGGGGAGCTAGCCAAGCCTGCGGCGCCACCTCGATGCAGTTCTACCTGGCGGCCATGCAGGTCCTGCTTGCTCGTCTCGCCAATGTCGACGACGTGTGCATTGGGGTGGCGGATAGCGGCCGCAGTCGCACAGGAGACTTTGCCGACTCGGTTGGCCACTTTGCTAATATCCTCCCGGTTCGATTCCAGATCGACTCCGGGCATTCGTTTGAGGAGCTGCTCAACCGAACATCGCACTCGGTACTCAGTGCGTTTGACAATTCGCAGGTTCCGTTTGACCTGCTCCTCGAAAGACTGGGCATTGAGCGGTCTCCAGTGCACACGCCTCTCTTCCAGGTCGCCTTCAACTACCGCGTGGGCGACATATTGCAACGACCCCTGGGTGACTGCATCCTGTCGATGGAGAAATATGTAGATATCAAGACGCCCTACGACTTCGTCATCAACGTCACCCAGACAGGGTCGCAGGGTCATCTCGTCGAGTGCATCACCAGTGGAAACTTGTACTCGAAGTCCGCCACCGAGTTCATCACGGACACCTTTATCGGCTTGGTTGAGTCCTTGACCCAGGACCAGTCTGCCAGGATTCGGGACTGCAAGCTTTTCAGCAGCGAGCAGGTCGAGCGCGCCATTGCTCTTGGACGAGGGCCAGCCACCAGACATCCTTGGCCCAAGACGTTGCCCGAGCGATTTCAGCAAGTCGTCTCTGCTTATCCAGGATCCATCGCCATCAAAGACGCCGACGAGTTCCTGACCTACAGCCGTCTGGCCCGTCGGGTTGGCCTTTATGCTTCCAGTCTCCTTGGCGCCAACGCCGGTCCGGGCTCTCGTGTGGCGGTTCTGTGTGAGCCGAGCATCGATATCTACGCGGCGATGCTTGCCATTCTACACATCGGGGCCGTCTATGTCCCTCTTGACATCAGCCTTCCAGACGCACGGCGCCGAAGCATGATGAAGGCTTGTAGGCCGGACATGCTTGTGTTCCACGCCGCCACGACCGAAGCCGCCATGGAATGTTCTGGCGATGGAAAGGTTCGCACGCTTGACCTGTCCAAACTGCACGTATCTTCCCCTCCAATAGGTTCTCTCCCTGCACTCGCCCCTTCGTCTGCTACTCGAGATAGCTTCCTCCTCTTCACTAGTGGCTCCACAGGCACGCCAAAGGGGATCAGGCTAGGCCAAGGGGGCATCATGAACTACGCCGCGTCCAAGAGCGCCATGCTTGGTCTTGGTCAGGTAAGAGTGCTGCAGCAGACGTCTAGCGGGTTCGACATGGCGATTGCTCAGGCCTTCAATGCTTTTGCTAACGGGGGGACTCTTGTCGTCGCCCCCTCAAAGGCTCGTGGTGATCCAAGCATGATTTCCCAGATTATGCTCGAGGAAGGAATCGAGTTCACCCTTGGCACACCTTCGGAATACCTCATGTTGACGGCGTATGCCGCCGATACTGTGCAAAGGTGCACGTCGTGGCGCTATGCCTGCTCCGGGGGTGAAGTCGTTTCGGAGAGGCTCGTCAGGTCTTTGCGGCGGCTGGAGCTGCCCAGTCTCAGTTTCACAGACTGGTATGGCCCGACCGAGGTGTCCTGTGCCACCACGTTCCGGAATATCCGGCTGATGGCCGGCGCAGGCGAAGCTTTCGAAAGCCATGGCACCGGAGATGGCGCGACCAGCGTCGTTGGCAAAGCCATCTCCAATACCTCCATCTACATCGTCAGTGAAGATGGCAAGACCGCGTTACCGACTGGTATGCCGGGAGAGATTTGCATCGGTGGCGGCGGCGTCGCCAGAGGCTATCTAGATGCCGACCTGAGTCGGGACAAGTTTGTGGCAGACCCCTTTGCGACCCCTGACGACCATGCTGAGGGACGGGCTGTCATGTACAAGACCGGTGACAAGGGTTATCTCCAGATGGATGGATCTCTCGCGTTCCTGGGCCGGGCGAATGGTGGCGAGACAGTCGTGAAGCTTCGCGGACTGCGAATCGACCTGAATGAAGTGTCCAACGCAATCTTGGCAGCAGCCCCGCCGGAGACACTGGCCGATGCGATCGTAACGACACGCGGCGAGCCTCAGTTTCTCGTCGCCTACGTGGCTCTTGCGCGAGGGAGGAATCTGGACCCTGCACAGCTGGACATGCTCCTCGGAGACCTCGCGCTGCCTCGTTACATGATTCCTTCGATGATCGTGCCATTGGACCACTTACCGATCACAACGAACGGAAAGATCGATAGAGCAGCTCTGCAGGCTCTTCCACTTCCTGCTCGGCATGGGAAAGACGACGAAAAAGCAGCACTTACAGTGCCTGAAGGGGAGCTGCGGGTGCTCTGGCAGGGTGTTCTCGGCGAGGCGGCGAGTGTAGCCACCATTGGACCGTACTCTGACTTCTTCACAGTAGGAGGAAGCTCCCTCCTTCTTGTTCGGCTGCAGAATGCTCTGAGGGAGAGGACGGGTGTCGCGCTGTCGCTTCAGGAGCTTTACCAGGCCACCACGCTGCGGAAGATGGCGGCGGCGATGCATCAGGAACGCGGCCAGTTGGCCGAGGAGACTATTGACTGGAAGGCGGAGACGGCGATCCCAAGCAGCATTCTGGAAGCCGCGAAAGGAGGTCCGTCTTTGCCGCAGCCTCAGAGACACCGGCGCCAGGTGCTTCTCACCGGGGCAGGAACATTTTTGGGCGGTGAGATCCTTCGCTGCCTGATGGAGAACGATGATGTGGCGAGGGTTCACTGTGTCGCCGTGTCGGAGGAGGAGCGGCAAAGGTTGGCGTCCGAGGACAAGGGCAAGATGGTCATATATGCCGGCAGCATGATGAGTCCAACTCTGGGCCTCTCGGGTACGGAGACGGCCTTTCTAAAGTCCAACATTGACCAGATGATCCACGCAGCGGTCCAAGGCCACTGCATGAACAACTACACATCGGTCAAGCAGGCGCTGTACGTCTCGACGCAGACATTGGTCGGGCTGGCTCTTCCCCGCCGGGTGCCCTTCCACTTTGTCTCGGCGCCGCGCGTCGTTCTCCTCTCTGGTCAGCATGAAGGGAAGCCAGTCTCGATGGCTGCCCACCTGCCGCCAACGGACGGCTCGCAAGGCGTCACGGCGTCCAAGTGGGCCAGCGAGTGCTTCCTAGAGAAGGTTGCGCGGGAGACGGCCCTCCCCGTCGTCGTCCATCGACACTGTGCCCTGATAGGAGAGCGAGCACCAGCCGACGACGTCATGAACTCGGTCGTGCGCTTCTCCCTCCTCACGCGCAAGGTGCCCCACGTGGCAGGTGCCGAGGGTTTCTTCGACTTCAAGGACGTCGTGGCCGTGGCGTCTGAGATTGAAAGGCAGCCCCCGGCGCCGGCGGCGGGACCCGTATGCTTCCGCCACCACAGTGGCGACATGCGCGTGCCGTTTGGCGAGTTGGCGCAGCGGCTGGGCGCCGTGTACGGGGGGTCGTTCGAGGTTGTTGAGCCGTCCGAGTGGCTCCGGGCGGCGGCGGAGTTTGGGATGGAGGAGCTGCTGGTGATTCACCTGAGGGCAAACATGGAGAGCGGGAAGCCCATGGTATTTCCGTATCTGGGCGCGTGATGAGTGGGCGACGGAGCGGGAGCGTCGGGCTTGACGGTGGCTGGCGATGGTTGGCGAAGGCGTTGGGCTCGATGGGGCCGTTGGGCTCGAGGGGGCGTTGAAGTCGGCATGTGTTGCTTAACAGATGCCTTATTCTTTTTAACCTTCGGTGTTCTTGAATGGATGATGTAGACGGATCAACGTCTGAGGGCGCCCATTGTCTCTTCTCCACGCATGTGAGTTGTCGAGCTGCTGTTGATGCGAGGTCGACCGGGCATGTACCCAAGAAAAGCGGGACATTTCGGTCCGTCCGTCGCCTCCCATCTATGATCTCGGCCACCGATGGCCGACAGCATCTCCGTATCGCCCCCATCCTCTCCATGCCTGATGAAGCCGGCGGCCGACCGGCCAGGCCATCGCGCTCGCGGCCCTGCGACACATGCCGTCTGCGCAAGACGCGCTGCGTCAAGGAGGCGGCGCAGAGCCAGTGCGTCTTGTGCGCCTTTCACGGCCAGCGATGCACCTTTTTGCGCGGGCCGCTGCCTCGTCAGCGTCATCGCCAGCCGTTTCCTCGAGGCCAGCCGCCGCCGCAGCAGCAGAGTCTGGCCGTCTTGGGCGGAAACGACGACGACATAGATGTCGACGGCGAATCGGAGCCGTCTACGAGCCGAACCTCGTCCGGCAATCGCCTTGGAGGCTACGACGACATCGACAACGGCGGTGGCGCTCTCTCGCCTCCCAAATACGCACTGCCCCGGGCGGGCTCGTCGGTAGATGCCAGCCTTGCAGACGTGTCTAGCTTCGCGTCGCCAGCCAAGTCCCGGCGGCGACCGAGCGAGTCGGACCATGATGTTGCCGACGACGACGATGACTGGCGCATATCTCCGCCAGCAATCCTCAACGACACTCTAGGCTTGGATCCGACGACGCACGCTGAATACGTCGGCCCAACCGACTACCGCGACCCCATCCTGCTCGATCTCCATCGCCCCCCGCCTCCATCCTCCTCGGACACCCCCCCGGACCCGGCCCCGTCCGAGCTGGCTCGCCGTCTCGACGACCAGACCATCTTCATCGTCCGCCCCGACGAGGCGGCGGCATCCGAAGCCCAGCGCATCGCCGACCTCGACGCCATCGAAGCCACCGTCCACCCCCACGGACCGACCCTCGTCGACCTCTACTTCCGAATCGTCCACCCCAGCTTCCCCATTCTGCACAAGCACGTCTTCGTCAGCAAGCATCGTCTTTCCCATCGCCACTTTGCCCCTTCGCTCCTTGCCGCCGTCTACCTCGTCGCCCTCGACTGGCGGCTCTACGATAGCGTCTTGGCTGGGCGCCAGGCCGAGGCCATGCCTGACGCGGTTGCCCTTGAAAGGCTGGCCGAGCGCACCGTCAGCCAGGACATGCGCCGGCCCAAGCTCAGCACCGTCGAGGCCGGCCTGCTGCTGCTCCAACGGCACCGCCGCGTCACCGAACCCGCCGGTGTCGCCACGTCTGGTCGTGCGTTTGCCGCGCAGATGGTGGCCATGGCCCAGGACCTCGGGCTCCATCTCGATTGCAGCTCCTGGTCCATCCCGGTCTGGGAGGTTGGCCTACGCCGGAGGCTCGCTTGGGCTCTCTACATGCAGGACCGCTGGGGAGCCCTTGTCCACGGCCGTCCTTTCTTCTTGCACGACGACGACTGGGACGTAAGGCCGTGTGCCGACTCCGACTTCCCCGAGCTCGATCCCGGCCAGAGCCGCGATGCGGCCGTCGACGTGGACGTTCGGATGGGATGGGAGATATTTGTCCGCCACATTGAGCTGGCGCACATGCTCACGGAAGTTGTTTCCGTCTTCTACAGCCCGAAGGCCACGCGCGTCGGGGGCACGCTGGATCGTGTAGGGGTAACAGGCGCGCTCGAGCTGGCCCAGCCTTTTGTCCTGCACCTCCGAGAATGGTCGTCGGCCTTGCCCGACACTCTGCGGCTCGAGAACAAGCCGCGAGGCAAGCTCTGTGCCAACGGGTCCCTGCACCTAGCCCACGTCTCGATCGAGATTGCCATCCACCGCGCCCTAGTTCGGACGCTGACACCGCACACGACCGAGGCCCTCCGTAGCGCCGTCCGCTCGGCGGCGCAGGTCAATCTGCGGGCGGCGACGGAGCTCCTGACGTCGCTGGAGCCCGAGCACACGGCGGCGTTTTGGGGCCGAGCCGCCGCCCACCAAGTGGCCCACGTCGGGTCGCTGGCCGCGCTGCTCTGGGCGACGGCGGAGACGACGGACGAGATGGCCTGGTGCGCAGCGCGGGTCGGCGAGCTCCGGTGGGCACTCCGTGTGCGCGGCCAGGCAGCGCCGTTTGCGCGCGAGGCACTGCGTCTGCTCGAGCACGACATTGGCGGCTTTGGCGTCGTAAGGGACGGGCCGGAGACGCTATTGAGATGACGGGCGAGACCAAGTGGGTGGGAGTTTTGCTTTTCCTCTCTTTTTCTTGAGACACGATCCAGTTCCTGAATAGTCCCTGGCGATCCTTGTCGGAAGCGCAGATGCCCATGTCATAATTCTGTCATGACCCGCTGGGCTTGCTGGGCCTTGGAGATCGATGACATCACTGGTTGACCGCCTGCCTTGCCACCGGCTTCGTTCAAAACTGCCCTCCAAACAAGCTTAATGGCTGCATTGACCATCAAACGAGCAAGACTCAACATGGTAGGCTCAAACAGTCAAGACAGGTCCGACAAGGCAGAGCAATCGGCCTCTACTGGAGAGAAGCACCAGACAGATCACGACTCCTCCGACGTGAAACGGACCAAGACGGAGAGACAAACGACCCTCGACGATTCCCTTGACAATGGCAAAGAGGATAACGCTGCCGACCCCAGGAGCGAGAAGAGCAAGCATCCAAAGCCCGCCAAGGAGGAGAGCCAAGACGCCGTGCAGCCATCCGAGGAACCGCACGTCCCGTCCAACATTCTCGAAAAGGGCATCTTCTATTTCTTCGTGCGCGGCCGCGTGGGCATTGACGAGATTGAAAAAGTCGACGACGTGGCGCGAAGCTACATCCTCCTGCGCCCCATCGACAAGGACGCGAAGCTGGGCGAGGGACCCATCGGAGACTCGAGAACCACGCGACTGATGGCGCTGCCCAAGAAAGCGTTGCCATCCAGCGGCAAGGACCGCTTCATGGCATTTGTAGAAATGTCGAGCCCATCGTACGACGAACTCAAGCGCAAGTTCCTGGCGTCGGACGACTACGAAACCAAGACGGCAGGCACGAGACACACGCCTGCCGCGACGCCGGTTGGCGAGGGCGTCTATGCCATTACCACGACGGGGCGCGAAAGCCATCTTGCCTACATGACTACACTGCCGGAGAAGCTCGGGTCTGTGCAGACGAAGCTGGGCCTGAAGGATCAGGGCAGCTTCGTTCTGAGTACCAAGAACCCCCAGCACAAGGGTCCGGCAAATGCACGTTTGCCAAAGGGGCCCGAGTTCCCCGAAGAGTAAGCTGATCCGTGTCGTTTTCTTTTATATACACATCGCCGGCCTCGGGACAAGGAAATCTGACAGTCGGCAGAATCATCAAAGAGTTCCGATCGCTCCGCTGGCTCCCCTCGCGGCCCGAACATCTCAACTACGAGAACGCGCAGCTTCTCCTGATTGGCGAATCCTCGGGCCTCGACAAGGCGGTCGAGCCGCAGGAAGAGGACAAGGAGAATGGCAAGGAAGAGCCACTGGAAGTCTTGGGCCATCTCGAAGAGGAGGACCTCGAAAGGATGCGGCATCTGCCGGGTGGTGAATCCGAGTCGCTGTTTGCCGACCTGCATGCACACGCCAAGGATTATCCCAAGCTCCAAACAACATTTTAGGAGTGGTATGCTCAGCTTTGGAGGTCCTGCGCGATGCCTCGATGACCTTGCGGAGGACTCATGTTTCTGAGAGATGCCTACCCAGGCAAGGCACGACGCCAGAACTCGTGTCTCGCTGGAGCAATCCTCTGGTGGCTTTTGTGCAATAAGCCGTCGAGGGGAACATAGTGTCTACAGCGGGATGAGGATGTTGCCAATGCGAAAAGGGTGCTCCTGGGTGTGACGCCCCAAGTCATTTTCCAACGCATCGCGAACATGGTCTTTTCGTTCAAGGCAGCGTTTCGTAGTGACGTAACTGGCCGAGAAACTCTGGCAGTGACATGGAGGTTGAGCGTCAGCATCAGTGTAACCTGTCTCGAGGGCCCCGTCTCCAATCATGACGTTTTAATACCAACAGCTGGCCAGGAAGCATAAGCCGCATGTACAGTAGCTTGCCTTGATCCTCAGTCAAGGCTGCCTTGTTTCCGCCCGTCATTCCAAGTCTCTTCAGCCGCTCGGGGATTGTAACCTGCCCCCCTCTGCTGCCTGTTGGTGGTGTATCGGGTATATCATCCCGAGCCGCCTGCCCGCACCTATCCCCCTCTCCATCCTCCCTCAACTGCACCACTTTTTTTCTCCTTGTCTCCCGCATCAAGGCATCACAGATATGATGGATTGCACGTTTCCGCTGTTCCCGCGGTTTCCGCTTGAGATCCGCCAGCAAATCTGGCGCACCGCCCTCGCGCAGTACTGGTCCTTTACCAAGCTCAAGCGCGCCGGCGGTGGAGGCGTCAAGCTCGTCGGCGAGGTCCATCGCAACGTCGGCCAGAGCTGCCGCGAGGCGCGCGCCGCGATGCAGACGACGCACGCAGAGACAAGGGCCCTGGGCTGGGTCGACTTTGGCCGCCACGTCTTCTTCTTCCGCGACGCAAAATTTGACCGCGGCCTGATGACGGCCCTGGAGCACGACGGCGACGACGAGATCCTGCCCCTGGTCCAGCACGTCGTCGTCAATCCGCGCGACTGGTCTCGTCTGTGGGAGACCATCGACGTCATCAAGAGCCGCTGCGCCTCGCTGCGCACCCTCGTCGTCGTCGCGCCGTGGTTCGACCCGGCTGACATGCCCGCCTCCCACAGCGCCCTCAGCTACGCGCCATACGAGGACTGGGGCCAGGTCTATGACAAGACACCCACCGAGATGCAGCTGTCGCCGCTGCGGGACGCCATCGAGCGCGGCGCCGCTGCCAACTCAGCCCGCAACGACGAGTACAGAGCCAAGCTGGACGAGGCCGCCGCCCAAGTAACAGACGACGACAACGTGGAGGCCTTCGAGCACGTCTTTGGGCGTACGCGGCTCGCGCTGCAGAAGCTGGAGCAGGCCGTGCAAGAATTCCCCAGCACAAAGCCGAGGCTCTACCTGCGCACCAAGGAGGAGCTGATCTCTCCGACCACGGTGCAGTGATGTCTCGGGGGAGTCCCGGTCTCAGCAAGACACCCTCCACTGTTTGCCGGTGAGAGTTGTGACGACAAAGACTACAAGTATCTTCACCGAGACACGACGAGGCACGATGTGAGTCAGCACTAGGCAGGCAGCACAATCGTTGATGCAGGCGAGCTTCCATGTACATGTTCTTGAACCTTCCCTTCATGTAAACGAACTTCCACATGATTCTTCACCTAGCTCAGCTACATTCTCTCATGGCCAGTTATTCGGATGATTGTGCTCATACCTGTCATTCTAGCCTGCTTGTGATGTCGGCCGTCGGTTACTCGCTGGACAGGATCTCCTGGCCCTTTCCCCTGCTCCTTGTAAATCGTCAGTGATGACCTGTAGCAAACGGTAACCCCGACTAAAGGCCGTCTCTGATCGGCAGAGACGCCACAATGTCCCGCATGAAAACTGCCGATCTTGCATCCTGGCGGGGCTTGCATCCGTCTGGGGAAACAGGGCCGGCAGAGCTTCAGCCCCTGGCATAAACCCACTTCCTCGAGCCTATCTATAACGGGGCTCGAATCTGACAAGAGACAGGTGTGATGTCTGGGAACCCGGAAGGCGACGACGGGCATGGCCGTTCCTCGACGTGAAGGCGTGCCAAAGGTTCCAGTCAGAAGCCATCCCTGCACACGGCAGCGAGGTTTCACAAAATGGGACTCCCCCAAGGTCCAGTCACAAGACATTTCCGTTTGATAAAGGAGCGCTGGGCCGAACTGAGATTTGTCTATGCTTTCATCACTAGTAGAAACACGGGAGAGCACATCCGGCAGGTGAAAGCCCATGTTCCATTTCTACGGTTTTGACGATGACAGGATCGTCCCCGTCCTGGCACCCTCCGTCTGGCGCGCATACGACGCGTACACTCCACGTGCCGGCACACTCCTGCTTGCCGTCCTCCGGGCTGGGGGTCGCGCTCGGAACCTCGGGCGTGTTGAGACGGGTCGGGGATGCCGGCGTAAGCGCCTATGCAGTGACGACAAGATACTAACGCCCCCCAAAGCACCCGTTGCCGAGGCTTGAGATGTGTGGAGGGCCCCATTCCTTTGCGTTGCTGGCAGCCACAATGCCAACTTGTAGGTGAGTCTGTGACACGCGACTGTATTCCCGACCGCTGAGCAGCTGTCTTGGCTGGCACAAGTTCCGACCTAAGCTTATTCCCAGCCGTGAACTGCAACGGTGCTGCGGGCCGGGATAGCATCACGCTCTGTCCATTGGCCGGACAGGTCTCCATCGCCAGCTTCATCCATCGCGTACCTTTTTCTCGGCTCCCCTGCCGCCAGGCGCTTCCCTCGATATCGTGACCCTTCCGAGACACGCAGGGGTAATAATCCTGGGGTCTCAAGGTAGTGAGTGAATAGCGACAGCATGAAGGGAACATAAATGTTTCAAAAACAAGACAAGGGTATAAAAGAGCCAGTCTCGCCATAGCGTCCCGCTGTTGAAACCATCAAGCCTCCCAGTCAATCATTCGAGCCGTCAGCATCTTGTAATTTACTTCGATATTTCGGAAACCGCAAATATGCTTTCCTTCCGCTCCATTGTCCTCGCCGTTGCCGTTCTTGGGGCGGCGCCCTTTTCCATGGCCGCTCCCTCCACGAGCGGTGAAGGCTCTCTTGTTCAGCACGAGCAGCGCGATGGTCAGTTACTCGAACAAGTCATTCCTGCTTGGACAGGACATGTCCGATCGCGTGTCTCTGAGAGTGATGGCGAAATAGCCATTGTTCAATCTCGAGATATACGCCTTCGGAATAGCCACGACCCCAACTCTACTCCCATTCCCGCCATAACTGGGAGACAAAAAGCGATGAATGTGTTCTGACTCGAATGCAACTCTAGATACCAACCCCATCCCTCTTGAGCAGCGGCACTCGGAAGACGTCCTCGAGGAGCTCCAGGGCCGCGCTGCTGCGGTTGAGTGCTACGTGACCAGTAAGAAGGGCAAGGACTGCCACGCCAGTCAATGCCCGGCCAAGGAGCAATGCAAGGTCAACGACAAGGGCAACTGTGTCTACAAGAACAAGAAGAAGGACCGGCCTTTTGGCTGCGAGCAGTGCTCGTGCAAGAAGAGCTCCTAAGTCATCCGCAGCAAGGCTTGACAGCGGGGACTGACACACATACACGGAGTCGAGAGGAATGGACATGGAATCAAGAAGAGGGGTAGAAGGCGGCTTGTGTGTGTACGTGTGTTTGTGCCTGTAGCGAGTGACTGGGGCAGGCAGAAGACTCTTGCCCGAGTCGGTTGTCTACTAGCAACAAAGGACGGCCGTCGAAGCTATTGATAATTAACTTGAGTCGATCCTTTAACTCAGGCCCCCGCATGATTTCGGCCAAAGTGAATCGAGCATTACCTCGCCGATTCCGCCTTTGAGCGCTCACTCCTCGCCGCCTTGTCGCGGTCGTCCCCCGTTTCGATGCCGCCCAAGAAACCTACGGCGGGATAACTTTGAGCCTTGCCTCTCTTTCATGAGCCTCTCGCAGTGTTTCGATCTTGGGACAGATATCGCAACGAGACTGTTTCTGCAAGATACACCAGTGCGTTGTCGAATATGCAGATGAATTAGCCAGTATGCAACCATCTTGTCGACCTGGAATCTGCTTACCGGAACCTCGATCCTTTCTTCTTCAAGGATTGGGTGCTCGATGATGCTTGAGATTTCAAGTTGCACGGTTTGCCTCCAAGAGGCGTTCGAAGGATGTGAGGGCTGTCCACGGCGCCTGGGGGTGAACAGAAGAGATATGTTAGCCCTGTAACAGCCTATTTCTAAAGCTTCAGGGCATCGAGGTGCCCTAGCTGCAGCTGAACGCGTGTGCTGAAGCGGCGAGGCAAGTCTGAACTCGTCGTGGCTGCCGTTTCCAGCAACCCAGGCAGGTAGCCGAGCAACCAAATTTCTGTCCCCCCCCTTGCACCTCTCTTTTTCTTCCATCCTCTTCCTCCTCCTCCTCCTCCTCCTCCTCCTCCTCCTCCTCCTCCGCCTCCTCCTTCTTTACTCCCACGACGCGTTCAACCACAACACACGCAAACGCATCACACGCATCGGCCCCGCCCTGTGAGTCCTCATCGCTTACCCCTTTGACCACTCCCGTCGAAAGCGTTTGCTAACCTTACACGCCTTCGTGCAGGTTTTGCACGCTGCCTCTCACTTGTTTGCATTCCACGCGCACCCACGGCAAATTCAATCTCGTCTCGGTCTTGCAGGCCCTCGAGGCAAGATAGCAGACTTTCGAGACCTGAATCAGGAGCTCTCGGTAAGTTCGCCTTCTTCTTTCATCACCCCCGACTGGCCATCATCTCTTCACAGACTCGACGGCGAGTCTGCCTTGCCTGCCTGCCTCCTTTTGCTGGGCCAAGCAGCAGTGCCCTTTGTTTCACCCCCTACCCACAGGAATACAAACTTCTCATCGCGTGGTCCCTGAAGAGTTGCCAGCACATTTCTTCTCTGCCTCTTCTTTTTGACACCTGGCACCACTATCCTCCGCTTTGGCTTTCGAACTCACCCGACAGCGACCACCTCGCTGACAACAACTTGCTCAGTACGCCTTCGTATCATGGCCGCCACCGGAGAAACCGCGCTCCATGCCTGGGGCACCGCTCCGACCCCGAACGATGCCTGGAGCGGCGTTTCTTCTGCCGCACCTGCTTATCAGGCTGACACTGGCCCGGGTGATTTCAACCGCAACAACGAGGAAGCCGAAAGGTATGGTGGCTTCTCCCAGGAGCAGTGAGCACAGCCCTCCCAATCAACGCTTTGAATGCCTGCTAATGAGTTTCTTCGCTAGTGGTACCCGGGCCAGCGATGCGTTTGGAGATGGTCCCGGACACCCGGGCAACGCTGAAGATGTTGCCGTTGGCAAATGCTTCAGTTGCGGTGAGATCGGGTATGTTAGCTGCTACACACTTGAAGACGACTTCGCCGCTGACTCCCTCGCGGGCATCGTGCTGCCGATTGTCCGATTCCCCAGGAAATGACGTGCCGATACTGCAAACAGCCGGGGCACCTTGTCAGGGAATGCCCCGACAAGCCGCCCATGGTTTGTGACAACTGTGGCCAAGAAGGTGCGCTCTTCTGGAATCTGCAATGCTTCTAGTACTGTGTATTTTGCTGACTGTTTCCAGGGCACACGAGAAACAAGTGCGAGAATGCTCGCAAGATAAACCGTGACCACGTTGCCGACGTCACTCCTGACGACGCCTGGGCCAAACTTGAGCGTGCTGTGGCTGAACGAGACATGGATGACGCCAAAGAAGCCGTTCAAGAGTACGTCAAGGCTCTAGACGGCGCCATCACGTATCGAGAACTCCAGGAGGCGATGATCGATCAAGGCATCAAGCTTTTTCTCATCGCCACGGAGCGCTCTCTGGTCAGCGTCTTCACCAACATGGACCTTCAGGGAAACATGGGCAAGAGATATAGCATCTCGTACCGCTTCTCGGAGAAACCTGATCGGCCTCGCGAGGCCGATTCTTTTCCCAAGAGCCGCGAGGAGCTGCTCGCTCGCCTTGGCGAGGCAGGCGAGATTGTCAACGGCGGCCGCCCTCTGTGCCGCAACTGCGGTGAATTGGGCCACGTGTCCAAGTTCTGTAGTCAGGAGAAGGTCGAAAAGCCCGAGAAGCCCAAGATTGCATGCAGCAACTGCGGCGAGGACGGGCACCGCATCCGCGAATGTACGAGCCCCAAGCCCTTGAAGCATGACCATCTTGCTAACTTGGTGTTCCTAGGCCCGCAACCGCGAGTGGACAAGTTCGCCTGCAGAAATTGCGGGTGAGTCCTTCTCTTCCCTCGGATTCACTCAACCTGTTGCATGCTGACTTGATGGAAGCAAATCTGGTCACAGGGCCTCGGACTGTGAGGAGCCACCCAATCTCGAAAACGTGGAATGCCGAAGGTGCAATGAGAGTTAGTTGACTGCCAACAATTGTCCGGTCCGGGTGATTTACTGACATTATGCAGAGGGCCATTTCTCTCGAGACTGTCCCCAAGCCGGCCCTCGCGGCTGTCACAACTGTGGCCAAGAAGGCCACATGTCCAAAGACTGCGATCAGCCTCGCAACATGGACAGGGTTACCTGTCGTAACTGCGAGAAGACAGGCCACGTGAGCAGAGACTGTCCGGAGCCTAAGGACTGTAAGTACTCTGGCCAGGAATTACTCAAACTTGCAGCTAACGAGCCTACAGGGAGCAAGGTGCAGTGCTCCAACTGTCAGGAGTTTGGACACACCAAGGTCCGATGCAAGCAGCCCACCGCTGACTCTGGGGATATCGACAACGGATTCCCTCCATCCGATGCGGCGGGTGTTGACGCCGGCTCAGGCGCTGCCGACAGTTCTTGGCATACAAACGGTGGCGCTGCTGGCCAAGGTGACGCGCCGTCTTTTGATGAAGGAGGCTGGTGAGCCTGATAGCTTTTGGGACCAAGGCTTGAGGCCACCATTTCCATGGGCAGGAAGATTTCTGTCTTGTCTTTTGAAATCTTGACCAACTCCCTGAGTTGAGGATCATCTTGAGATTAGCCATGAACCTACCCTGAAGGAGCTCAATCTCCAAGGTGTGGACGATGGGAGATTGTCTCGGGGGCTGATACGGTAGGGCAGTATACCGAATGCAAAATGGGTTTTACTATACCGCTTTCCATGTGGTCAAGGACTTGCAGCGACCGTCTGGTAATGTGTTTTCACGGTCATTGGGTTCTTTATTGCGGCATGGGTGGGAGGTTGAGACGAAGTGCGTACCAGAGTACTAAAGGCGAGCTGCGGCTGACATGGCGCTTGTCCTAGGGCATACATGGAAGCATCACACTGGCTTCACTCACTAGTACGGAGCTGGCTCTAGTCTGAAATTCTGAGGTGGAAGCATGGATCGCGTCTGGAGCTCTTCACCTCAACACTAGGCCCAGGCATTGCTGTCCTGAGAGCCAATTGAACGTTTGTACGAGCTTTCCCTCCGTGCCTGCTGATGCTCAACTGCGGGTAACAGATCTGATGGCCATTTCTGAAGGCCATACCCGTAGTTAAATTAAAGGTTCTTGCTAGCTTGAGGTGTCAAGGGATCCAGGCACACTTGAAAGTCTCGGATTACACGCATTCAAGGGCTTGGACTGTTGCCACTCCCGCCTTGGCGTTCTTTTTTACCGATCTAGAGTTGAAGAGGCTAGGCGAGCTGCGAAACATCATGGACCCAATCTACGAAATAGGCTTGGAAGAACCGGATAGGGCCAGCTATGGCAACAACCACCAGCTCCCTGCTGCGGAAGCAGATGTTCGCTCGCTGTGCTATGCGGTGGGCATGCAGCGCCCAAGCTGGGCAAGCCGCGGACCCTCTGACCCCGGAGGCTGTCAAACTCGTGACGCAGTCGTCGTTCCGCCACGGGCCCAAGAAGCGGGCTGAGGGTTGAAGCTTTGGACGTCGGTCGGTCTGGATCACTTGGTAGGTAGTGTGGCAGATGAGGGCGGACGAGGCCGGTGCATGCTCCGAGACACGGCATCGGGAGGCGCAGGGGGTAACTTACGGCTTCGGCACTAAAGTTGTGGTTTTCCCTCTCTTCTCTCTGGCTGTTCTAGAGGGTTATTGCCTCTTTTCGCTCCTCTCACCATCCGTGCTTCGCACATTCCTCGCCGCACCGGCAACCAAGACGTGTCTCCAACCGTGCCTTGATTGAAGCCACGCGTCTTTGCCCGGCCCAGCAAGGCGCAACGGCTACGTCATACCTTCATCATAGTCACATAGGGATGAGTCCTACAGACGGCTGGATATAAACTAAACCCCCTCTTCAACGACCACAGCCGGGAGAAGAGGGGGAGTCGGAGAGAAGCTCCCGTGAGCAGGCCGTGTCGGGATGATAGTGTCTGGCGGTATGATTCCCGTATTACAGATTGCAACGGCAGCACGAGGCCCTGGCAATCGACGATGACGAGGCTTCCATCCCCCATGACCGAAGGGCCTGTTGCCGATGGAGCAAAGGAGGCTCATCGATGGGCACGAGGCTATTCCAAGCGACAAAGGCCCTTTGAAGATCCTCCCGGCCCACCTGCCTTTCGGGGCCACTCGGCCGGCCGGGCAAAGAGGCGGTGTCCGGCTTCTATTCCGTCTGTATTGACCAAGGTCTACTGATATAATGAGGGCATGGGCTACGTCCCTCTGCTGGCATTGGAGTGACTTGTAGGCACTGCGCAGCACATGTCGCCGCACCAAAGGACCTCGACGCGGGAGCGGAGAGGATGGGATGAAACCCTCCAGCAAAGGGAGTGAGCGGATGGCGTCATGGCCTCATTGAGTGGAGACAGAAGCAGCTGCTTGCGGAGCCTCAACACCAAGTCGTATGCAGAGGCACGCCAAAAAGATGCTTTTGCTGCTCATCAGCACGCGTAGTGCATGGCGGTTGGATTGCAAGAGCTTGTGCATGCTTATGCCGCTTATGCTAGTACTGCACACTGCTTTATGCACTTTTATGCCGCGGGGATGGATCAAGAGAAGAGTATCTCCTTTAGACCTGACACATGTGACATAATGAACAGACTAAAGCACCTTGCCCCGGATGCTGACGTCACCCGACTGCGGTAGCGCCTTGTTCCACCCACAGTACGAGCTACGACATTACCGTGCTCGACATGTGTCTACACTGTGCAGAAGTCTTGTCCGAACTCGGCACTGTGCTGTCCTTTGGAGTCCTCTGCTTGGAGCCAATAGGAGGGAGGAGAAACCGGTGGACACTGACAGAGAAGCGCAATCCTCATGAGCGAAGCCAGGCAAAACAGAGCGAGTATAACAAGAGTCAGTCTCAAGTCGAACCTCTGGCAAACCTCCCGCGCCTAACACGTGCGTGCCCCGTGGGATCAGCATCCCCAAGGGCGGCGGCGATCCCCAGGGGGAGCAAATTCCGCGCGGGCACGCGAGTGAGCCAAGCGCGAGTAGCAGCGCGAGAAGCATGCGCGAGAAGCATGCGCGGACAGTTCAACGAGCCCTCGTTGGACGTTGCCTTGCATTAATTAACTTAACTTATAACCAGTCGGCGGACGCGCAGCTCGAGGCACAGGACGGACCAACCGGGTCGCCGCGGATATCAACCACCACCACACAGCGTCGTGAGGAAAGCCGTCAAAGGCGTGCATGCCTTCATGCTCCATCCGCGCCACTAGCAACGGCGGTCGTGCCCTTGTTTTGCGAGGCTGCTGCGTACTGTGTATTGCCTTGCCGTACATACCTGCCCGGCCCTTGGGGGCTCGCGTTGGGCGTGCGGATGGCTTGGACGAGATGCGCAACGGAGACTAGCCGTCTTGAGGCATTCTCCAGCGCGATAGTCCGCATCGTGCCCAGGTACATACAGTACGTACTGTATTCATGACAAACCGGAAGAAAAAGAAGGGCAAAAAAAAAGAATACTGTATAGGAAACTCGCATGACTTTTCTGCAAGGTAGCATCACATCATATCAGGCGCCGCACATTGGCTGGCTCAACCGGGATCCAAAAAGGGACTTGTCGAGCGACAGCTAAAGCCCCATCGTCCGGCTCGCCCTCATGCCACTGGCGCGCTTGTCGCACACCATGACGGGTACTGGGTACATACAGTGCGAGACAGTGTCGACAAAGACGCGGTGGGGAGGCCGGGAGACCGGGGGGGGGTGGGGTCACAGTGCGCCAGAAATCGACGGCGTGTCTCAATGTCCTGTGAATCACTCGCAGCACAACGACGCAGCACAACGACAACGCTGGAGGCGGTGGTACCGGCAACAGAGGATCGAGATGCGACGTGGTGCTTGCCTCGGGCCCGATGCTCGCACGGTACGAGAGGGTGTGCACAGCATCCGTCGAGCAGTCTGAACTAGCAGCCCGGTGCACTCAGTCCCGTTAGGGAGCACGTACTGTACTCGATCGCATACCTCCGCTCCTCCCTGCTCGTACTGGTACAGGATGGTAACTTACTGGATGGCACTGGATGGTGCTGGATGGTACGTACTGGATAATATCGGGGAGTACGGTATGGGCTCACGTGCCGCTCGACTTGCCAGGAAGAGATGCTCCGTTTCCTCGCTGTCTGACGGCCCAAATGCTTCGTATGTTGCCATGCGAGGAGGTGCGATGAGGTGTGAGGAGGTGTGAGGAGGCGTGCACAATGGATTGTCCCGTCCTGCAGCAGCTCCAGGCCCAGCGTCTCTGGCAAGCTTTGGTGGCGGACACTTGTTGCGCTTGCCTACAGCATCTCCTAAGCTTCCTCCAACGCCTCTCGACACCTTATTAATCCGCGCCGCCGCACACATCACGGACTCGTAAATAAAATCCCCTTCCAAAGGCCCAAGGCAAGAAGCGGTCTGTGGTGCTGCCTCTGCACACCACCCATCTTGCCGAAACGGCCTTGTTGACCGTCTCTCCCCATCGAGCATCGCGCCATAGCAAGCTAATCAGATTGATACTGTACATAAGACTCCGTACTGTACGTGCCTTGGCTTGGTACCTAGGTACCTAGGTTCCTCAGGTTAAGTACCTTAGGGAGTCTCCTCCAAGTGTCCCCACACAGTGCTAGAAACATCCCCAGGTACCTGAAAAAATTGCCCCCCGCCCAGCGCACTGGGACCGTCAGTGGTAGCGGGCGCCGCCATCTCTCTCTTTTCTCCCGCGCCTTCTCGCCCGCTGCTCTCTCTTTTTTTCCCACAACGTCATCTCTGACGTCTTTCCTCCCCCAACCAGGCCCTTCACCAACCTCGAAGCACTCCGACGACGCAATCCCACCGCCCAGACGCTTTGGCTTCGGCCCTCGCCTGGAACCGCATCTCTTGTACACTTGCTCTGGCATTACGCTTTTCCAAGCCCTGGCGCCGCCTCTTTGCGGCCGCGCTGCACAAAATCTAGCCGCACCTACGCGCTGGCGCAGAGCCACTCGTGCTCTAGCATCCTTGGCCGCCTCCCTTTTTGCCCCCAGGCGCTGCTTGCTCCTGGCCTCACCCCCCTCTCTTGCCGCCGGTGACCTCATTCACTCTCTTTAGGAGGCCCTTTTGCCTTTTTTTTTTCATTTTTATTATTTTTCCACTTGAGCCTCGTCCGCGCTCCCCCCCCTACAGTTTTTGCCTTGGCTGGCTCTACCCCACCCTTGATCGCGCTCGCTACACCTCCCCATAGTATACTACATCATACCCAGTCGTCATCATGGGGACTTCTCCCACAGCCGCCTCCACCCGGGGCCAGTCGAAGTCCCCCAAACAACCAAACAAAACGCCCCCACGCCAAGGTGAGCTTCCCTTGACGCTGTGTACCTTTCTGCACCTTCCCATTGTCCCATCACCGTCATTGTTACCCGTGCCAAGCAAGCAAAGACGCCGCATCACCGTCATAGCTTCCCAAACACCGCGCCGTTGTGCTCATTCCCGTGACAGATCCGGCCCCCGACGCAGAGACCGATTCCGCCGGCAAGCTCGAGGGCTCATCCAATGCCGAAGCTGCCAAACCGCTTGCGCCGCCGCCTCGACCGGGTCAACCACAGCAGCAGCAGCAACAAGGCAACAACACGCCCGACTTCTTCGCGCCCCAGGCCGGCGGATCGCTCAGCCTGGAGCCCAACCCCTTCGAGCAGTCCTTCGGGGGCGGAGGTCCGGAAACCCCAGGCGGCACAAAGCTCCCGTCTGTTGCCGCGCTGACCTCGCCGTCCTCGCTACTGCCGGGCACCAACGCGACTCCCTTCAACTGGGGTGGAGGCTCGCTGCGCACCGGTCCTCTCAGTCCTGCCATGTTGTCAGGGCCCGCGAATGACTACTTTACCGACACCCATCATCTCCGTGGCGGCTTCCCCACGCCCAACGAATCGTCCCTTAGGTCGGGACTCACGCCCGGCGGCAGTGGGTCCATGTTCCCGGCCCCGAGCCCCAACTCACAAGCTCTCTTTGCTCAGCTCGCCAGCGGCGGTGCGACCCCGAGCACCATCGACTTCCACCGCACAGCCCTCAGCGCCGCCGCCAAGCGCGAACACGCCAACGCCGCCCAGCAGCAACAGCAGCAACAGCAACAACAGCAACAGCAGCAGCAGCAACAGCAGCAGCAAGCCGCCATCTCACAGCCGCAGGACATGCCCAACGGAGCGCCAGCAGTCAAGCCTGAGTCGAAACCAGCTCATGGGCCCTTTGATCCTCACGACAACGATGCTGCTAACGGCCTGTTCATGCTCGCACAAGGCGCCCAAGGCCGCAACGGAAACCAAAGCTCGAGTCAATTCCCAGCCACGTCTGCCTCGGCCCATGCGCATCCTGCACCCGCATCACCTCGGCATCCCGAAACCTCGCCGCGAACCTCGAATGCCCACGCGGCGTCGATCGATTCCGGACGGGGTGTCAGTGAGGGCAGTCGCATGTCGGACGACGGCGAGCAGGCAAAGCCGAACCCAAGGGGCAAGGCCAAAAAGAACATGTCATCTACCAACGGCCGGAGGAAAGCGGAAGATGCGCCCGGCAAGGCTCCTCCGCATAAGAGGGCCAAGAGCATCGGTGGGGTTACCAATGGTAGTACCGACATTTCCGATGACGAGATGAATGGAATGCAAGACGAAGGCGGCTCCAAGTCCAAGATGACAGAGGATGAGAAGCGCAAGAACTTTCTCGAGAGGAATCGGTGAGACGCCCCCGTCACCGCCGGGCCTTGGTCGCCGATCGGTACGTTGACTAACCTCGCTTCGTATCAGCGTTGCTGCACTCAAGTGTCGCCAGAGAAAGAAGCAGTGGCTGGCCAATCTGCAAAGCAAGGTGGAAATGTTCAGCAGCGAGAATGACGCGTTGACGGCACAAATCACGCAGCTGCGCGAGGAAGTGGTCAACCTCAAGACGCTTCTGCTCGCCCACAAGGACTGTCCCGTCACCCAACAACAGGGGCTCCACGGTGCCTTCATGTCGCAGGTCGTCGAGCCTTTTAACGCCCAAATGAACCCTTACGGTATGGCTGGTCCGATGCCTAACCAGCCGGTCATGGCTGGTCAAGGCGTTCAACGTCGGTTCTCCTAGAGCGAGAATCGGCCGGCACACGAGCAGGGCGACGTCATGGGCAACTGGGCGCCAGTCGCCGATCCCTTCTTCCCGCAGTGAAATTTGGCCTCCTCGGAGTAACCATGGCCGATGAGCCATAAATCCGCCCTGGCTTCTGTGCCCGCACAGGCGGTGACTTGATCGGAGAAGGGGCTTAAACGTCCTCTCATTCCAAATCGTCCTGTAAAACAACACTTCACGGAGAAGAACTAGTGCGTGTCTGGGCGGAAAGCAGCCTCGTCTTCCGTCCAGTCCGGCCGGCTTCATTCGAAGCTTCAGCCTTCTGTGGAATCGTTCTGTCCGCAGACACGGCCACCTGATGGGGCATGTCTTGTCCCTTCATATTGTACGTAAAGTTTCTGGCGGGGCATGAGTATGTGAAAAAAGACTCGGGCAGAGGGGAGCGTTTAATAGTGGCGTTTGGGACAATCCACACCTGGCAGAGAGCATGCTCGGTGTTGTCAGGACCATTTTCTTTGTTCTTTTTCGGGAGCGGTAGCTACAGGCAATGGAAGCTACACCACCGCGCACGCGAAAGATGGCGCGCAAGACAGCAAGAGAGGAGAGTTGTGCCTCACAAGATGGTTGTTGACAATATCCTGTGACAAGATTGTGTCGAACACGGAGCGGCGACTACTCAGTTGCGTGGTCGTGAGGTCCATTGACAAGCGCACCTGATAACGCCCAAATGAAATTACGATCGTTTAGAGCCATGCTCATCTGCGGTCTGCGATGAAGCAGATGACGATGGCTTGGCCTAGGTACTATTACTCTGCAGAGGAGAATAGAGGACAGCGCCATTTGGTCGGCCAATCAGCAGCCGCGTTGCTGAATCTTCGATAGTGGGGTCGCCGTGTCACCTTAAGGGGCTTAGCGCGACAGGCGGAACCTATGCCTCACCTCCCCCAAGGTAAACAACGGGGGGGGGCAAGTCTCTCCCACGTTGGAACCTCGTTAGTCGGCGACTGCATTCATCATCCCCCTTCACCGTGCCCCCTGGAGGCCGCTGGGAATCGACTCCCAAACGCCGACGCGAAAATTTCCTGGATGCGCCAGCTCTCACCGCCGACGAAGGCCTTGTGACGCGACTTGCCGACAACTCCGCCGTTACGCGACGCCTCGACCGCATCGCGACCGGCTTTTGCCTACCCGGGGGGCCCTTCGCCGCCTTTGCCTCTGCCGCTGCCTCTGCCAGTCGACGACGCCCCATGCCACCGCGAATCGGCCATCCATGACGACTCTCGTGGCCACCCGACAGGCGCTGGAACTCCTGAGCATGAGCGACCACCAGAAGCGCCGGACGAGCAAGCGGCTTGCGGGTAAGTCTTTGACGCGCGGGTGGTGGTCCTTTGCGCGCGGCAGAGGGGGGCTTACTGACGGCGTTTTGTAGCTGCGGCCGAGTATGAGCAGGATGACGACTTTCAGTTTGTTCGCAAGTCCAAGCGGGCCAAGACGGATGAGCAGGAACCGGCGAAGAAGCCGGCGCGAGGGCGGCCGCCAGCCAAGGGCAAGGCAGCCAAGGAATCGATCACGAGCACGAGCACACCCAGAGCAGCAGCTGCCGCCGCCGCCGCACCCGCGGCAACAACCGCACCTGGCACGAGAAGATCCTCGCGACGGAAAGCAAGCTTCGACGCGCAGCAAGACGAACTGCAACCGCCGGTACCCAAAAGAGCAACTCGGCAAAGCAAGCGGCTATCCGGGGACGCCATAGTGGAGGAAATCCAACTAAATGGTGCAACGCGCAAGAGTCGCGGCAGGCCAAAGGCGTCTCGCATATCCGAGGAGGCGGTCGAATCGCCGCAGCAGCAGGCACCCCCCGTCGAATCCGCCAAGATTGCGCTTCCCATGAGCGACACGCCCATCATCAATCGCAACAAGGAGATGCGCAGAAAAGGAAATTCAAATCGGAGGAGTAGCCTGGGATCGCGCGGTCGCAGGGCGAGCTCCCTGATTGAAAACGGACAGACTGCGATTCCACATCGTGAGGTGGACGCGGCCGAATTCTACAAGCACATCGAGGCAGAGGGATTGCCGGAGCCCAGGCGGATGAAGCAGCTCTTGATGTGGTGCGGCGAACGCGCCCTCGCCGCAAAACCTCCACACGGCACGCCCAACTCGAACGCGATACTTGGAGGTACGTCGAGCCGGCCGCCTAGGAGGCTGCAAAGCTAACAAATCTGGCAGCTCGCGCGATACAGGACCAACTACTTAAGGATTTTGCGTCCCGATCCGAGTTCTCAGACTGGTTCAGCAGAGACGACACGGTGCCGGAGCCTAGAACCGTCGCCCGGAAACCGAACCCGCGCAACATTGAGCTGGACGAAAAGGTGGCCTCGCTAGAAGGCAAGATTCAAAGGTAGGTGGCGCGCGAAGATGCATGTGTAGGATCCTGCTGCTGACCACACCCCTTAGACTGAAGGAAGAAAAGAAGGCGTGGCTAGCAATACGGAAACTGCCCCCAGAACAGCCGCCCCTCTTCGCACCAGACGAGACGGACACGATCACACTACCGGATTTCGATCTGCTAGACCCAGACGAGGGCAAGATCAGAGGGTACTTGGCCGACGAGAGAAATTCCTTTGCCACGGTACGGTCCGAGACGGAGGGAAGATTACGGAAGATACAGTCGTCGCTGGAGTTTGAAGTAGACCAGCTAGCGGATAACGTGCACAAGCTGGAACAACGCGTCCTGGTAGCCGGCAAGGAGGCCGACCGGCTACTGAAAATCAGCGCGGTGCGGTTGCGGGAGCGCGAGCAGCGGGAGAGGACGAGCACGGGGACAAGGGACATGCCCATCATGGAGGTGCTCCGCAGCCTGAGCAGCATCCTACCCGAGGGCAACGGCGGGTGAGGAGCGGTTGCGCCGACCTTGAAGCAAATTCAATATCCTGGGGAAAGGGGCGACACGTCGGGTAATTACGAGACGTTTCTTTGATGATGAGATGAGGCGCTTGGTTTGGTGTCCTTTTCCGGCTCTTCCGCCTTACTCCTTGTCGTTCCTTTTACCCTTCTTGTTTCTTTTTTTCGACCTTGATCTGTGGTCACAGCCCCGACGGATTGTTTGCCGCTACCACCGAATCGCCAGGAGCACGGGGCAGGCTGGGCTGGCAGAGAGCTCTTCCGACGGCATTATCAGGCTTGAGGGCATGTTGAGGAGTTTATGTTGCAGGCATGGTGAGCGGAGGAGGCCCCTTTCTCTCTGTCCGCCTTTTTGGTGTCGCTTTTACCCGACTCTGTACAAAGCACAGTGAAGTCTGGCAATCTCGAGATACTAGGGGCGCCTTTGATGTCGGCGCCCCTTTGGAAGCATATGCCCGCTTTGATTCCGTGTTCGGTGCCGACCCCTGGCTGAATGTGATTGCCCAACGACATATTGGTACAAGCCTTGCTTGTTGATACATGTATACATCGCTGTCTTCCCCATTCCTCTGTCCTGTCCTATCGCCCGGCCTCCAAGGGTGGCATAAAGCCCATACCCTTGGCCTCGGCGCCGTTCGCGCTCCGCCTCGAGACGTGGTCGCGCAAGAGAGCGAGGATCTGGCTGTCGCGCCAGCGCGAGGGGACGGGACGGTAGGCAGGGCGGACGTTGCCGACCGTCTGCGCCCACTCGCCCTGGGGCGGGTTCTGGCGCACAAAGCCATCGGCGGCGGCGGCCGGGGACGAGCCATCGGCGGGGTTTGTGGACGGTGGTGCGGCGGAGGCTGATGAGGAGGAGGAAGGCTCGGCCTGCGTGGCCCAGTAGTAAATGTCCCAGTCATTTTCGTCGAGGAACAGGTCGTAGTCGGCGAGCTGGGCGGACGTCATGGAGGGGAGGTGGGCGGCGGCAAAGGTGGAGAGGAGGAGGTCTGACTCGAGGGTGCCGCGCTTGCGGGACTGGTCTATTCCATTGGTGAACGAGGGGCGTCGTCAGCAAAAGAAGAAGATGGCAGCATAAAGAAACAAGATCAGAAGGGCGAGGGGGCAAAGACGCACACAGAAGCCGGGCGCGCTTGGTCTTGGCGTCCTCGCCGGTGCGGCGGAGGGGCTCGATGCGGAACTTGGCGCCTTGGAGCTCGCCGACCTCGAGCTCCGGGCCGGACGCCGACGGAGACGAGGGGGGGGAGCTGAGGCTTCGTCGTGGCGGCGCGAGGGACAAGGCGAGGCTGCGGTGGCTGGCGAGGGCGATGCGCCGGGCTGCGGGGCGGAGGGATGGGGTAGCCATGGCGGGGGGATTTGCCGTTGCGGTTTCGTCGAGGAGCTGTGTGTCTGGTTTGGGCGGGTGGGCGAATTGGGGGTTCCTAAGGGCGCTGTTCTTGGTGATGGTGTTTTGTTTTGGAGGGCTGGCAAGTAGCCGAAGGAGAGGAGCGTTTGCCACGCAGTTGGGCGCGCCAGTAGCCTATAACCTATGACGGGCTGGTTTTGCTGTTAACCTCGGCCCCTCTTTAAACCTCGATTGAATCGTGGACCCTTGGGACGTAAATCCCGAGTAGTTTTAGCCAGTTGGATCTCTTGTTCTCCTTGCTTTTGTTTCTGGAGGAGTTGTGTTGATAACATCCCACAGTGTTAACACATGAGCCAGGGTGTCTAAGAAAGCCGAGACTCAAGAGCCTCATGAACCGCTTCAACTTCTGCCAGCTACAGGCACAATTGCTCTACTCCAAACACATGCGAATCCCCCTTTTCGTTCCCCATCATCCCCGCTCCCTCCCCCCATCCCTATCGTTGATAATCATGTGCAAAACGCCAGCATGTCCGAAACAAGCACATTCCGTGCCCACGAGCCCATCCATCAGCCACGGGAGAAGGGGCGCAGCAAAGAAAAGGCCAGATGTGAATAGATGACGAGGAGTGCTAGATGAGGTGCTTGGAGCGAAAGTAGGCGCGCAGGTACATAATCTGCCAGGCCCACAGGCCGATGAGCAGCCAGGTGGTGCCGACGCCGAACCACTTGACGCGCGTGTTCGTGCTCTCGTTTGTGTCGCGCAGCTTCTGCTCGCGCACGCGCAGGTAGTCCATTTCCTGGACGATCTCGGCCGTGAGCTCCTCGATGCGGCGCAGCTCGGCCTCGACGGGCTTGAGCTTCTCGGTGGCCTGGATGGCGGACCAGTCCTTGGCGTCGGCGCCGATGTCGATGTCGAGCTCGATGTGGCGCAAGGAGGGGTTGGGGCGGCGGGCTGGGGGGGGGGGAAGGGGGGAGGCGGGTTAGAGTGACAGAGGTAACGCGTATGGGTTCAGACGTACATCCTGACTGGATATTCTCAAAGCACACGTCAAAGTGCGCATCGTCGTGCGAGGTGAAGACGGAGCGGGACTCGCCGACAACGTCCCTCGGCCTGGCGTATTCGTTGCCCAGGGCATCGCGGATCTGGGGTCGGCCAAGTCAGCCGTCGCTCGCTCTCTCCTCCCCCATCGCTGCACCAAGGCGGCCTACGTGAACATTGACCATCATGCCGTCGCCCTTGAAGCCGTCCGAGGTGACGGTGACGACGACGAGCGTGTCGCGGGGGACGAAGTTGCGGATGCACCTCTCCTTGCGCTGGTTCTCGGCGCCCGAGTGCGCGGCCAGGTCGAACTTGAGGGCGTTGGCGGCGCAGGCGAGCAGCAGCAGGCCGCAGAGCCATTGCAGCAGCGGCGGGCGTTGCGATGCCATGGCTGGTCGGTCGGGGGTGTTTAGGGGGTCGGTGCTGGCGCTCTGCTTGGGGATTGTGCGTTGGGTGGGTGAAAGGAGGTGGAAAGCTGCAAGGTGTCGCGTTTCTAGTGACTGGAGCTAGCCCAGGTGCTGGCCCCATTGGGGACAGACCTCTGACTAACCCGCTTTTCCTGCCCGATACCTTCAACTCCAGTCTTGTCTGCCAGACTCATCAAATGAACCAGAATTGCAGCTTCTTCTCGCCCGCTGCTGCTTTTCATCGTTTCTGCAGGATACCGTAGGCAAAGCTTTTACTTCTCTGCACCGACTCCCGCCAGAGATTCTGCTACACGCCCCCCGCCTGCTAGGCTCAGCATTCTTCCGCCAGGATACCCGTCGCCGCCTCGTCCCCAAGTCTTGGCACCAACTTACCTGACGGATGCTTCTCCAAGGCCTCGACTTATCGACATAATTACTACAGACCTACAGACTCTTATCCTTATATCCGAGAGGGCGGGCGCGATCCTCTCGGTACAGAATCATGCGGTAACCGCCGACCATGCCCTTGGCAGCTTCGACGACTGGCAGACGGAACGGGACAGGCCAGCCGCGGTAGACGGGCGCGACACCATTGCGTGGACCGCAGATTTGGATGGGGACTTGGTTGAGGAGAGCTTTGATGGCAGGGAAAAACACGGCAATCCCTGATTTCTTGCTGTGACACTGAGCGAGCCTTTTCCCTTTTCCTCCCACCTTCGCAAGCTCGATACTGCTCGACTGTTCTCGTCCGGAATCCAACTTCCCCCTCAAGAAACACGACTCCAGTACTGTAAGAAACGAGGAAATGAGGTGACGAAGGGCTGTTAGGGCCTCCTTCTGCCCCCTTCCCTTGCCCAATCATTGCGCCGCCCAGAGCCTCTACTCTGGTTCGCCGGCGGCGCAGCCTCCTCTGTTATGGAATTGAACATTGAATAATAATTATCACCTGATTTGTCAGGCGGCCCATTATGTAGTCTTGCTGCCGCCTGCGCAGCCCCGCTCGTCGCAAAGCGAGAAACCCAACTTGCGCGGCAAGCCGAGCCAGGACCTGTCTCGTGGCACCGACAAGGCAACTTACAGGGCTGAATTTACGACTAGTGCATATCGCATCTCAGAATGAGTTTCGGGTTTAGTGTTGGGGACTTCGTCGGCGTCGCCCAGCTTGCGAACAAGTTACGCAAAGAGTTCTTTGGCGCTCCCAACCAATTCAAGGCCTTGTCCGATGAGTATGTTCGCATGTTACCATCATCCATTAATCGCTAATATCGTCTTTGCTAGGGTGAGAAGCCTTTCCATTGTCCTCCAGGACGTCGACGTTGCTCTCTCCGAAACGGGAATTACCGACCAGCAGCAAACAGAAATACGCGACATCATCGTCGGCTGTCGCCATGTTTTATTCGACATAGAGGAGGCCCTGGCAAAAAACTCTGGAATAGAATCAAGCGGTGGGAGTCTAGGCAGTCGGCTGAAACGTGTATGGAAAAAAGTCAACTGGCAGCCTGACGACATTCGTGAGCTCCGAGACAGGCTTGCATCCAATGTCACACTACTCAACGCCTTCCTCTGGCGAATATCTAGGTATTTACTCAGCACCATGTTAGAATAACGTAACGCTAACACAGATTAGTGGTCTTGTCTTGGAAACAAAGAAATGCGTAGATCTGCTGAACCAACGCCAAACCGACCGAGATCGACTAGATGCACTCAGTTGGCTTGCTCCGGTAGATTATTCATTACAGAAGCGTGATTTTCTTCGTCGCCGTCAAGAAGGAACCGGGCAATGGCTTCTGAACTCGCAAGAGTATAAAACGTGGCGGCAGGACACTGGAATAACCCTGTTCTGTCCCGGCATTCCAGGAGCAGGAAAAACAATCCTCACATCCGTCGTCATCGATGACCTTACCAAGAATCTACATGCCAATTCGGACGCCGGAATTGCGTATGTATATTGCAACTTCCAGCGACAAGCCGAGCAGACGGTAGATCACATGCTGGCTACTCTCCTCAAACAATTGGCTGAGGGCCAACTTCCGCTGTCGAGAACCGTGACGGAGCTTTTTGACAGACTCGAGAAGGATCGTGCACCGCTACTCCACGACATATCGGCGACGTTACGATCTGTAGCGGCCACGTACGCGAGGATCTTCATTGTCATCGATGCGATTGATGAATGTTCTGAAGCATGTCGATCCATGTTGCTCTCAGAGGTTTTCAGCCTCCAGGCTGAAAGCAAAAGGATCAACGTCTTTATCACGTCGAGGTCCATCCCGACTATCAGCGAGAGTTTTGCCAAGAGTATGTCACTGGAAATCCGTGCTAGTGACGACGACATCCGGACGTATCTTGATAGGAATATGTTTCGGCTGCCCAGTTTCGTCCGGGACAAGCTTGAATTTCAGACGAAAATCAAGGAGAGCATTATCTGTGCGGCGCGAGGCATGTACGTGGCCTACATTCCATGCATATGTCCAGCATTATTTTAACACGCTCCTAGGTTTCTTCTCGCGCAGCTCTATTTGGAGTCCATAGCTGATGTCACGGGCTGTGCCCGGCTGGTGGACCCGGTTGTACCGGGTCCGGTGGGTCGTGTTCCGGTGGCAACACCGGCCCCGCTCCGCGGACCCAGAAGCTGCGAGAACATTCCGAGAAGGGCAATATAAGCTCGCACTCGAGGCTACGCCTCGAGTTCAGCTTCTTTTCCTCCTTAGCTCTAGATAGACAACACCTAGGCACCTGCTTGTTGAATAAACTCCGGGCCAGCCTTTCACATATCTAGAGCTCCTTCTAAATACCGCAAGCTGCAGACTGCTCGTCAGGATGGACCAGCAGAGTGAGAGCCCAAGTCTCCAGCAGCAATGGATTGACCAACGCATTCAAGAAGCGGTCAATGCGACTCTCAGCCCTCTACAGGACCAACTTTCCTTGCTGATGGAGCAACTCGGGCGAGCGCAGCCGCAGAGCGCCGACTTGCAATCGCCGCCAGTGGCACGAGGATTGGGCGAGAGCACGCCTGGCTTGGGCACGCCCTCCCAAAACCTGCGGTACTGGAATGCGGAAACCGTTGCCCAACCCACCCAAGTATGACGGCTCACGGAAGAGCTACTCCTCCTGGGCCAGGCAGATGCGAGACAAGCTGGACCTTGATGCACACTACTACAGTGGAAATCGCGAACTTTGGTACCTCATCAACTCATGTTTGGACGAGCGACCACAGCAAGTGGTCGCTACCTTTACGCCGCGGGAGGCCCTGGGGGTAGCTACGACCCCCAAGAGTTCATGCGATACCTCGACCGAACCTACCAGGACAGCAACATCCAATCCCGCGCTGCTGCCACGCTGAGAACTATGCGGCAGCGCGAAGACCAACCTCTCGCGTCCTTCCTTCCCCGATTCGAACAGGCATTAGCTGAAGCGACGATTTTGCGAGTCACCGGTGCTCAAGCAGTGGGACCCGAGCCTCCCGACCTTTTTGGAGACGGATTGCTCAGGCTACGCATTGGGAGGCGTCCTGTCGCAGGAAGGCCCAGATGGACGTCGACACGCATGCGCCTTCTTCTCGAAGCGACTTTCGCCAGCGGAGTACAACTATCCCATTCACGACAAGGAGATGCTTGCCATCATGAGATGTCTCGACAACTGGAACGCCGAACTTAGGAGCTGCGGCCCATTTACAATCCTTACCGATCACCGCAACCTGGAGTATTTCATGACACGCCAGAAGCTCACGGAACGGCAGAGCCGTTGGGCAGCCGAATTGTCCCAGTTCGACTTCAAGCTCGAGTATCGACCGGGAAGCGAGGCTGTCGTGCCTGATGCGTTGTCCCGCCGTGAACAAGACAAGCCACAGGGCATTGACGACGAGCGGGAACAAGGAAGAATGATACAGTTGATACCGGATAGTGCCATTCCATCATCGACAAGAGCATGTATCAACGCGATGAGTTCTGACTGTTCAGAGGCATCCACCCTGCCGAAGATGAAGGTCTTCGAGGTAGCGGACCTGCAGCAACTCTGGGACGAAACGGTGGCGAAGGACTCGATATTCCGGGCAGCCTATAAGGCAGTCCGCGATCGCGAGCGTGCCTTCCCGCCCTCGCTGGGCCTGAAGATCCAGATTTCAGAATGTGCGATCGACGCAGGCAAAAGGCTGACATTCAGAGACCGTATTTGGGTGCCGGGTGGATCCGGAGAGGAGGGTAACCAGGAGGAAGCTGAGAAAGACCAGTTGAGAACCCGCATTGTGCAGCAGTCGCATGACTCTGTTGCGACCGGTCATCCCGGCAGGAAGGTACGCTGGCTATTGTGGCTCGGCGATTCTACTGGCCTGGGCAGTCCCAGCTGGTTCGCCGGTACGTAGCCAATTGCGACACCTGCGGCAGAGCACACATCTGGCGCCAGTCGAAAGGGATTTCTCAAGCCTCTGCCGATTCCAGATCGACCCCGAAGCCATTTGTCCATGGACTTCATCACAGATCTGCCGCCTACTGGACCGAGCAAGGCAAGGTACCTGTGGGTGATTGTGGACAGACTGACAAAGGCTGTGACCCTCGAGGTGATGGACAACATGGAAGCTGAGCCGTGTGCAAACCGTTTTCTCCAGTGTCATTACCGATTTCACGGAATGCCACGGTCCATCGTCAGCGACCGCGGAGCAACTGGCTAAGTAGGTTCTGGAAGAGGTTCTGCCGTCTTGCAGGTGTCACGCAGAAATTGAGCACGGCCTATCATCCTCAGACGGACGGAGGGCCAGAGAGAATGAACCAGGAGATCGAGGCCTACCTGAGAGCCTACGTGTCGTACGTGCAGGACGACTGGGAGAACTGCTCCTGCCGCGCAGCTGGCACTCAACAATCGTGAATCCGCAGCGACCAAGATCAGCCCCTTTTTCGCTGAGCATGGTTACCACGTCGATCCCATCAGCGTCGAGGAATCGGAAGAGCCACCGAGGCATAGAGAGGAAAGCAGAGCTGATAGCCTACTCAGTCGCCTGCAGGAGGTCAATGAGTACATGCAAGCAGTGATGGCCTCCTCACAGCAACAACAAGAAGAGGCTGCCAACGCAAAGCGACAGCCTGCGGAGCGATTTGAAGTTGGTGACAAGGTGTGGCTCTCGATGGCAAACTACAGATCGCCACGACCGTGCAAGAAGCTCGACTGGCTGCATCACAAGTACACAGTCACGAAGGTAATTAGTTCGCACGTTGTTGAGCTCGATGTTCGTGGCTCAATTTACCCGCGATTTCATGTTGACCTTTGCGGCGGGCGCATCAAGATCCGGCTCCTGGCCAAAGGTAGATGACGCACAGCCACCACCGGTACAAGATGAGTCCGGCACGGATCTGTGGGATGTCGACGAGATCCTCTGCGCGAGATGGAAGAAGCGCGGACGAGGGGAATTCAGGCAAGCACTAGTGCGATGGACGGGCTACGCAGAGCCGACTTGGGAGCCAGTTGAGTGGTTGCAAGGAACAATTGCGATGAAGGCATTCGAGGACAAGTACGGGCCAATCAAGACCAATGATGGCCCTAGGGAGAGGTACGAGACGCTGGCAGGAACGCAAGAACCCCGCAGACGCCGACCTGGTCGGAGGGGACAAGGGTAATGTCACGGGCTGTGCCCGGCTGGTGGACCCGGTTGTACCGGGTCCGGTGGGTCGTGCCCGGTGGCAACACCGGCCGCCCGCGGACCCAGAAGCTGCGAGAACATTCCGAGAAGGGTAATATAAGCTCGCACTCGAGGCTACGCCTCGAGTTCAGCTTCTTTTCCTCCTTAGCTCTAGATAGACAACACCTAGGCACCTGCTTGTTGAATAAACTCCGGGCCAGCCTTTCACACCCGGAGGCACAGGAACACTTGACTGCGACATGCCTTACATACCTCCAATTCGACGCCTTCAAGTCCGGTATTTGCCAAGATTGGAAAGCATTGGAAATACGACTGAGGCTACATCCATTTTATGGCTACGCTGCACAATATTGGGGAGACCACGCCCGCGAGACTCCGGCACTTCTTCAACAGATTCTGGATTTCGTCAACAGCGACGGGCACATGCAGGCCTCCTCTCAGGTGTTGCTGAAGCCTTACCCCCATTCTTCGCCACAAACTCGCAAGAGCAATGCCACAGTCGGGATGACTTGTCTCCACTTGATGAGCAATTTTAGGCTCGAGGAAGCATTTCAAGCCCTACTCCCAGATTGCCGCAGCCCAGACACTAAAGATGTTTTGGGTCGGACACCGCTATCATGGGCTGCCGAACAAGGTTGCTACACCATCGTAGAGCTGCTGCTGAATAGCGGCAAAGTTGACCCTGACTCAAGAGATAATGCTGGCCGAACGCCATTGTCGTGGGCCACTGCGACGGGGAACGAGCCTACCCTCAATATGCTGCTTGATATTGGTAACGCAAATCCTAATGCCCAGGATGAAAACGGCAGAACGCCGCTGTCGTTCGCCGCGGAACGGGGTCACGAAGCAGCAGTACGTCGACTTATCGCCAAGAACGCCAACGTGAACTCAAGATATACGACTTTTGGCTCGAAGTCGGTATCCATGCTATACGCCGTTCGAATCGATGGTCAAGAAACTCTACATCTATTATTCGATAGAGAGTCTAGAGGGATGGTGGGTTCTGTAGCTCGGTCAGCCGCAAACGGATATGAAATTTTGAGTACAGTTTTCGACGTCCTTGGCAATATGAGCCACACCGAATATGAAGACATCCAATACGGCAGATCACCACTATTCTTACCGACAAGTCAGGCATTTGGTTCGTTGGAGCTGGTTCTCATCAGGGAAGTCGGCAAGCCGGCAGCATACGGAGAAACTCCACTACATCTGGTAGCCCGGCACGGTCATGCAACTATAGCGAGGATACTACTTGATGTTGACGACATAGAAGCTGATACCAGAGACGAGTTCAAACGAACACCATTACTGGCCGCTGCTGCTGCGGGTCATGAAGAGGTGGTAAAACTCCTGCTATCTGTAGACGGAGTCAACCCGAATTCTATGGATGCCGAGGGCCAAACTGCGTTGTCGCTGGCGACCGAGGGCGGCCACGCCTCCATAGTGAAGTTGCTGGCAGAATAATAGGTAGCCGATGTGGGATCAAGCCATCATTGACGAGAAAGGAAGCTCTGCACCGAGAGAAGGTGCCGGTCGTGGGGGTTTCGAAATACTGCTATGGTCAGGCAGGCGAATGGCCTAGTGCAGCAACTTTATATATGTGTTGGCATGGCCTGGAGTAAAAGCTCGGTCTCTGATCCATAAATAATTAGGCAAGGCGAAATATGCATAGTTAGTTACAGGATGCGTATAGATTAACACGAAAGCTCAAAACACCCCTTTTTAAAGTGAAGATGTGCATGTTGGTTTTGTCACGAAAAAGATGTGGCCGCCTGTCAGATACAAGCGACAGCGTCAATTAACGCATATAGTATACGCGACACACCCCCTCAGGGATATCGGGTCAATTCGTCCCGGGATACCTGGATATCCTAGACCACAGCGGGAATTTTTATATAGGCAGGCCCCATGCTGAAACCGCGCTTAATTGCGCTGGCGGGACTCGAACCACGGGCCTTCGGGTAATGCGCGCCAGGCTAGCCAGAAGTGCGTGCGCAGTCACCGGGAAGTTCCCGGAGGGGTAACCCCTCCGCCCGGGCTCATAACTGTCACGAAAAAGATGTGGCCGCCTGTCAGATACAAGCGACAGCGTCAATTAACGCATATAGTATACGCGACAGGTTTACCGCCCGCCGCCTGGATCGGGAAATACATACAGCCTCATTCTCAAAGACTCTATTGCTCAAGCCTCGATCGGGGTTGCCTCTAGCACCAAACCACGTCCATTTCTCGCTCTGTTCGCCAACTCCGTTCTTCAAAACTTGTTTGCGCGAACCAGGACAGGGTCGCCTCTCCTGTAGAGTAACTCCAATAAAGCGGCCTCTATCATCTGCGACGGCCAAATGGCACGTCCTCCCATTGGTCCTGCTGGCGACTAGCCCGGTGAATATCCTGGCCCAACTCCCAGTAACAAATCACAAGCGAGCACGACCTTGTACGTACAAGGCAAATTGGACCGGGAGCGAGCATAATTATAGTGCCATCTGACAATGGAATCATCGGAAGTACTATTAGCCGAGTGGTCGCCTCCGTTTACTACGCTTACGACCTTTGCATCTCGCCGTGGCGCGACCGCGAAAGCAACAACCGACTGGTTCGATAATGACAGCTTCAACATTATGCTGTGCGCCCTCACCCGTCTAGTACACGCGCGTTGGACTCTGGCGGTTCTCTATCTGTCCAACTTATGGCGTCAGCTACTTCGCTTCACCAGCGCCGCGGGCATCAAGACGCGCGAGATGGGTGACCTCAAGTTGGACGCTCAAGCGATCAATGGACCAGAGACTGGGCCCCTTGACCCTGATAGTCGGGAATTCCCTGCTGCTACCGACGACCAATACAATATTGCGCGAAGAACTTTCATAAAGTCTCTCGACTTAGATGCCGTCTGCGCTCTGGCATCGCGGTACAACAACGGCAGACCGTGCCAAGTTGTGAACAGGAAAAACGGCAGCTTCAATGTTTGCTTTTTTGTTGAATTTGACCAAGACGGGCCCAAGTGGATTGTCAGGGTCCCCATCGAGCCCGCTCTTGACAATCCTTGGGACAAGTTGTTAAGTGAAGTGGCCACCATGCAGTAAGTGCTTGTCAGTTTCCCGCTTGCGACTACCGCTCACATAGACACAGATACCTCGAGCACAACACTCGGATTCCCGTCCCTCATGTTCGTGCTTATGGACGCAATGCCAACTTGACTACAACCAGCACAGGGACGCACAAATTTCTCATCGCAGACCTCATTCCAGGCGAGCCGCTGGATAAGACCGTTCTAATAAACGCCCCGGAAGAGCACAGAAAAGCCTTCTACTCTCAGCTAATCGACATCTTGACTGAGCTTAGGAAACTCGAGTTCCCCTTGATAGGATCCCTGTTGCCAGGCCCTAATGGCAGCCCGCATCCTATTTTGGGCCCCGTCATCTCCATGTCTGCCGCCACGCTTCGGCTGCATCCCCAGCCAACTTTCACTTCCGCCAAGGACTACATGAGACAACAGTCCAGCCTTGTATCAGGCTTCTACTCGCCGCCAGTGCCTGACCATACCGTCGACGATATCAAACAAGAGGTTTTCGCGCTACACGGCATGCAGCGGATTTTCCACCAGGTCATCGATCCTCAGCTGGACGAGGGCCCCTTTGTGTTGAATCATCTGGACTTGCGGGGCGCCAACATCATTGTGGACAAACCCCTGCAGATTCAGGGCATAATTGACTGGGAGTTTGCAAGTGCTATTCCACGCCAAGTCTTCACCCCACCGTCATGGATTACTGGCCATAATTCGATTGAGACGAGCAAGCAGATGCACGCCGAGTTCCGCGACGTGCTAGATGAGAAGACCAAGACGAATAGCCTCTGCGGCCAACTCGGAAGGGAATGGTATGGCCAATTGGATGCGAGCAAGTCGGACATCAACCAAACGGACATGGCATTTTGCGTTGCTCATGTACTACGTCGTCCCACCGACGTCACCGACATATTCTGCGATTTTTTCGCCCCGAAGCTTTCTAACAAACATCTCGATGATATGATGGCTGAATTTTTCAACGAGCACCAAACACTTGCGTTGGAGGTGCAACGTCGGGCGGAACACTGCGAGCGCTACACCCAATACTTGAAGAAGCACGGGCTGTACGAGACCGAGGTGGACAAATTGCTTGCCGCGTCCAAAGCGTTGAAGGAAAAATGGGATTGGAAATAGGACTAATCCTCCTGTTCACTCGAAAAACTAAGTATTCTTGCCTTATAGGTTCTTCTCCAGCTCCCCGTGTTGTTCCTGTATATCGTGTATTCTCCTCAACACATGTCCGGGGTACTGTGGCAACAGCCGCACTATGGTTGTCTCTGGCGGCTTGACCTTTCCTGCCAGTCGTGGCAGCCTGGTGGACAACTATGGCGACATCGTGAGCGCTTTGCATCGTTGAGGATGGAAAGAAAATCAACCCAATAAGGAAGGAGAAGGGATATGTGCATCCTCAGAACTGCAGGAAGAAGAGCAAGAGAAGCCGCCTGATTAGAGCGTTGTCGGAGTCGTCAACGCCCACGGAATCCTACCGAGGGGAGCCCCGTGATGCAGTGTCGGGTGTAGTGCCGCGCGGCGAGGTTGGCCTATTTTCCGCACGAGTTGCTGACAGAGTGGGATGTGCACTCCGCAAGCGTCGGCCTTCCTCGCCAACAGATTGCTCTCGATATCCATAGTCATCTACTTGGCTGTTGTTGACGTCCAACGCATGTTTCTGCAGCCAGTTGTCGCACATGGGAGCCGTCCATCTCTCCTCGGGAGCCTCGCATAATAGGTTGCGGAGCAAGGGCTTGCACGCCGCTGGCGCTAAGCCAACGCGAGGCATGACCGAAATGCGAATCCAATCTTGGTTCCATGACTTGCTTGGTTGCATGGTGGCATTCGTCCCCTCCAACATGGATTCCCATGCCGTTAAAAGTTCGAGGGCGATGATGCCAAAGGACCACATGTCGACAGCACTGGTGTATCCGCGCTCCGACTCCCAAAATTCGGGAGCCATATAGACGATCGACCCGGCGTAGCCCAGCATCTTGCCGCGGACATTGTACTTGGATAAGCCGACGTCGGCAATCTTGGCCGAGAAGCCTCCCACGTGCTGGTAGACAAGAATATTCTCGGGCTTCATGTCACGGTGCGTGAAGCTGTTGGCGTGCATGAATGCCAGACCCGAGCCGACTTGCTGCAAAATAATGGGGATATCGTCAACATTGAGCGATACAGAACGAAGATCGAGCGGCATCCACTCCATAATCAGCCACTGGGACGAGGTGGTGCGATGCCACAGCAGGTCGCTACGTGGATTAGCTGTGTCGAAAGATGCTTTGCCGTGTGGTGGAGGCGATGGGTGCCGGGGCGAGGTGGATTTGCCGTCATTGAGTCTCTTGTTTGGAGGGACGCAAGACACGTCGGCCAGAGTCAGGCTTTTGCACTGTACGTCGAGCAGCATCGACAGGTCCATTGGCTTCTTGAATGTAACACAACGTGCTGCAGGGTTTCGAATTAGTTGGGGGACAGATGGTCCCCGCAGAGCGATGGCGGCGTTCGGCACAATTAGGGATGGCGAGAAGCGGCCCCGGCCTGGGCACAGCGTTTGCCCACCTTTGACGCCGAGTCCCGCAGCCTCTTGCTCCGGCGGGGTTCCGCCATGGAACGAGGCTGGCGGCGTAGGGCACGCTTCGGGGCGCGCGATGGCTGCGCGCGCTGGCTCTCGGGCGAGCTGGACATGACCTGTGTGTCTGTCGCCTGGGAGCGGAGCTGCTCGTAGATCTGGTGGTCGCGAGCAGCCGAGATGTGGCGAAGGACTTCTGCTTCGGATTTCCAGTACCCCTGGTCGTCGATGGACAGCCGACACTGGCGTAGCCGATTGGCGTCGAGCCCGTGTCGTTTCAAGCGACGCGTAAGGGCCGCGGTTACGTGCGCCAGTCAGAGGCTTCACGCAACCCATCTGCCGCGTGCTGGTCGCAGAGCCTCTGCCACATGGCATGGAATAGGGCGTCCTTGAGATGGAGAGCCTCGTGCCGCCGGTAATCGGCGTGGTGTATGGTGGCGCGAAAGCCGTCGACCTGCCGGGGCGTCATCTTGCGATGCTCGAGCTCGCAAAGCCAATTGTACGACTGCTCGGGGGTTCTGTCGCCGAAGACGGCTTCGGGGGTGGCTTCTTGCCGGCGCCGCAGCTCGTCTTGGAGCCTCGCAGCCACGTCGTGGGCATCGGGAGGCGGGATTGAAAACAACGTCGGCGTGCTCATTGCGCAGGCAGCCTCGGGGTCGGGGCGATGGCAGAGGTGAGGGAGGGAACGAGGTGCAGCCGCTTGTTTGACGCCGCTGCCTCGGCCTCCGTACGCCGTCTTGTCACGTGCCGCTGGCTATTCCTGTTCCTTTGGAGCGTGCGTGGCAGGTTTCTTCATCTCACGCAACCTCCCTCTACTTCTACTACGGCACCCTTTGCTACGGCACACTCTACTACGGCACCCTCTACTACGGCACCACCTTTCCTTCAAGCTGAAATGGCAAGTCTCCTCGGCCGTCTGCATATATGAGTCGTGACCCGTCGATAGTGACTACTTGACAAGGCAAATTATATCGTCTATCGTCCCGAACAGAATCGATAGACGCCGAGGTCCGCGCTCGGAGCTTGCTGTGCCAGGCCGTGAACAGAAAGGCCGTGGAGACTGCCTGCAAAGGTGCCCAGCCTTCCGTTAGTGACCGGGCAATGCTTCGCTTTGTCCCCGCCTGGTCGGTCCCCCTTTCCCACAGTATCATCCTTTCTTCCCACCTCGTCGCTTTCGTCTCGTCTTCAACAGCCACAATTGTAAACGGCGAGTGGTTTGTGGATCGATGCATGCTCCAGGTGGCCATGAGAGGCAAGGAGAACGAGGCCAGACCCGCTGCATTGGGCAAAAGTCTAGAGTGAAGTGGGAGACGGGAAACCCGCGCCCAGAGCCCACCGGTGGCACAAGAGACGAAAACTTTCGGCAGGCATGGATGAAGGGTTTCCGGCAGGGTTTGGGCGCGGCCGCCATGGTTGGCGTCTTCCTTATTGCGCCTATGTGGCTGATGGTCCTCCGCAGAACCCTCTACACGGCGCTGGTGTCCACGACAGTGTTTGTGACTATATTCGGCTTGGTGATGGCCTTGTTGCTTGACGGGTTGAAGGATGCCCTGTCGAGTACTGCTGCGTACTCGGTTGTGCTTGTTGTTTTTTGTCGGCTTGACTGTTCCCGCCAATACTCCTTGCAGTTTCAGGGAGCGTTGGTAGGGAAACCGGGTGTGAAAGCTTTTGTGATCCTATCGAAAGGTGATTACGTCCCTCTTGAATCCTAGTTGGCAAAGCTTTGCCATATGCCGTCTTGCTCCAGAGCATGCATGTCTTCCCTGCGAAGCACTATGAGAAGTTCGAGCACTTCCTCCGACGCGTCGGCCGCGACAGGTACTCTCCTAGGTAGTAAGAGACAAAGACCATCCGCCGCGCCTCCTCCACAGGGTACTCTAATAAAGTCGGGCAACCCGAGCCCCATTCCAAAGTCCATGCCGTGCAAACCGAAATCGGCCCAACTGAGAATGGCCAGATGGCGCCCACTGAGCAAGTCCCAGCTAACACCGATAGCCCTATAGTCTTCACTGCGGTCCACCAGGCTGTAGACCTCGGCAATGTGGTGTAAGTCGATTTTGGGCGAATGGCTTTGATCAATAGCGTGACAGATTTTGGCGAGCGCCTCTGGCGCAGAAGATGTACTTAAGCCTTGGCCCAAAAGCTCTGGTAGAGCATAGAGGACAACGTTTCCGAGATACGGATTGTCTGGGGTTGAGAATTCGGCGCCGATGCGTCGACGACCGTTGACGGGTATGGCCATTTTACTCGTCTCGGTGGCCAAAGCAGGATTGCGTTGCATTCGGACGCGAGTAACCGCGGACCATAGGACGGCAAAGAATACAGTGTTTGTCGTGGGCGCACGCGGCATATAGCTACTCAGCTGCTGCTTTATGGCATTGACCCGCGTGGTTGGAATCGTGAACATTCTGAATGTGCATGGCGGAAGGTCCGTTGCCGGCGCTGGAGATGCTCTAGAGTATTCTGGATGTGATGCAAATAGACTATCCAGGGGCTTGGCCACGACTGCAGAAAGCTGAGAAGAGAGTGAGTTCGAAAGCCGATCAAGCCTGTTTCGAAATATACCAGGGGAAGGCAATGCGGATCCCGTCATACTTCGAATCCATAGCCTGATGACTTCCGCGTATCCGGTGCCATCCATCGCGTTATGGTGCATAGCGACGCAGAGTCCTATTCCTTGATTGTCGGCGAACCGAAAGATGCTTGCGGCAAAAACAGGCGCTCCTCTCGTAAAGAGAGCATCGTCTATCATTATCGGCACCGGCCAGACATCGGCAGGGAAAGACTCAGGCGGCATGCCTTTCGCAGCCAACGCCTCATACGACGCTTCTATCGAGCCTCGGTCGACCAAGGTGGGTGCAGGCTCGTTTATGTCTCTTCGGATCTCGAGCGTCGGCGCCTCCATATCCCCTCGGGCCCGGGTGGTTGGATGTACCCGACCTGCCAACCATGGAACTTGTTCTGTAAGGCGGTCCAGACCTCGCTGAAGTCGTGGCGAGACCGATGCGATGGATTCTGTTGTCCGGAATGCCATGAGCATGGGAATATACGCCCTTGGCATAAGCAAATCTAGCGGAGTCAGCCGCTCAACATCCGAATTGTCGGCCATGGCTGGATTGGTCTTGGATTGGTCTTGGGAATGGCGCGGCAGCGGTGTTGGCATGGCATCGAGGGAGCCGGAGAGCCCTAATTATTGCATATCGGGCTGTCCTATGACAGGCGGCAAGGTCATATATGACCCGCTGCTTCAAACGACGTGGAACAGCCGGTATTACGCCCGGCCGTCAGCACTTGTACGGCGCAGCCGCTTAGGGTTTCACTCAAAACGGAGACATGGCGTCTTGAACGCGTAATATATAACAGTAGGCGTCTGGCGTGCACTTTAGATGTTGCAATGGAGCAGGAAGCACAGGTACTGGGGCTGCGGGACGACGCCCGCGCAAGGGACTGCATGTGGTATTGTGGTGACTGACTATTCAATCCCTGTCGAGGGTGACACCCATATCAACAGGAAGCCGCTTATTGCTCCCGAGAGCTGCCGGGTTCCAAAATCATCAGGGGCCGCCTCTGTCCAAAACGTCTTGGTTCCGTCAGGATGCTCGTTGCATATACACTGCACAGACGAAGCAGATGCAGCTGTTCAAAACGCAGGCACCGCAGGTGGCTGGTTCGCCGCTGCGCTGACCCCATCCTGCAGGTTCATTACGGGAGTTAATAGCCGAGATTATACTATTCATGTGTCGATGACTGCTTGTGAAGTCTTGTGGAGTCTGGGGAATTTTCAGCTTCATCTTTGTGGTTGCGAGGATCATGTACAAGATCAAAGTGGCTGACAAGGTCATTAATCGGTCATTTTGCCTATGATGGTTGATCCGCAAATACATATGTGTACGTTAGCCGCCAGAGATCGGTTTATCGACGGACTCGACGCAATGCAGCCAAGCTTGGGAGCATTTCCAGAGACAGGAAGTTTTATAGCTGGATTTCCGATGACCTCAACACGTATGCCCCTGTCAACGGCAAGCCATTTGCCGTCTTGTCTGGGCGAGCAGAGATATTTCATAAGCGCCATAGAACGGTGGCGGTTCTTTAGAAGAGTTTCCGTCATCTACGGTTAATAGATGGCCCCTCTTGTATGCACCGAGTCAAAGACTCCAGTTCTAGTCGTCTTACGAATTGGATGCATAGACAGAAACATGTTGGTACGCGGAAAGCTATGAATGAAGGGCAGTGTCGTGATCATTGGCTCGGTCTTTTCATGCCCCTGGCCGTTACGGTCAAGCCCACCGGCAACCGCAACCGCAATCGCCCGTATTCGACTGGCCTCACGATCAACGTCTGCTCCCAGCGCGCGATCAGAAACACCTCATCCAGACCCAGAACATCGATACCTGAGGTGCCGACATACATGACCCGATCAGCTCCTCGGTGGTTCTATATACATTTACGGACGTAGCGAGAAAGGAGTTCTAAGCGACCAAAATAACGGACTAGAAAATTTGAGTGGCATAAGAATGGCTCTCAGGCTCTTTATACACTCATCAGCCTACATACAGCCTGATGATTTACTGCTAGGAGGCTCGAACCCGTCATAGCAAAGGAAAGATGGGCAAAAAAACATACAGTAGCCGGTGTTCGCTGGCCGTCTCCGATCCAACTACTAATCTGCCCCTTACAAGCTTAACTAACCGCGAGCAGACGAGAGCGGGTACTTTCTTGCAGGTATGACCGTATGTGCTAGGGTGACGAACAAATTTTATTTATATCTGGCAACCATAACGGCTACTGATGCAGCAATGCCGGAGCCCTCTCGCCTTGAAAAGCCAGGGCTGCCGCTTCAAGGAGCAGAGCGCTCAGCAGATCATCTCATGTTGACCTCGGCACACTAATAAATCCCCTAGCGAAGCTCCACCTGTGGAGTCGATTTGCTTGAGTTTAAGTAGCCGGTCTTGGTCACATATGGTGCGACAAACTTGCAGTCTGGTTTGAATCCTTTTGCTGCGATGTATAAGTCTTGAGGGCAAAACATCCAAGGGCCGCGAGAGTTGACGGATTTCTGGTCGCCGAAAGTGGAGAGTCCAATGGCTCGAGGCCTCGGCAATCACTGGTTACCTTTACCACTTGCTTCTCGCCGTCAAACAAGGCCTTTTGATCGCCATTTGCAGGTGTCCAGCTCCTCGCGACAACAATAACAGAGCACTCTCGACAACGGCCTCTCTGCAAAGTCATCCACCACCCATGTCGGATCCTGCCTCGCTCTACTCGAGACTGGCGTAGCAGAGACAGGTTGAAATGATGTGTGGCAATGACGGCTCGGTTTCCGATGATCGAATGCCAAAAAGAATGGAGGGTGAGTAGAATGTCAAGGGGACTGGGTCGTCAAGTTCTGCCAGACTGGGCAGCGCGCTCGACTCTATAAGCCCGGGCAAAACGGCCTTGTGGCTTTCGGAGCTCTCACTACCCAGAATTCCATACGGCTGCCGTGCTCTTTGGAGGAACCGGCGCTGACGACTTGACGAATCACTCCCTGGAAGCTCTTTGGTTTGTTTAGACGCGAAAGCCAGTGCCATCCATTTATGCCCGTTGTTGGGCTCGGCATGATATTTCGAGTAGTGTCCATTTAATGGCTGCCCCATCAGAACCGAGTGCCGTTTGGGATTATGTTGCGAGGTGAACGCCTAGCATCGGAGCCTATCTCTGAGAGGGCCTAGACGGCTCCCTACATGATAGGTCCCCTTTCGAGTGGTATCCGCATTATCGTCTAGTTTCCAGAATCCGATGCTAGCTAGAGTGCTGTTCCGCGCGGACCACATCCATTAACGTCCGCGCCGCCACCCACCAGCGTCCGCACTGTTTTCTCATCTATCCAGCCGAGATATGGAACCGTAGGCGCACATAGAGCTGTTCTGTATCTTCCGCCTTGTGCGTTAACATCGGCGCCGTGGTCGAGCAGTGTCTGCACTGTTCTCCCGTTGCCTGCAAGGGATGCCGCTTGAAAGGCTGATCATAATCATATATTGTGCGTTGACGTCAACACCTCTCTCTGGCAGCATTCGCACCAGTCCCTCATGGCCCATGGGCGGTCCCGATGACAGTGCCCTCCAACCCATCTGCCGGGCAAAGGCCATTTAGAGGTCTGTTCAAGGCTTCGAGTCCATGTCGCCAAATTTCTTACCGATACCTGCGCCTCTGTTAAGTAGTGTCCTGGCAATCGAGTCTAACCCCATTAGACTGATGAATTGCAGAGGTGGAAAAGCTTGGCCCCTTGGCTGCGATATCACTGTCACATCGGCATTTCGCTCATACGCAAATAGCATGCGCAACCGACCATCTCAGCGTTTTATATCCGGCGTCATTGTCGATGTCTCACAAGATGCTGTCACGAATATGATCCAGGGCTTGCTAGAGTGCCAGAGAAAGGTCCCCTCTGCAGCGATCAATACCGGTCCATGGCAGCTAGCGAATATACGTTAAGCAAACATTTGTTAAGCAGGCCTGTGACTGATCTTGCGAGAAACCATGTTCAAAAGGCGGCCCAGGGGTCGGTGATAGGGAGTATTCCTTGGATATCTCTAGAGCTTTGGCCCGAGCCATATCTTGTGTTGATTTCGTGCTCCTGTCTTACAATTCTGGGACTCGGTGTAAAGCTGAGATGTGATTGAACGTAGCAATTCACCCATTTCTTCCGTAGCCTTGTCACGGAAGCCAAAATAGAAGGCGATGACCACGCGGGAAGCTGTGCTTATGGCATCTAGGTGGTTGAGGATTGTCGTGGTCAGGACTGTCTTGCCAAATCCCGGCCCCGCATGTACTCATAGTCTTTTACGGCATTCTGACTTACACTCAACAAACGGCTGGCTCTGAAGAAACCGTTCTTCTGTTCCTGGCCGTCGGCTCTATTTGGCTTTATTGAAGTGGGGAGATCTAAACTCGTTTCTCCAAAGGTAGCGACATGAAGATCTTCAGAGTTTTAATGTGTCCATGCTCTTTGCTATCTGTCAGCAATAGTTAGTTGACTTACCGCCGCATAAACAGAGGCACTTGGCTTAAGCCCCGTTACAAAGTCCTTGATATTGACCATCATGTACTTGAGTAGTATACAAGTAAACTGGTGATAATTTAAGGCTAGCAATTAAAGACTGAGGTACCCCCCCTGAGGGATATCGTTCCACCTCCCTTTAGCCAACGCTCGATATACATTAAGGCATGTAATTCCTAGATCTTAGCCTTATATAGAAAGGCGAAAGCTTACGCTCTGATTGAAGTCACCTTCGAGCTATCAATTCCTAAAAAGACGCCGATCATAGACATCTTACAACGACTTTGCAAGTTCTCGAAGTTGACATTTGCGTCTCTCCTGTCCCGACGGTCGTTGCGATGTCATATCTACCATCTCGATTTATATTCGGCTTTCCGAAATATATAATAAATAGTGGGAAGTCGAATGCCGAGCCTAGAGAGCTGTGAATTTTAAGAACAGTTGTTCTCCTGCTGGCCTCGCAGAATAGCCATCAATCTGCTCCATACCATCGTCGTTTACAACAGAGGTTTTAAAGTTGGAATATATCATAGCAACTATATGCTTCATTTCTGTTGAACCTTTGGTTAGCGTTTTGCCGTTGTTCGAAAGTTTGCAGCTGGCATACCGTTGGTCGCAAAATTCGACCCAATGCACATTCTGCCGCCACTTCCAAAGGCCCAGAACTGTCGGTTCATATCTCTTCGACGTTGTTCTGTTTGATCAAGCCATCGTTTATGATCCCAATGCTCTGGATCTGGATAAACTTTGTCGTCGAGATGCAGAGTATGGGCAAGGGCCGCGATGCGCACGCCCCCGGGAATTATGTATCCACCAATTTTGCAGCAAGGATATGGTGTCATGCGAGGCTGAGGTCCAGGAATTGGAGCGTGAAGCCTAAGAGTCTCCATGACGACGGCGTGAAGTAGCGGAAGACCGTCCAGCTCTTTGCTGTCTGGGAGGGTACCATTGCCCGCAACGGCGGTCTTCATCGGTGGACTCAACGTGAGCAGCTCCTCTCGCAATTGGTCCTGAAGCCCCTGACGCTGAGACAGGCACCAGGCCAGATAGGTCAGAACAATCCCCGCGGTCTCGTGGCCGGCCAAGACTTGATCCAAGATTTCGCTAGCGATGGACAAATCTCGCTGTCTAACCGTCGTGGAGTAGAGAACCGAAGAATCGCCTTCCAGGTTCTCCTCCCTATCGATACCTGCATGAATAGCCTTGTAGACAACTGCCTCATCCTCCGCTGGCTGCAGTTCTGAAGCTCCTTCCAGAAGCGAGTCGCGCGCCGTGTCACACATTCTCTTGTTCCACACTCTCAGCTCCTCATTTGCCCTATCCACAGATACGGGGTAAAGGCGGAATCCGAGCTTGGAGCAAAGAGACGCCAGGCTGGGAAGCTCCTGCGGCCAGAAATGGTGACGGTGTCTGCAGAGGTACAAGTGCAGCCAGTGATCGCGATACGGCTTATCCTGCAGGAAGTTTGTGCTGTTTCTGATTCCGAACGTGTACGCCGAGATGAGATCCATGGTCGTGGCCATGAAAATAGACTGAACCTCGGTTCCCCTGGCGCCTGACGTGGAGGCTTCCCGCCGGAGGAGCGGGAGCAGCCGACCACAGAGTATGGCGCGGCTCTGGGCTCGTGCTGCTGGTGAGGACTGGATATACGATTTCGAGTAAACATTGGACATCATCCTCTTCCTGCGCGAGTGCTCTCTTGAACCAAGCGTCGAGAAAATACACGGTATGCCATAGTTGTCGAAGACGGAGTACCACGGCCACTTCTCAAATCCGCCTTGATAGACCGCCCGGACCGCATCGACTCCATCAACACTGAGGGTATTGGGAGCGACTACTACAACCGGGCCGTGCCGTAAATGGGCATCGCGGAGGCTCCTGTTCTCAATGCCCTGCTTTCTTGCGCGAAGAATCCAAAGGCTTGAGAAGGCGCAGGACCAATGCGGGGTCGGGATGCGTGACAGCGGAGAAAAGAAGGCAGGGTATAGCAAGTATGAATACAGCCCGTATAACAAGCCGGCTGCCCCTATTAAAATGAATAGCATATTGAAACGGCAAGTCGGTATTACAGGGGGAGTTGGTGTAAGATTGTTCGTTGTAGGGTTCAAAAAAGCTCACGTCATCGCCGCTGATATCGTCGGTGAAGGCCTCACGTGTACGGCAGGCTTGAGGGGTCACGTCTATAGCCGGTGTGCTAATTGTCGTCGGGGTCTGTGTAAAGCGGACAAGAATACGGGTCAGGAATGTGCGGATGCTCGCTTCTTTCTCTTTTGTTGTTTAGTCAAGTCTTGCATTGTCTACATGGCAGAGGCGACGAGATGGGTGCCCAGCATATTGCAACCTCTATAAGGAGTATTCGTCACCGTTATCCTCCACTGCCATATTCTCCAACAAGGCTGTAGAGTCTGTATAGGTCGTTCAAGACCCGCTCCATCGGCATCCTTTACCCCGGCTTGCAGATTGGCGTTGCATCAGCTGGGCCGGTGTAACTCCGACCTCGACGGTTTGGGCCTGTCCTTGGTCGCCTCCACCGCATAAGCAAAGTGGTCAAGATGACTTCGTAGCTTACCGTGATTCGTTGCAGTGGCCTACATTCCTCTGTTGCGCCAGCGTGGGCAAGGCGCGTGCTGTTCCTGCCCTTGTGCACATCGGCCCTTGACTGTTCAGCTACTAAACCTACCAAACCCCCATGTGGCTACCGTGCTTCTTGAAGTAGCCAGGCAGAGTATTCACCAATCACTCCCTGATGCATAATCGTGAACAAGCCAGAAGCTGCAAAGCCAGCGAAAACACAAGGCTCCAGTCTGGCTTTCATTTACCATTCACGTATGCCCCCAAATCCAGCCCGCTCACCCTTTCGCCACTCTTAGCAAGCGTCGCTCCGACTTGAGAAGCGATGCTGCAAGTATGGGCTTTGCATGAAAACGTAGGGTTCGTATACCAACAGGGATTGCGAAAACTTGTAATGACCTGACGCACTGCGAAGACACTGTAGCCGTGGAATGGAGGTTCTGGTCGTGGGTCAACAAGGTGACCGGCGTGCATGCCTTTCATGAGAGCACCCAAAAGGATCGAAGAGCACTCGAACGAACAACCGATTTGGCCTTCGAAGAACCGTGATATTAAGTGGTGGAGGTCTGCGACGATATCGGCGATGATATCTTGTCTTTTCTGATCAAGTCCATCTGATAGTGAATCAGTCATTATACTCAACGTACTTGGTACAGTTATTGCTGACCGACAATAGCCCCAGGCAATGGCAGATTCAGCTGATGGAGGGGACCACGACTCTCGAGCAAGACTGTTTCTGTAAGCTTGCGGAAAACGTCTCGTTCGCCAAAAGCCCACGATACAAAAAGTCTAAGCAACAGGTTCCTGCAGTAGTGAGGCGGGAGGTCTTTAGTCAGATTTCCAATCCAAGTTTCTGAGAATAGTGCCACTGCCTCGTGACAGTCGTAGTAGTCGACGAGAACAGCAATCTTGGCCAGAAGCTCGAGACTGATGGTTCGAGGCACCTCCTTTGTCTGGCCATGGATGATTCGCATCAAGATCAGCAAGGCTTCCGGGTCCCAGTCCGTGGCAGCCACAACGTAAGCGTACTCGGACGTTGCGTTTGTCTCTATCCATCCGTTGGTCATCATTTTTTTGAAGTACGCAGACGCCATCATGAGATGCTTGGATGAGAGTCTCATCCGCATCTTGGGGGATTTTAGTAAGCCTCCAGGTGTTTTGGACCGGGCTTGTTTGGGTTTGGCAGATCGGGTGTTGGGCCGCCTCGACTTAATGTTTGTTGACTTGCTGGAGGGATAGACCATGGTCAGTTCGTCGACAGGGGAGCTCAGCAAGCGATGCTGTTGCAAATGGTCGGGCCACAGGTCCGCTGCAGGGCATGTCGCGAAGTTATCACCAGCTTGCACGTTACGAAGAATTAACAGTGTATCTCCATCGGGATCGATTTGCTGAATGGGGCTTTCCATGATGCGACTTTCGTAGGTATCGTGACAGAATGAAGAACAGGGTCAAGCCAATGCTCAACTTCAACGAGCTAGCGAGCTCAGACCTGTCGTCGAGGCCAAGGTTGCTCCAGAACCAAGGCACCGAGGCAACGATGCTGCGATTTGAAGAATGGCGATGGTAGATCCAGGAGGCGGCAGTTGACACAGAGAACTGTCGTCAACGTTGGAAGCAGCTTAGTCATGCGCCCATATGTTCAGCACCCCGCGCCCGCCGTCACGTGCGCCGCCAGCCTTGTCACCTCTGCCAGCTGCCAATTGCCAGCTGCCACCCAAACCGCCGAGTTCGCGACGAGGCTCCAAAGCTCGCCGCGCCTCATGTTTCCTCGATCCCAAACCCACCACAAGCATCCAACCTCACCACACCAACCAAACCACCCGCATCGCGCACAACGTATAACCTCTGCAACCTGCGGCGCCTTGGCTTCGCCTCTGAATCGCCAAGATGCCTAAATGTACGTTGCTTCCCTCTCTTCACTCCCCGGTTTCGACGATTTCTTGTCTGCTTCTGGAGCTTTTTGCTAACCTGCTCTTCGTCTTGTCTAGTCTTCTGTGAGCAACTCCCTCGAGCCTTGAACCCCCCGCACTCCGACGGGCTTTTGCTAACCGCTGGTGTTCCTCCGCGCAGGCGACTACTGCGATGTCTACCTCACCCACGACTCCATGAGCGTTCGCAAGGCGCACAACAGCGGCCGCAACCACCTCCGCAACGTCGTTGACTACTACCAGCGTCAGTCATCCCGCTTGCCCCTTGAGCTTTCAAAATAAAATGGGATGGACCCCTTCTAACGAGTTTTGCCTGCAGAAATCGGCCACGAGAAGGCCCAGTCCGTCATCGACTCCATCACCTCGTCCTACGCCGCCGAGGGCCAGGCTCACGCCAATCCCATGCTCCCGCAGAACCAGCCGGGCCATGGCTTCCACGCCCCGCCCCCCTTCCCTGGCTTCCCAGGTAGCTCGCCTCCTCCCTTTGGCGACGAGGCCGACGAGGAGCAAGAGCATGAGCTGACTGAGCACGCTTCAGGCGGCGCCCCGCCTCCCTTCCCCGGCATGCCAGCTGGCGGCCCCCCCGGCCAGTTTCCCGCCGCCATTCCGCGTATGTCTCCTGCTCTTGCCCAGGGAGATGAAGCACTTTGGCTCACCCACTTTGATCAAGCTATTCCCGGCGCTGCTGCCGGTCGCGGCATGCCTCCCATGCCGCCTTTCCCTCTTGGCCCCCCGGGCCCGAATGGCATGCCTCCCGTGCCCCCCAACGGCCTTCCCTTCTCGCCTCCCCCCGGCGGATTCCCGCCCTTCCCTCCTCCCCCCGGCCCCAACGGTACGCCTGGCCTCCCCGGAGCCCCGCCTCCCAACTTCCCCGGCCTTCCCAACATGCCGCCCCCCGGACAGGGATTCCCTCCTCCCGGCATGGGCGGTCCCCCCGGCGGCTTTCAGCAGGGCAGCCCTTCTGCGCCCGGCCAGGATCGACGTTAGGCGCCTCCCCGTCGTCGTACCTACGATTTGGCCCCATTGGGCTTTTCTTTTCTTCGTGTTGCATGGAAGGCGAAGGCGAAGGCGGCGTTTAGGCTGAGACTCACGACCGGTATGGATGGTCAGGAATCGGAAAAGATGCGAGGGAAGCAGACAAGGTCGTTAGGTTTAGCGGCACTTGGCCAGGCACGGCTCGCACAATAGATCATGAAAACATCTGCACGCAGACTCATTCGCGTACATGCCCTCACAAGTTCAAAGGGAACCCAGAGTGTGGAACCAAACGTGACCACACACAAACTGCAATTTGATTCTGTCAATGCATCGGGCAAGAAGCCCATCGTATCATACATACAGTGCCGCCTCCCGCTCCGATGCCTGCTCGAGGCGTGTCGAGGCAAGTCCCGCTCACTCGTCCCCGTTCACCCGCGCAGCGTCGAAAACGACTCGAGCACCCGGTGGGAGGAAAGAAGAAAGAAGGCAGAAGGCAGAAAACAGAGCAGGCAATCATTTCATCCACGCATTGCACACGTACATTTCCCATAGTTGCCCCAAAACTCACGCGCGTGCTTTCATTTCAACACATTCAGCCTGTCATCAAGGGGGGCCGTAATCGTCAAGCCGTCTCGTCGTAGCAGTCGTAATCTCATTGTCGCGACCGGTGTTTGTTGCTCATTTTCATCGTCCATGAAATCGTTTTGATTTTTCGTTACCCCTTCTCGACCCGGAAAGGGTGCTTTTGTCTTCTGTTGGCCTGAAATATAAAGGAAACCCGCTCCAAACGGAAAAAACCAAGGGCCCGGCGTCCTGTGAGGGGCGCTGCAACAAAGGCCGTCGTGCGCTAGATCAGCCCGTAGCCGTCGGGTTGGCGCAGAGCTCTTGAGCCCCTGGGCTCGATGACTTCCCGAACGCCATCACGGACGTCCTTGGGGCCGCTGATCATCTGTCGGAGCTGCTGCGTCCGCTTCTCTCGCCTCCTCTCGCTCAACATGCGCGGCAACTTCTGGATCCCTTCCCACCGTCGCCCCACCGCAGATCGTCGCAACTTCTCCTGGCTTTGGTTCTGTCGCAGGCCACGACCACCCCAGAAACCTCGTCGCTCGTTTGCATCGGGTGCAGCGTACGTCGCGCCTCGCATGCTCTCGCGCCGCAGGTACGAGTCGGCACTGGCCCGGCGACGCATCACCCGGAGATTGCCGCTCGGGGTGCGCCGAATGGTGCGTCGTTCAGGTCCGTGAGTGGTCTCGGCAGGAAGAAACTCATCGTCGCGGATAGGAAAGATAGCAAATGTCCGCTTCATCCGCGCGCTAAAGCTCCGCTTCGGCATACGCGCCGGGACAGCCCACTCCCGGTTGGACGAGCTCCCGTTCAGTCTGGCTCCGCCGGCATCATAGTCGTGCCCGGCGTAATCGCCGCCGTCGACTCTCTCCCCCTCGGGGGGTTGCGGGCGCCAAAAGGGATGCAGTTTGTTTTCATCAGCTGGCACGGCATCTTTCCGATGATACGTGGGATTCACGTCTGTGTTGGCCGACTTAGTGGCATCCGTTGACTGGAACTGGCGCACGTTTCGGGAGAGTGATAGGGTCCTCATCAGAAAACTGGGAGCCTTGGAGGCCGCCGGCGGATAGTCAACGGAATGACGCCGCCGACCGAGCGCCCGTCTAACGATGGAGGGTCGGCGAGAGGGCGGCTCCACCGTTGCTTCAAAATAATTTCCCAGCCGGGCAAGCCTTTCCTGCGCCGGAGTCGAGCCCGATGGAGTGGCCGGGATAAAGTTGATGGCCGGGGGCTGTGCGGGTGGCGTCGGCGGCGGTCGCGGATTGCGGAGCGGAGAGTCGACCTCATCCGAGGAACCTCGCCGAGGTGGTGTCACTGGCCCCCCACCCGGGCTTGTCGTTCTGATCGTCGGCTGCGCAGGCGGTGTAGCCTCTTCCTTTGCCATCTCGGATACCTCGGCAGGCTTTGCTAGATGATCGACGACGAGAACCGACGAGTTCTGGTGAAGAACCATTTGAACGGCCATGGCCTCGGACACCTCGAGCGCCGTGCCGCTCGTCTCAAACGAAGCAATGGAAAAGGGGGTATTTCTGGACGAGAACTTTTTGGATGAGAGGGCATCCTCATGTCGGCCAAGACTGGCCAGGTCATGATCTTCATCTGGCTCGAAGCGGATGGTAACTTCTGGTAAAGGACTTGGCTGGGGTTCAAGGGAGCCTGCTGGCGCTCGTGCGTGTGCGGGAGCTCCAAGGTGCTGCGGCGGGGAATCGGGAGCCCCGAGATGGTCTTCCGTAGCCCCCAACGCGTCGCCACTCGCATGAGCAGAGTGCGACGCAAACGGGGCAGGGGTGGAGGGAGACGAGCCAACCGTCTTGTGCTCCGAATGGTCTGGTTCCGATTCAGGCCGTCGCCGACCTCGCTGCTCCAGCACAGGGGAGGCGACGTGACGAGCGGGCCTGTGTTGGGAACCAGGGTCAGGGCTCGTGGCTCTTTTTGATCGTCGGCCGGCGGTCGAACGGAGCGCACGTTCCTTTGTCGACCTGTCCCGGCTCGAAGACCGCCGCTCGGGGACGACGACGACTGGGATTGCGCCATGTTCCCAGACCTCGCGACGTGCACGCCCGCTCGCTATCGAGTGGGATGTGTTGCGAGCATAACCATCAGTCAGGCGGTCCATTTCGCCTCCGTATTCGGCGAGCATCAATTTGGGGAGGTGGAGGCTTGAGCCCCCCTGAATGGGCGAGAAACGACCGCTAGTGTCTCGTAAAGTGCCTCGCTTCTGTACGTGTCTCAGGGTTCTCTGCCTTTGTGGTGGGAGGTCCACCAAAATAGCCTCGACGACAGTTGACGGGTTGGACTTGATGGACTGCCCTGACAAGCGCTTGGCATCGGTGCGGATCGAAGTATCCGAGTTGGAAGGGGCTGAAGATGCATGCCTTTGATCCGGCGTACGTTTGGGGGACGAGCTCAGCAAGGGTGCCTCGTGGAGTGACGTTTGGCGGAGAGGCTTGGCAGTATTTGTCAGAGGCGCACCGTGGTCAAGTATTTCGTTAAGAGTGTTCTTGTCGAGAATATCGAGGTGCTCAAACCCGACATGCTTCTTTGGCCTGGCCAAAGCCCTCCCCATGTTGTTCGCCCACTCCCGTTCAATGTCAGGGGGCGCACACCAGGCTCGGTCAGATTTCGCGAGGCTTCGTCGAGTCTTAAAGTCCGATGTGTCGGCCTGCCGAGATTGAATGCGCTCTAGAGCGACATGTAGATCTGGGGGCGAGATGAGTGGACTGCATTGAGAGTCGGCAACACGGTACAATTTCGAGAAGGAGCTCAAAGGCTGTCCCATGGTAAAGCTGCCGGCTTCGTCGTCGGATGACGAGGGCTCCTCTCTGGCGGTCTCGAAAGATTCGATTGGCGAGCCCATTGCTGCGGTGTTGGATAGGGTGCGGTCCAAGACAGAAGGGCGCAAGGCGTGGGGACGGAGAGCTGGGCCGGGCGGTGTCACGTCTGGCGTTGGGGGGCTCCGCTGATCCGGGGGAGTGGCGACGGGACGCTTGACGTCTCGGGGGACGGCGTGTCCGCTGCTGTCGGCAATGTATGGCAAGGTAGGGTGGCTGCCAGAAGAGTTCCTAGAGTGGTTTGGAGGCGTCGGAGGCAGGTTCGGGGCGTTGCTTATGGTGCGAGATTCATGCTTGAGGACGCGCGGAATCGAAGGCTGGGCGGCGTCGGGGTGGGCAGAGTCGACGGCGAAGCGCAAGTCATGGTCTGCGGGATTGGGTCGAGTATCGTCGCGACGGGTGCGAGGCCGGGGCAAGGGCTTGTGCTTGCCGAAGTTGGGCTGGCCAAGGGCGTGCTCAGGCGAAGAGGGCAGCATGGTGAGCGCTTGAGACGAGGCCAGTGGCGGGCATGCTCAAAGAGAAGCGGCTTGTTGGGAGAAGCAAGGGATCGTGCGCATGGTGGCCAGGGCGTCTATGCTCCATCCAAGCCAGGACGGATAATGGGATTAAATGGATGTCTGAGACATGGGGAGAGCAAGCAAGTCAGTTTGCTGCGGGCGTTTTGGCGTCGGAGGAGGCGTCGGTCGACGAGCGATGATGGACAAGGACGGGGGCTCGACGCGTAGAGAGGCAGAGAAAGCAAAGGGAAGAGGGCAAGGCACGTCTGGTGGTGAGGGAGCCGTTTTGGATTGTGTCGCAGATTTTCTCTTGCAGGCGCAGGCGGGGACGGATGAATGCCTGGGCTTGGCGGAGGATGGGAATTACGTGTTCACTGGTACATGTACGGACGCCTAGGCCCTGCAGAGGCGCGAGGTACCCTGGGGCTATATTCCGTATGGCCAGCAGATTCATCGAGACGCAATCTTCTGCTGAAACCAAGGCAGTCACCAATCAATACCTTGCGTGGCCAGTAATTACCGTTTCTGCCGGCTGTGGAAGCAGAGGCAGGGGCCGACGATGGGGGCCTCTATGGAGGCATAGAGGGCAACGGGAACCAGGTAAGACATGGGGGCCACCTGGATCCATACTCACGCACTTCTCACGCACTTCTCACGCACTTCTCCTCACTTGTCAGAGCTCCAGGCCGGGATAAAAGCAAGTCTAGCTTCACCTACTGTTCCGGGTTAGCATCCGCTGCTAGTCGCCTCCTCGGCAGGCTGAAAAGACGATGCCCGGATGGAGCACGTGGTTGGCCCGTCATGTCGACGCTCCGCCGTATCGCGACGGCAGAGCGGGACGGCGCGGGCAGCAAGTGGGAGTCTAGAGTCTAGCTGTCCTTGAAGCAAGTCGTCAAACATCTGGCGAATTCATCTGGTCGTGAGCAAGTGCAGTTGAGGCTCGTGTGGCTTAACCCGGACTGTGGCGTCGCCTCGTTTTTCACCGTCTCGACTCTCAAGCCGACGAGGCAGACACAACCCTCCCTCCCTCGTCCAAGATCCTTCGGCGAGCCGCGTTTGCCATCCATCGCACTGCTCGACCTGCTCCATCTGCACGAAGCTTCTTGCGGCCCCACGACTCTGCGCCCGTCTTGAGAATGGATGGATCCCGCCATGGCAAGCTCCAGCTCCAGCTCCAGCTCCATCAGCCCATGACTCGTCACGAAAGCCCAGGCTCGTCAGGTCCAGCTCGGCGTTGCTGGGCACGCTTTCGGCTGCCTTGAACCAGCCCACCGCACAAGCCCTCGTCCAAAAAGGGGTCCCCTGGGGCTAGTTACCGCAAGGTCCAGCCGGGTTGGCTCGAGAAACGGCCGGTTCTGCCCGCCGCCTTTGTTCTAGGCGTCACTCGGAACAAACGGGCAAGGAAACCCTCATCACCTCTCCAGAAAGGTCATATAGCGATCCTATTTCCGCGCACAGAGGGGGGCATGCTGTTGCACGTGCCATTCAGGGGCCCAAGCCGAGTCGTTCCCGAATCAGCTTATACGACGCCGGGACGAAACATGTGCTGCCGACTGTCGTCAAGGAAGCGGCTGAGGCAAGCCTTGAGACAAAGGCCCCTTCAAGCCCTCGCAGTTTTCCATCCTGCTGCCCGAGGGCGCGGAGGAGAAGAGCCGATTCGTGGGCCGGAGCGAAGGCGCCCAAGCCATGTGCGACGCTGGCTGCCGTGCTGCATCGACAAGGCGCCGGATCGGCAGTGCGATGCTCATCGTCCTTTGCAATGCCCAAGATGCATCTGAAGCTTGCGAGGACGGCTTGCCGGCCAAGTGGCTTAGCTGGAGCCGAGTGAGCGCAGAACAGGCCCCTTTCGTGTCCCTTGGTCGCGTCTCTTTCGTGTCCCTTGGTCATGTCCCTTGGTCATGTCCCTTGGTCGTGTCCCTTGGTCATGTCCCTTGGTCGTGTCCCTTGGTCGTGTTTCACCGGGACAGCGGCCCGCGATATCAAGATGCGAGACGCCAGGCAAAGTTGCGAGTTGGGAATCAGTTTCTTGGACCCACGAGAGGCTGCACACCCTTTGTGACGGGACCGAGGGGACAACGGCAGTGACTGTCGGGTCCCATTAGCTACGCAGTAAGGATCTCGTAAAAGACAGACTCGACCAGGAAGCAAAAGGCACGATTCACAGTGTCGAACCCGGCTTCTCCTTCGTATGATGGATGAAGTCAAGCCCTTCGGCTACATGACCGTGGATACGAGACCCTTTCGACGGGCAGATTGGTTACACAGGGTTTGGCTTATGCGATGCAATGTCGAGCCTCGAGTGAGGGCAACCTTTGGTGTTGCTGTCATCCAGGGTCAGCCTGGCCCTCCCGAGCCAAAAACCATGACTTCAGCTGGGGTTTTGTCCCTTTTTTCCTTGCCCATTCCAACAACTCTCGGCCACATCACTCTTATTTCTCACCCAAACTGGCTGAAGAGTGATGAACAAGTGCGTGCAGATCGGCGGCGCTGATCCCCCTCCAAGCCACGCCATCTTCCTCTTCGCTAATGGGGCAACGCACATCTCGCTAAGCTCCTCCTCGATGCAGAATGGCGGGGACAAAGGGTCAATAGGCCGCCGACCTGACTATTTGGGCCATGACGCCGTTGCACCGTGTTTCACCTGCCTCGGCTACCTTTTCCCTTGGCTTGATACCGCTGTTTTTCTTTTCAAGGGGATGGATGCCTGGCAGTAAAACAAGTGGCTGGTCGTGACCAAGCCCCTCCGTCACCCGTACATGCTGGGCACATACACGAGGTATCAACACTACGCAAGAATACGGACCACCCCATTATGAACTTCACCACAAGCCCACAAGGCCTGCTGGGCTGGTGACCACTCTATCTGGAGGGGTGCGTGACCCTTGGCAGGGACCAGTCCGTTTCCCCTCGAAGCCTCCCAGCGCAGCGCCCTGTCTGTCATTGGTCAGTCCAAGCCCAGACAGACTTGGGGGGTTACTCGGAGTTGCCATGGGGGAGATGCAACCTTGGCTTTTGGCTCTCGGGCCGGGCTTTTCTTCCTGGCTGGCTCCAGTCGCACGAGGTTTGGAAGAGGAAGGAGGAGGAGGAAGACAAGAAAGCCGCACATGTCCATCCCGTCAGTCGGTCCATATATAGCTCCTCCGTACGCGCCCCGGCTCTTTCGTCACATTCCTTCTCGGTCTTTCTCTGTCTCGGTTCTCTGAAGGCGAGGAAAGATATACGACAGTCGGCCAAGAGTGTTGCTTTGCTCAAAAGGGACATATATGGTCGACACCAAGCTGCCACATGAACAGTTCACCGCTTGACTCCCCCATCCTACAAGCCAAGACACGTTCAACGACAAACCGAAAAGACCGAGCCATTTAAAGAAAAAGTCAGGGACAAGAAACGGGGGAAATGAAGGCTTCAACAGTCCTCGCCGCCGCCACCGCCGCCGTGGCCCCGGTGCGCGCGTCGGGCGTCTCGAGCGCGACCGAGGTCAAGTGCGCGCGGCCCAACGCCAGCTTCTGCGTCGCGGGCGACATCATCCTGCGCTGCGACAGCTCGGGCGTCGGTGTGCCCGGCCGCTGCTCCGCAAACGTGGCCGGCTATCCGCCCCTCGGCGGTACGGCCGTGTGCTACGAGAGCGCTCCGAAGGCGGGCGATGCGGCGTGCCAGAAGAACGTGAGTGTTTTTTTTCCTCCGTTTTCTGTCCCTTTTTATCTTGAAGAGGCAGAGAGTGAATGTGTGTGTATGTGTGCGTGTGCGTTCGTGTGCACATGTTCAAATAAGGGAAAAGGGGAGGAGAGAGAGGAGAAGCTGACCGGCCTCTGCCAGTGCGTCGTCTACGCCAAGCCCTCCTTTACCCTCCCCGCCGACCAGTGCACGCCCAGCGACACGCCATCGAGCCACAACACCCCGCGGAGCAACATCATGAGCATCCCCGAGGGCTCGGGCCAGCCCGGCGAGACAGGCTTCATGACCATCCCTGAGGGAACCGGACGGCCCGGCGAGACGGGATTCATGACCATCCCCGAAGGCACGGGAAGGCCCAGCGTGACGGGAATTATGACCATTCCCGAGGGCACCGGACGCCCTAGCGAAAGTGGCATCGCGAGCACCCCCGAAGGCACCGGCCGGCCCAGCGTAAGCGGCATCATGACCATTCCTGAAGGAACGGGGCGTCCCACCGACACGGGCATCGCGAGCACCCCCGAAGGCACCGACATCGGCACCGCAACGCCCATTGCTCCCACGAGCGGCAGCACCGTAAACACCGCCTCACCCTCTTCGTCTCCGTCTGCGCCATCCCCCTCCTCCCCCTCCGGTGGCCGGGGCTCCCCGTCCAACCGGCCCAGTGGCACCTCCTCGTCCGGCAGCCAGACGCCACCGGCCGCGACAGCTGGTGCGTCTGCGAACAGCGCAGCCGGTGTCTTGGCTGCTGCTGCTGCCGCCGCTGTCGCTGCCGTCGCCTATGTCGTCTGAGTGTGTCGCGGGCCTGCTTGCTTGCTTGCCTTGACACCTTGGTGTAGGCGGAATTCCTGGCTGCTGGTTTCTCATCAATTCGAACAATGTCTTGGTTTTGGGTGAGAAGGGTATATGGAATGCGAACAGTTTGTACATACATTCCCTTTCTTGTTGCTTCTTCAGAGGATGCTGTCATGTCATTCATTAACCCGCCCCCTTTGGCTATATTGCCCCATGTTTGTATGAGTTTTGAATACCGCTTGAAATGATATGAAAAATTGTTTCTTGAAGGCTCAGTGTCTTGAGTCGGAACGGTCAAGACGACGCAGTCATGCCTTGCCGCCCCCCATCGGTCGGCCTGCAATACCCACAGCTGCGGTGCTTCTCCCTCACCACCGTAGACATAGCTCAGGTAGATGGCGTAGCGGAAACATGGCGCGCCTGGGCGCCTCCTCCGTCACATCGCGGCGGCCCAGTTGGCTGCCCAGGCTCTGCGCAGCAAGGATGGCGCCGCCATCGTCATCGTCGCTGCTCTCCTCGTCCGGCTCCAGACCACGGGTCAAGGACGGCGGCGGCGACGACCACGAATGTCCCGCGAAGGCGACGCGTGTGGCCAGCAGGAAGCTCTGGGCAAGAGGCAGCTGATCCGGGACCGAGCAGCGGGGCGACCAGATGGAGCGCGAGCGCGTCGAGAGGTCGGCCACGGTGGACTCAAGGGTAGCAAGGGCGACTTCCGGGTCCATAAATGACCGGAGCAGCGAGAATTAGTTGTTGGCTGTGACGGCACTGAAGCGTCGAGAGGCGAGACGGGCGCTCTTGCGACACGAGGGAGGGAGGTGGAGGAGGATTTGGTGGAGGAGCTAAGGCGGCAGGCTATCCATGCTGAGAGGAGTGTCTCGGTGCGCCGAAGATTTTGAATAACGAGCAGTTTGAGAGTTATGGTCAATTGTCAAGAGGCGATGAAAGTAGAGACGGGTGTCGTGGCACGGATTCCGTCGTCATCGGGGCCCTTCTGACCAGAATTGCCGGAAAGTAGGCGCAGTGACGGGAGCGTCGACCTGACCGGTCAGGGTGAATGACGAGCATTTCCCTTTTATTTGTTATTCTCTGGCATGTATAAGTATGGTGACGATGGCTACGAATGTGAGAGATGCCAAAGACGGAAATGGATGGACCTTGATGGGTGGGTGAGAGACCCCCTGACGGCTCCTCTTTTGCGGGGGGTTTTTGACGGCACACGCTTGTTGAACAGCTGGGGAGTCTTCTTCTTCGTCTTGGTCTTCTTTTGCTTCGTCTTTCGTCTTCCTCTTCCTCTTCTCCCTGTCCCGTCTTCTTATGTCGTCGGTCACGGCACCACGCCCGCGTCGTCCAGGCCGTGGCCCTCCGTCTCCTCCCGCCACCAGGCCTGCATCAGCTTGAGGCGCTCCGTCCTCTGCCTCGCCAGCGCGCGCCCCGTTTCCGTCTTCATCATGGCCTCGAGGCGCACCAGCTTGTCGTCAAAGTGGTCCATAGTCTGGCCCAAGGCGCGGCCTTTTGCGCCGCCAAAGGCAAAGGTGCGGGCGATGCCGACGGCGCCAATGGCGTCGAGCCGGTCCGCGTCCTGCACCACGGCCAGCTCCGGGTGCGCCGCCAGCCGCGCCGCCGCCGCCGCCGGGTCGCGCACTTCGGTCGAGTAGCTGACGCCCAGGCAGATGGCCTGGACCGTGTCAGCGAGGCGGGCGTCGGCGCCGAGGGACCGCAGCACGTCGGCGACGAGGCGGGACCCGTCCTCGCCGGGGCGCAGGTACTTGGAGTCGCCCACGTCGTGCAGCAGGGCGCACAGGGCGACGAGGGGCCGCGAGGTCGACGGCGTGCGGGCCTGGATGTGCAGGGCCAGGCGCAGGACGCGCTCGATGTGGTGGAAGTCGTGGGAGCCGTCGTAGTGGGACATGTAGTCCCGGACGTAGTCGGTCACTCTGGCGATGAGGCCGTCGTTGACTGTGGCCATGGTCATGACGAGGCGGCGGTGGGAGACGAGGCAACCCCCCCTCGTTACTAACGAATGAATGAAGAGAGAGAATTGCAGACAAGGGAGGAAGCCTCGGAGAAAGGACACGACCCACTGCAGTGACAGCGACAGGCCGAGGCTCTACGGCGCTGTAACTTTCTCGCAGCATCTACGAAGACAGAGGCTCCACAGAGGCCCTACAGGCTGCACAGAAGCCCTAGAGAGGCCTCTGTTGTACTCCGTACTGTACCTGGGATGCTCCACTGACGGTGATGAGTCAGCCATCAGATCAACAAGAGCTGTCATGGGTTTTTTCCCATCGTCACGATTCCCTCAGCCTCGTCTCCCTCGTCCTCCACGATCTCCCCAAACTCGCCTTCTCGCGCTCCGTCAACCAGCCACACGAATAGAGAGCCATCCCTCATCGCAGCCGTCCGCGACAAAACATCAAAAACACCCCGCGCCCACGATGAGCTTCGTCCCCGTCAACCCACGGCCGATGCTGCAGGACCTCGTCGACAAGACGGTCTCGGTGCGCCTCAAGTGGGGCGAGACGGAGTACCAGGGCGTGCTCAAGGCCATCGACAGCTACATGAACCTCCAGCTCGCAGGCACAAAGGAGTTTATCGACCGCAAGGAGACGGGCGACCTGGGCCAGGTCCTCATCAGGTGAGCTCATCCCCCCGTCTCTCGGCAGCCCGTGGCTAACTTGGCCAGGTGCAACAACGTGCTATGGATCCGCGGCGTCAACGCAAATGAAAACGGAGACACCAGAATGGAGGACTGAGTCGGCGCGGCTTGCACGGCGGACGGGGGATCAAGGGTTGGGAAACAGGCCGCGGCGAAGCCATGGCACGCACGGTCGAGGGGATGCATGGGCGACGACTTCGATACCCGGGATACAGCGAGGGGCAACTTTGATGGCGCATTCATTCTCTCGTCTCGAGCTCGTCCCAGCTCGACGCACACGATAGCGTCACATGCGCTTGCGAAAGCAACCACGGCGGTCATGCTCCGTGGGCATGAGCTGGTGGCTTGCGTGCCGACACGGGCCGGAACACGGCCCGACTGAGGCTTTTTGTCCATATCTCGCACAAGGAAGACCGGCGCCGCCACAACATTTGGGGCTGTGTTGTTGCTGCTGCTGCCCTTTTTTTTCTTTTTTCCTCAGATGAATACTAGCAATGGGAAATATCAAGGCATCTGCTGTCGCTGTCAGTCTGCAGCCTGGCATGGAGCTGGCGGCAAGGAATTGAAGAGTCGGGATTGTGCCACGGCAAGACGGATAGCCGGCTTCTGTCAAAAGCCAAGACCAAGGCCGAAGCGGACCACGCCGTCGTGCAGAAAGATGAGCACTAGCTGCGCCGAAGAGACTGAGAGTCGGCGACGATGCATTATCCCGACCCCATCATGATGCACGACGCACCAAGGACGATTCCCATGTCCTCTGCCAGCACCAGGCGCGTATCCTGCAATGGCAATGCCAAGGAAGAGGCTGGATGCAACGACGCCTTGCCTACTCTACCATAGCCTCGACTGCGGGTGCGCACCCAAAGACACGCGCCCCAGCACGGCAGCCCGGCTCGCCAATGACGAGGCCCGTCTAGACGCCCGGTGCGACCGGACTGCAGCGCAACCCTCTCTGCCCGTAAGCGCCGAGGGCCCTTTCTCCGCGCGCCATGGCTTCGGCGCCGCGGCGCCCCCCATTGGCTGGGCCGGCGTTGGACGAAGCGGGCGGGCCGTCGATTGGGCCATTTTCTTTGCTCGAGCGGCTGCCTGTGTGTGTATGGGGGGGCCAGTGAGTGCGTGAGCGAGTGAAGAGATGGGCATGGATGGATGCACACACGCACACACTCACACACACTGGATGCAGTAAACAACTGGCTACTGCATGTTTTGCATTGCAGCTTCCAGCTAGGATGCCCGGGTGGGCATGTCGCTGCCCGCCTTTCCACTCGTCGAATAGGTCGGTAGCCACCATCGCCAAACCTCCTCTTATAAGCGTTCCCTTCCTCCCCCCCACCGGCTTCTCTTTTCCTCTTTTCCTCTTCAGCAAGTCTCGACAACTCCAAATCCACGCTTCTGTTCTTCGTCTTTTCCCCCCTTGTTTGTTTCATTTCCCCCCGTAGAGCTGGTTCTCTACACCTCCCTTCTAATCAAGCATCGCCTCCCAACCTTTCCCCTTCAATCCACAAACGTTGCCTGCTGCCGGCCAGCTTGAGCGAGAGACGAGACCCTCTTCCCCTCCACTCCCCTTTATTTTCCAGCCCATTGTTACTTTTGCTTTACTGAATCTCTTACCCTCGGTCTGTGACCTGCTGTTGTCGTGTCTTTCTTTGCGCTCTGGCATCGCATTGCAAACACCTGCACAGACACATCGCCGCTTAATCAACAACACCCCCTTTCTCCTAATAACAGAATCCCGTGGATTCCGACTTGCTCGCCAGCACAATTCGTTTTTGTTTCTCATTCCCTCCGGATCAGGAATCCGCAAGATAAAAAGGCAAACAGAAGAAAAAAGACGCCAAAGGGGCCCCGTTTCAAGCTCCCCCCAACAGCGTCCTCAAAACCCCAAGCATCATGTCGGCCGTCCAGCTCTCTTTTTCTCTCCGCGTCTCGTCGGGCGTCAAGACGGTGCACCTTCTCGGCTCCTGGGACAACTACGTCGGCCAGCTCCCGCTGTCCAAGGACCGCTCCTCGTCAAAGTCGGGCTCGTGGAAGGGCACCTTTCGCTTCCAAAACGCCACCCTCGAGGCTGGCCAGCGATACTGGTACTACTTCATCGTCGACGGCTATCACGTCGCCCACAACCCCAGTGTCGCCTCCACCGTTGAACCCACCACCGGCCGCGAGCTCAACGTCCTCGACGTACCCGCCGACAAGCACCACAAGTCGTCGTCGTCGTCGCATAAGTCGTCGTCGCACAAGTCATCATCGTCCAAGTCTTCCTCGTCCAAGTCGTCGTCTTCGTCTTCGTCGCACAAGTCCAAGTCGAGCAGCAGCGGCAGCAGCAAGAGCTCTTCGTCGTCGTCGGACCGCCATCGCTCCTCGCGCAGCCGAGCCTCGCTCTCCGTCGACATCCCCAAGGGCCGGCCGCTGTCCGTGTCGCAGATCAAGGCGCCCAAGCCCTTGTCGCCGCACGCCACCAAGCACATCCTCGAGTCCGACTACTACGACGACGAGGCCCTCGAGGAGCTCACGGCGCGCTTCGGCAGCGCGGGCCTCGACGACGACGAGCAGTACGTCATTGCCAACTTCGGCATGGGCGCGTCGCCCGTGTCGTCGTCGTCCTCGGGCTCGTCGCTGTCGTACCGCTCCGACGGCTCGTCGTCGCCCGGGTCGTCGGGCTCGGGCTACAGCACACCCAACTCGGACTGCAGCTCGTGCACCTGCGAGCGCTACGGCATCACGCGCAAGGGCGAGCGCGTCAAGCTCGACTGCGGCGGCTCGCGCTGCGGCTACGGCGAAGACAGCTCGTCGTGCTCCAGCGGCGTCAGCGAGGATGAGTTCGAGCCCAGCCGGTACGCGAGCCGCAGCTCCCGGCGCAACGGCATCGTCGTCACTTGAGAGCATGTGTCTGCTTTTCCGGCGTGAGAGACTATTGTCGCAAAAGAGGAGTCTTGCCGGTGTGGCTCCCCGTTTTCTTGGTTTTGGTCATCACCTCGTTTGGAGCGAGCTGTGACGCCATCCATTCTTCACTCCATGGCACGGGGCGGCGTCGCGCGTCGAGCTGGTTCTCGGAGAGGGCGACGTTTGACCCGTGGCGCATGTGACGACCAATGGGTCGATGCTGCCAGCCCTCCGTCCAGGCATGGCCTCGGGCCGTGTCTGCGGGATAACAATCTTTTTTTTCCTGCTTCCTTTCCCTTTGTCGGTTCCTGAACCAAGGAAGAGAGAGGCCAGGGAGAGGCGGCGGACGTCGAAAGTCGTCTACGCCGTCGCTCTTCTATCTCTCGACCTACCTGTCAATGGATGCGTCTAGTTTCCTTGGGGCCTGCAAACGCATTATAGGACAAGCGAGGAGCGCCTTTGTCGAGCACAGACGATGGACATGCTCTTCACTTTCAAATGTTTGGATGTGGCCCTGGGTCTTGACGATAGGACAACCCGGGCTAGCCATGGATTGCGTCGTGGGGATGGAGAGGGCAGACGAGAGACAAGGACCTTCTGCCCGCGGTGGAAGGATGACGGTTGAATCTTCCACTTGAAGAGTCGAGCTTCTCCTGTGTCTGTGATGCGTGACTGTTGATCTGATGCCTTGAAGTCTTGATGCCGGATGACTTCTGCCACGACGGTCACATGATCTCGAACCATGACGGTACGGGTACTGCCGAGTACACCGGACTGCCGCTGGGGGCCCCCACTGCCGCTTTCCTCGAGACAGCTCCGCACCGTCGGCTGTCCTAACTTTGCTATAATTAGAGGCTGTGCTGTAAGTGTAGTCACTGGCGAGACATGTATGTGATGGAAATATGGATCGGGCACATCATGTCTATCGAAAGAGACGCTCGTCCGAGACAGACGGGTACGCCGTGTGTATCCATACATTGCGGTACCGAAGCCTCACCGAGTACAAAGTCTCGGCACTCGACGCTCGTACCTTGCACGTACCGCCCACACCAACCCGCAAGCACCAAGACACCCTCTCGGTACCTTGACCCCTCAACCCATCCCTCAATTTCAGGGGACCATGGCGGGGCAACAGCGTGCATACGCTTTGGGCCTCGAGCCAGCGACCAGCAGCAGCAACTCCCAAGACTTCCTCTCTCCCAACTCCCCTTCTCTCCTACACCAGTCAGGCTGCAAACCAGTCCGGCTGCCCCCTTGACCGCGACACCACCGCACCCGCACGATCCCCCGCGTCGTCGTCGCCATGGCCGAAGACCAGCTCATCCTGCCCATCATCGACGCCCACATCCACCTCTACCCCGGCGACGAGGTCGACTCCCTCGCCTGGTGCGGCCCCGACCATGACCTCGCCGGCCAGCACTCGCTCGACCAGTACCGCCGCGCCACCGCCTCGGCCCCCTCGCTGCTCGGCTTCGTCGTCGTCGAGGCCGACCGCAAGCACGACCTGGCCGCGGGCGCCGCCGACGGCTCCGGCTGGGAACAGCCCCTCGCAGAGGTCCGCTGGATGCGCCGCGTCGCCCTCGGCCAGCCCCGCGACGGCCAGGGCCACCAGCCCCGCGACGCGGACCTGTGCCTCGCCATGATCCCCTGGGCGCCGCTGCCCAGCGGGCCCGCCGTCCTGGAGCGCTACCTCGACAAGGCCCGCGAGGCTGCCGGCGACGCCTGGCCCAAGGTCAAGGGCTTTCGCTACCTGCTGCAGGACAAGCCCCACGGCACCATGCTGCACCAGGACTTCATCGACGGCCTCAAGCTGCTCGGCCGCCGCCGCTTCGTCTTCGAGGTGGCCGTCGACCAGCGCCGCCGCGGCAAGAAGCAGCTCGACGAGGTCATTGAGATGGTCGACCGCGCCCACGACGGCGTCCCCGAGGAAGACAAGGTCACGTTTATCCTGGGTAGGTCGGCGCCGTGCCCTCCATCGTCTCTGCACTGACAACGTCTGCTGCTCGCCAGACCACCTCTGCAAGCCCGACCTGGCCGTCTACAACGTCACCTCGGACCCGTCCTTCTCGGCCTGGCGCACCGCCATGTACGCCCTCAGCAAGGCCTCGCGCACCTACGTCAAGCTGTCGGGCGCCCTCGCCGAGATGTCGGACCGCCTGCGCGCCCAGCCCGCCCCGCTCATCTTCCAGTCGACGGTGGCCTGGCTCGGCGTCGTGCTCGCCACCTTTGGGCCCTCGCGCATCCTCTTTGGCAGCGACTGGCCCGTCTGCTCCGCCGCCGGGCTCGGCGACGACGCCTGGCCCAAGTGGCGCGACGTGGTGGAAAAGATGTGCTGGATGGCGACGCTCGACGACGACGACCGCGCCATGATCTTTGGCGGCGCCGCAAAGCAGGCGTACGGGCTGTGAGGCGCTGTTGCCGCGAGAGAGGACTGCCACGGCGCGGGGGTCGAGTCGGGATATCCCTAATAATCTAGAAGGCGAGCGTGAGGGTCGGGGGCGGGCGTGGAGGAATACGGGGGGTCAGGGGAGGTCGGCGGCCTGAGCTGGCCACAGGCCGCCGCCCCAGAATGCATCAGTCGGTGCCAACGAGCAAAGCCTTGAAGCAAGCAAGCCCGATACACCGTACATACCCATACCCACACACATAAACACACATGTATATACACCTCCAGTCTCTCTCGCCAAGCAGGCACCGCTCGCGAGTCGGACTGTAGAGAGGATGGAGAGGTGGAGGTCCGCTCGCCGCTCCCCGAAGCCAATCTACAGTATATACATTCCATAGCCGACGGCCTAAGAAGGAAGCCATCTCTGCCCAGGTCCGTGTGTGTATGCGTGTGTAAGTGGCCGGCTCCCTGCAGTCGCTTCACCAGGGACACAGCAAACATAACGCGGCAGCCAGCAAAAAGAAGGACAAGTTTTTCATTCATCGTCGTCGTCGTCGTCGTCGTCTTCGTCTTTGCATGATCCAGTCAACCCAGGCAAGGCAGGCCCGCCATCCATTGCCAACAGCAACAACAGCAACAGCAAAAACAGCGCCTCCAACGCGGCTCACAGACAAGACGCAAAAGCCGCGCAGTCCCCAAGGCCAAGACTCACCCACAACCCAAACAAAAGAAAGGAAAAAGACAGGGAAAAAAAAGGCCCAGAGCCTCGGCAGCAAGACCGCTCACTCTTTACACGCCTGCCTACTCGGCACGACCGCCGCCGCCGCCGCCGCCGCGGTAGTTGCCCATCCGCTCAATCGAGCTCATGATGCCGCTGCGCGCCGCCACCGTCCCCGGCCGCGGCAACCCGCCCCCGGCCCCGCCGCTCTTGGTCCGCTCGTGGGGAGCCCGGAGGCCCGATCCCGGCGCGCGCAGGCCCGACACGCCGCGGGCAATGGTGCTGCGCGGGCCCTCCGTCGCCGGCATGCGAGGCGTCCTGGCCGTTGTCGTTGTCGTTGGGGGTCCCATGGCCGTCGGCGCCACCGCGGTGGGAGCAGCGCCTTCGGGCTGGGGAGGAGACTGTCGACGCTGCTGCTGCTGCTGCTGTTGTTGTTGTTGTTGCTGCTGCTGCCTCTGCTGCGAAGCGGCCCCGACAAAGCTCTGCATACTCATCATCTCCTCCGCCAGCTGCACCAGCTCCCCCTTTTCAACCCTCTCCAGCTCCAACATGCGTCGCAGCTCGTCGTTGTCGCGCCTCACCGTCCGCTCCACCGCTTCGAGCCGCTGCACGTCGGCCCGGAGCTCCTGGATGGCAGCGCTGTCCCGCACGGCCCCCGCCCGGAGCTCTTCGGCCTCGGCCGCCCCGGCCCCGGTCTCCACCCTCGTCATGGTCGAGTCGCGCCCGGCGCGTAGCTTGTCGTTGTCGTCTGACAGCTCCGAGATGCGCGCCTCGAGGTCCCGCACCTTCTTCTCCCACCGCCCTTCGTACGACTTCTTGAGCGCCGCTACCTTGGTCTCGTGCTTGCTCTTGTATAGCGCGTGCAGCTCGCGCGCCACGCGCTCCACGGCGACCTCGACGTCGGCTCCCGAGCTCTTGGCCTTGCTGGGCGACGACGCCGACGACGACGCCTTGTCGCCGCCGTTGTCCTTGCCGGCCCGCATGCCCGCCATCTTGCTCTCGGCCTCCTGGTGCAGGATCTCGGCCGCCTCCCTGCGCCTCTCGCTCTCCTCGAGCTTGCGCTCCAGCTCGTCGCGCTCTCTCTGGCCAATGACGATTTCCTCGCGGACCTTTCGGAGGAGGCTCTCCATCTCGCGGCCCCTGCTCTCCCAGTTCTCCTTTTCCACCGCGAGCTGCTCCTTGAGGGTGCGCGCCTCGCGCAGCTGCTCCAGGGACTCGCCCACCCGCTTCTCTGCATCGCCGACGGCCGTCTTGAGCGACTGCACCTCCGCCTCCTTGCCGCTCAGCGACGCCTTCAGAGAGCTAACCTCGGACAGGAAGCCCGACTTGAGCGACTCAAGCTCCCGGGGCGTGATGGTGGGAACACTTCGCGGCGTCGGCATGGGCGGTATGTCAAAGTCGATGAGGGTGGCGAGTTGGCGGTTGGGCGTCGCCGCAACGGCATGCATGGTGGACGCGTTGCCGCGCTTGGCGGGCGACTTGTGGGGGAACCTCATCTGCTCAGTAAAGTCCATCAAGAGGTTTGTCGTGTTGCTCGGGTCGGCAGACGTGGGCGCTTGGGCCGGCCGCAAGGGCGAGCCATCGCGGTTCGCTGCCGGAGCCATGCCCAGGCTGGCGAGCCTCGTGGGGCTCTGTCCCAGCTTGGCGAACATGGTGAGGTTGGGCACGGCTGAAAAGGTGCTGAAGGTGCTGACCATGGTGTCGTCGGGTCCCGAGGGCTCCTCGTCGATCTCGACACGGGACGCGTCAGCGCTGAGCGTAGCCGTAGCGCCGTCCCGCGCTTCGTCCTCGTCTCCTTCTGCCAAGACACTCTGCTCATCCTCGAATATCTCAATCGCATGCTTCAGCCCCTCGTTCTCCCGCATCGCCTGCTCCATGGTCACCATGTGCTCGGGCGCCGTCCGCATCGTCCTCGGCGTCTCTTCTGGCACCGCGCCGCTGCTAACTTTGACGGGAAACCGCTTTTCCGGAGACATCTTCCTGGGGCTCCGCGTCCCCGCAGCCTCGGGGGATGAGCTCCTCTGCTCCGCGAGGATCTTCAAGGGCGATAGTTCGGTGCCGGACATGACGCGGCTGTGCCTAGCAGCCTTGGCAGGCGACACGTTCTCCTGGTCCGACGTGCTGGTCTCGTGGACGGTCGACACAAACGGCGACGAGCCTTGCTCCGACGTCTCGCTGCCCGACCTGCTGGATTGTTTGATGTGTGTGCGCACTTCGTAGTCTTCGTATGTTCTCGTCGTCGTCGTCGTCGTCGTCGTCTGGGGTGTTGAATCTGAGACACCCTCCTCAGGTGCCGCCGTCAGAGGCGAGGCCATTGGGGGACGATGCTGCTCTGGTCCACCGGCAGGTAACACGACGAAATAGCGAGACAAGGCAGATGGATCGCGAGGCTTTCAGTCACAATGGCTTTTCTGCTGTGCGTCGCGTTGCAGTTTCAACAATGGACATGGTCCGTCGACGCCATGCTCGACTGAGGAAAGAGCTGAGGGATAGGAGCCGTAGCTGATGGGACCCACATTTGTATGTTTACTCGTTGGCCCGGCAACCAGCACGTGCCGTCTCCATCATTGACCTATGAAATGCTGCCGTTGTCTCTGGCAAAGGCATTCCAGCTTCTGCATGCACGAGGCATGGAATGAATGCCGTGGACGCCATGTGCCACTAAGCTGTCCTCGCACAGCAAAGAGCTTTCACATCACCCTCTACGCTCATCTTCCCATACACGCATCGCACCGAGCAAGAGGCCAGTGGCAAGTCTTCAATCGCTTTTATTGGTCATTTCGTAAGTCGTTACCTGATAACATGGCATGTCCAAAGTACACCATCTGGGGCGCTTTTGTAAAGACGCAAATAAAAGGCGCAAGGAAATAAGCAAGGAAACAATCAAGGTCGTAAGGTCATCATCAGGGGCTCTTCCAGTTATCTCCTTCCTTTCCAAACACATCTTCCGACAATGGAAGAACTCGGACTTAGTTGAGAGGCAGGTCGCGTGGTCGACAGATAGCTCATCGTTTCCCGCCTGAGAATCGTAACAGGCCAGCAGTGCTTTTTTTCTGTTCCTCATGCACTCGTGTCGTGTCTCAGAGCTGTCAAGTGAAAACGCCCAAAGCAACAGCCGAAAGCCGCTCTTTCCATGATTAAGTCCATCCATGCAAAGCGTGACTCGTCAGCCATGTACATCCATGACAAGGCATCCTTTAAGTAACATGTAATCGTCGGTCGTGGCTCGTCAACGCGCGAGGGTCTTTGCCAATGTGGCGGTTGCGAATACAAGACCAGAGCAAGGCGAAGGTAAGTTCGGCGTCAAGATGGAAACCAAAGCAGAAAGTGCACACAAGGAACGTCTTCTTACACCACGAGCGCCGTGTTGTGGGCGGCCGCCGGGCGTTGCTCTCGATGCCCAGCGGACCACGCCACGACCGCACGCGTTCGGGCAAGCATTAGGGGCGTCATGGAAATTACCGCCTCGGGGGTGCTGCGATGGCCGAGGCAGGTCGGCTCAGGGCGTCATATACAGGCGCGGGTACCGTCGACTCCATCAGCGTCTTTCGCCGCTTGAGTTCTAGGCCGCCCATGCCGGGCCCGCCGTTGGCGGATCGAGACATGTCGTCGTCGTCATCGTCGCGCCCCCTCTTCAGGCTCCCCGCCGAGCCGTTCATGACAGACGACTGCGGGGCGTAGCTGTTGTTCATGGAGCCGGCAATGTCGGCCGGCGGTGCGTAGACATCGGCGCCCGACGCTCCGCTGTGCTGTGCCCGGTCGCTGCCCGCAACGTTGAAGAGGTTGCTCGATGACGGGACGCGGGGCGGGGTGCTGTAGCCCGTGTGCTGCGGGTAATAGGGCTGGTGAGGCGCCGCCGTCCGCGGCGTGGCCCGTCCCGAAGCGGGCGGATGGTTCGGCGAGCCCGTCATCTCGGACGGCATGTTGCCGTCGCCGGCCAGGGACCCAACGCCGGGTGCCGTGTAGTTGTACGATGTACGCGAGGCGTCATAGGCGCCACTGTCGTGCGTGTACTCGGTCTCATGCTCGTGGTCGGCCTCGTCGTCCCCAGCTTGGTGCTGGGCAGCCTGCTCTGACGCCATGATGCCGTTGGGGGGCTTGCTATCGTGCTGCTCGCCCTGATGCCCGCCCGGGCGACTCGACGGCGGACCCATCTCGCTCTTAGCATACGACTGCGCGTACATGCGATCCTGGGTGCCGTTGGTCGACGTCTGGTACGGCGAGTGCTGAGACGTGGGGGCGCTGTAGATCTGGCGAGACCCGTCGTAGGCTTGCGCGCCCGACGAGTAGGAGTTCATGTTAGTCATGGCGGTGCCTGGTGGCGTGGTGGCTGGTGCGGGCGGTCGTTAGCCATCGTCGACGTGCATTTTGCCTCGGTGCCAAGGTCTTGGGCAGTTTTCAAAGGGGGGGGCGGGAGTCGTACCATGAGCTCCATTCATTCCTTGTCCCTGCCAGTTGAAACTCTCGGAGGCGCCCATGCTTCCCATGACGCTCGAGGCGCTCGTCGGCGGCGTGGGAAACGTCTGTGATCGGTCAAGCGGCGGGCGGGCAATGTTGGACTGAGACGGGAGCGACGGCTGCGGGCCGGGGAGCGCCATTGAGTGGTGGTGGTGTTGTTGGATCGAGGGCAGGCCCGGCGGAGGTGGATTTCGCAGTTGTCCTTGCTCCTGTTTTCGGCGCTCAGCGGCGGCCATTACCTGGGTTGTCCGGCTCTGGTTGTTGGGGTGGTATAGGAGAGCTCCGATGTTGTGCACAAAGAGCGGGTACAGCATCTCCGTGATCTTCTCCTTGTTGGCAAAGTCGAGGGCTCGGTCATAGGGGATCCTGTCTTGTCTCAGCACGCGACCGTCCGCACGATGTCTCATACGACGAGGGGATATCCGCATACCAGACGCCCTTGAGGTGCATGGGCCCAATCTTGACCACGTGGCGAACCTTTTCACTCTTCAAGATGCCGTCTCGCCGACCTCGGGTCATGCCAGCAACGTTCAAGAGCTTGGTGCCGTTGATCATGTGATTGTCTAGGAGCTCGAGTCAGCACGCCAAAACACCTGGCGCGCGCAACTGAGGGCGACGCAGCCTACCTTCACGACGGGCAACGCAGATGCCGCGGGCCTCGACCTGGAAGCACAGACTGCCCTCGTCCTCCCAGAGGGTGGCGGTGACGCGGGGCTTCATGCCCGGAGGGGGTTGCTGGCCGGTGGTGTCGAAGCCGGCGTACTGGTTCTGCATGGGCCCGTGGCCACCGACGCCGGGCAGGGGCAAGACGTTTTGGGGCGCGCCCATGGGGTTGGAGACGGTCTGGGCCGTGGGGGGCGACGTCAGGCCATTCGTGTAGCCGTACTGGCTATACTGGGCCGGGTTGGAGTACTGGGCGTGGCCGTGCTGCAGCAAAGGCGGCTGTTGTTGTTGGTAGTGCGTCATGCCGCCCGAGGTGACGGTCTGGGGCGGCGGCGGCTGGCCAGCAGACATGTGCTGGGGGTAGTACATGTCGGCGCCCTGGTTCATGGCGTCGTAGCTCACAATGGTGGTGGGCGGAGCGGTGATGACGCCGACGGGCAGGGTGGGAGAAGGCGTCTTTGGCCCGTTGGACGACGTGGCCGAGGTGAAGGACGACTGAGACCCCGCGTGCGAGCCGATTGACGAGGCAATGGAGCTGACGCGAGACGACGAGGCCCCCGACGAGTATGCCTGGCTCGGCAGAGGGAGAGGGAGCGACGGCAATCTGTCGGTACTCATAAACGACGAGCGGTGGGCGGCGTAGGCGTTGAGGTAGGGTACGTCCGACGAGAGTCCACGGGTCTGCACTTGGGAGACGGACGGCAGATCCAGCTTTCCGGTGGTGCGCTGGGCAGGGCGGACGAGGAACGAGCGGACAGCACGCAGCTGTCAGGGCAATGCGGGCGTCGTGATGGAGAGCGGCGGCCGAGGTGCAGCTGGCAGGCAGGGACGGGGGCGCGGTGGTGGATGCGAAGGCGGGTTGCAGCAAGAGATGCAGTTCTGGCTGCAGGTCTCGAGCACGGCAAGGTCTGCTCAAACAGGACGACGGGAAGGAGGCGGCGCGGGTGCGTTTGGCATGGACAGGCGGTGGCGAGGCGATGGAAGGATGAAGTGGACAAACAGCGAATTGCGTTTGTTTGGAAGCTCGAGGTCCAGCAGCAGCCCACTATAAACTGCAGATGCCAAGGTAAAAAAGGCGATTAGCTGCGTCCCCCCTCCAAGATGTCGAGCTCGAGCACACACGGGTGGTGGTGGATAGGCAGGCAGGCAGGTAGGTAGGCAGGTAGGAAGGCAGGCAGGCAGGCGGGCAAGTATAGCTCTCTATGTGAGGAATGACAAGCGGCAGCGGGCAGAGAAGAGCGGGAGAAGACGAAGCAGCAGCAGCTCGAAGCACACGTTGGGGAGGGGGGTGGTGCGGGCGGCGGCACCAAGACACCTTTTCTGGCTTGCCTACCTTTTTTTCTCTCCTTTCTCAGCTCGTCGCTCGTCTTGAACGGACCGGCCTTGGGCGTTCGCGGCTCGCCAGGGGCAGTGAGGGGGAAGGATTGGGGACGAGGAGGGGGGGCGGAGGAGGCTGGCTGGCCACAGGGCGGGGGCCCCCTTTCCGCTCCCTGTGCCCGATTTTTAGTCTCCCTGTGCACCTTACCGTATTAGGTAGAAGCATCGCGAATCGGCCAAGACATGCATTTGTGTGTGCAACACACCAATTAGAAGGTAGTCACGGATTGTAGAGTCTTGCGTTGAACATTATGAACTTGAAGCTATTCGCACATTTCCTCCATATCTTCTAGCCGCATTACAAGCTCATACGGCTGCCGCATTGCGTGGCCTCTTTTCCGCCGTGGCGAGCGTTCCCCTTTCCTCTAACTGTAGCGTTACTTATCTGCGAAGCCGGGAGCGGCATGAATCCTCCTTCCACTGATGTAAGGGTGCTAGAAAGAGGGGTCGAGGACCCAAGGGTAAAGAGACGAGGGCGCTCGCGATGCCCCCGTTGAGAACCTCCTTGACGCGGCGGCCGCGGCGGCTCGTGATATTCGAAGGCGGAGGGTAGCCGCCGCATGTTGGGTGGCAGACTCTGAGCGCCGGAAAGTCTGCGGCTGCTGGTATGAGGTCGGTTGTGTAGGCGTTTGACGGATCACGATGTCGGCTTGTGGTGTTGACACCGACCACGAAGCTATAGCCGGCCCAATGCCAAGATAGTTGCCAATAGCCTCAAGCCGCGAAAGCACTGTCTGCAAGACTGGCTGCCGCTGTTGCTGTTGCCCGCGAGGCTGTGACTGTTGCGAAGCTGGTGGGGTAGCTGCTGCTGCCGCTGCTGACGAGGCCACAGGTGCAGTTACAGCGGCTGTTGCAACGGCTGCAGTCGTGGCCACAGGTGCAAAGGCTATGGCTCTGGCTGGTCTGCGGCGCCGGGCAATGACTCGAGGATCGCGAATTCGTCTGTATGGGTCTGTGACGGCAAGATCCTGCCGTAGAAGCCAGTGGCTGTCCCACAAGTTCAAGGGCAAGGGTCTTGTAGCTATAACTTTGCGGCTAGTCCTCCCTTGGACCTGGAGGTACGAGGCGATAATATGCTTGCAGGGCAGCCCGTATTGGGCAGTGAAGCTATTCCCACATTCCCAAGTGGCCGCTCTTGTGGTTTGAGGAGGCCGGCCGAGGCGGCTAGTGCCTGTTTCTGTACAAGCTCGAGAGACCGATATGACGCCTTCTCGACGGCATCCTCATATAATGGTAGCCGGAACGGGTCGCGAGTCCGTCGTGATTCGCGCTCAACGGTCCGATCATGGTGTTCTCGTGAGGTTGAGGCTTGTAGTTGCAAGGCATGATATAATTCAAGCAGGTTCGACTGGCCGTTGCGAAGGAAGGTGCGAGAGCTTGAGTGAAGGGATTCACAAGGCGAGGTCGTTGTGTGGCCCCAGTTGCGGTAACGGCAGACCCAAGCGCGCGCCCATTGTGTTCGTACAGGCATCCAGATCTCTTCTACATACCTAAGAATAATGTGCTGGTCTGAGAAGGCGCCTTTGACGATGCCCCAGCGGCTGTTGAACTCGTCCTCGGTCGGGGCATACACTACGGACCGGAAGGCTGTTGTGAAGGCACAGGGCCTCTTTTTCCGGCAGTGGCTCCGGTAGCTGCAGAGCGCCCGGGGTCTTCATCGTCTTGGGGCTCTTGCGGCGGGTCAAATGGGTCATCATCGTCATAGTCGCCAAGCCAGCGCTTCTTCGCGTTTGTAGTGATGTTCTTCATGATATGCCACGTACAGACCTGTAGCTGCGAGTCCGGGAAGGTAGCCGACAATGCAGCGCGCAGCAGCGTCATAGTCCGTGATGATAACGTGTGGGATAAAGGCATTGCCGTCAGCCTCGCCTCTTAGCCTTGCCTTTGACTGTAACCACTCGCGAAGCTGTATAAAACACCAGGTAAATGCGTTCGTGTCTTCGGAAGGGATTAAACAGAAAGCCACAGGGAAGATAGAGCCCAAGGCAGTGATTCCATTGATCTCTAGCAGCTTGAGGCCATATCTATTCGTGTTGTTCGTTACGTCGGCCATCATGAGGTGTGAATGTTGTGCCCAAAGCCGCAAGGCAGGGTCAAGGCCCACAATCTGGTAGAAGAAGCGATCCTCATCGTCAAGTAGCTCTTTATGGAAGGCACCTTCCTCGTCGAGCCTGGCAATAAGCGCTTGTGTGGATGTATGTGCCCCAAGCTCCCGGAGACGAAGCCGGGCACAGATATTCGCGATGTCCTGCTCTGTTGCAAGTAGCCGCGGGTTCTTAGCCCGAAGAGCAAGAAGGATCTGCCGCGCCGTTAAGCCAGCATCGCGAGATAAATCTTTAACCTGCTGGAGTTGATGTGGATGAAGGCGCCGGTATTCTGGGAAGGCGCCGGCCCTATTGGCCTCATGGTTGTGCCTTGGGCACATCACAGAGACTCGCCAGAGGCCTCCTCTAGCTTCAGGCGCACAACCTGACTCTAAACGGGCAGGAAGTCCGCCTAGTGCCAGTCTTCCGGAGTCCTAACGAGGCTGACTTGTATTCACGGCCGCCGCATGCGCATACGATGTCGTAACGGCGTGGGAGCCCATGTTCGTAGTTGCTTGGCTTGAACTTAACTATGGCGTAGCCTTGGCAGCGCGCATGCCGCTGGAGCTCGTCAAACGCATCGTCAAAGGTCTCAAAGAGTGGCATATTGTTTGGCGGGGCTGGAGAAGCATCTTGACAAAAGAACGGTTTGATTAGCTGCTTTGTGGCGGTTGTGTGCCTCTGGAAACTTAGCTGCGCAGACGCGATGTGGTATTGCGAGGTGGGTGGTTATCACGAGTTATTTTGGCTTGTGGTGTTGTACCAGGAGGCTGCTTGCCGCGACGCCAATTGTGTGTATTATGGTGTGTTACGCGTCTACGTGTGGAGTCTTGCCAAGTACGGTAAGGTGCACAGGGAGACTAAAAATCGGGCACAGGGAGCGGAAAGGGGGCCCAGGGCGGGAGGAGGAGCAGGGAAGCAACGAGGAAGAGAGGAGGAGGAGGAGGGAGAAAAGTAGGAGGTCGGCAGAGAGGGTCGTGAAGACGAAGAAAGGGCCTGCCGCGCAAGGTTTTTGTTTTTTGGTGGTGAGGGCCAAAAGGCAGCTCAACGGGACCGGGCCAGGGTGCTGTACATGGCCAGGGTGCTGTACATGGAGCTCAGGAGCCAGGTCGCTAGTACAAGCCGCTGGTGGTGGAGGCGGCGGGCCGGACGAGGACGAGGTACCTTCAGGTACTGGGCGGCCGGGTACTGTACATGGCTGCGTCGTACATTCACCTACATTACATGGCTTCATCAGATTGGGAAAAGCGGGAGCGGACGACACGGAGCCGGAGTGGATTCGCCATTATTTTTCTCCCTCTTTCTACCTGCCGCTCACCATTATATATATTATATATATCAGAATTATTGCTAGGTAGATATTGCTGCCCCCTCAGGTACGGACCGGGTAAGCGTCCTTGTACGTACGTAGTGTGTGTTGTACATGTCTCGAGACCCTCTCTCGAGAGCATGTGATGGATGGCCTCTCCGTCGGCACGGTAGTAGCTTCTTGGCTCGTCGCCCGAACCGCCCTCAGCCTGGGCCCTGGGGGGTGAACAAGGGAGCCCATGTCCGGCCCGCCGTGCGGTCTGCGTCTGTTGTGTGTGCCGAGCAGCTGCGGCATGTACTGTATAGGTACATTGCGCGTATTCGTATGGGCGGGTGTAACAGGGTCATGGGCAGGGGACGCGACGGCCTTTGCCTTTGCCTGTGCGTGGAAAAGGGCCAAGCAACAACCGCGTCCTCTACCTTACTGTCCAGACATCTGCGGGTATGTATGTACTGTACATACATGTAGTAGAGTACAGTACACACAAAAAGTTGCCGTCAACGGGGGAAGGAGCTGCTCAACCCTTTTTCCAAAGCACAGCAAGGGCCTGGGTTGCACATGCCGCATCGACATGGGTCCCGTCTACAGTACGGATACGTCCGGTCCCCTCTCCACCCGCTCGAGCATGTACAATGGACCGCGTCGCCAAGTACGGATACAAGAGACACAATGCATGTACATCTACGCAGCTAGGTACGGGACAATTATAGGTGGCCTCGCCTTACCCGAAGTACGTTAGTCGGGGGCCATGTCAATCAATGACGGGCCCGGTCCATTGTTGGAGTCTCTTTGTCTCGCCGCCGCCTGCTTCCTCCCGCCCGTCTCTCTCGGGGGTCGGGGCATTGTCT